AATTAAACAGATAAAATTATCAATATATAAAGTAGAGAGATTAACCAAAAGTTAACCTGAACAAATGAGTCTTCACTTGTCCCCTAAAACTGTCCACATTCTCAGCAAACCTAATACTGGTTGGCAAAGCATTCCATAATCTGGGTGCCATAGCGGCCAAGGCTCTATCCCCACATGTCTTTGAACGAGTGCGTGGCGTAGATAGCAGATTTTGATTATTAGACCTGAAAGACCGGAGAGGGGTATGAAAGTGAATTATGTCAGCAAGATAAGCAGGGGCCTGGCCATGTAAAGCCCTATAGGTTATGGTTAGCAGTGTTGTAGTACTCGAGACTCGGACTCGAGACCATATTTTAATGGTCTTGGTCTTGTCATGGACTCGTGTGCATTTGGACTCGGAATTGACTCGTACTCGAACACTTTTTTTTTTTTAGGACTCAGACTTATTACCGAGTCTACTCGAGTTCAATTCAAAATATTTTTCATGATTATTAATGTATGTTAATAAAATATTTCTTTAAATTGATTGACACGCCCAGTGATTGGTGATTTTCTAGTGCGCAACTTTGCATGACAAATTGCAATAAAATTACTTTTATCACCACCTACTATGTGGCCTTTTTACCCTAAACTGATCATATTTTTTAAACTCTAAGTAAATTCAGTAAAAAAAAAAAGGATTTCTCCAAGTAAATAAAAGTAAATTAGGTAATCAACCCTAACTGGTCTCGGTAACCGACTCGGACTCGACCGTTTCTGGTCTCGGACTCGACTTGGACTCGACTCTCTATGGACTCGGACTCGACTCTCTCTGGTCTCGGTCTCGACTCGGACTCGAGTGAGGTGGTCTCGACTACAACACTGATGGTTAGTATTTTGAATTGGATCCTGTAAGCTACAGGAAGCCAGTGAAGGGAGCAGAGTATCGGGGTGATAAGGGTCCGCCTATTTGATCGAGTAAGTAACCTAGCAGCTGAATTTTTAATGGATTGCCGTCGATGAAGAGCAGATTTGTTAAGTGAAGAGAAAAGTGAGTTACAATAATCAATACGGGAGGAAATAAAGGCATGAATGAGCATCTCCAGCTCAGAGTGTGATACCACAGACCTCAATTTACTTAAATTACGTAAGTGGAAAAAACAGGATTTGGTCAGCGATTTGACAAATAGTGTTGCCTTGAATATGGTAAGAAAAGTTTTTAAGATACTTTTATACTATATTTATATTAAGCTCACTTTTTTAACACAAAATTGTTTAAATTAGTTTATAATTAGAGACTGTGCTGTCAGGTTTTTTATTTGTATTTCTTTTCCAGCTGTATCTATCAGTGATCCTTTCTTCAGTGGCAATCAGTCATCTTGGATGTCATTTCCTCCCATCAATATAAGGCACAGAACCCATCTGCAGCTGCAGTTTCAAACACTTTCACCTGAGGGCATCATATTCTACACCGCACGGTACCTGAGCAGTCGGTCCGGTAAGTCAGCATCTCATACAAAATGAAAGCATTTAAGTGTATCTTTAATGGATGTTCACGTGGTTATGCAGCCCGTTCTCATCCCAAGGCATCATATACTGACGCTTTTGCCAATGCGCATACATCCAACACACTTGGCACCCTTTAGCGTCAACATATGAGACGCAGACATATATGGGCCAAAAGGCGCCTCCTAGTGGTCTAACCCTAACCCTACCCCAGACCTAAACCTACCCATAACCGAAGCGTGTTATATTGACCCTAAAGGGTGCCATGTGCGTTGGATGTATACGCATTGGCTAAAGCGTCACTACTGTATGTGGCGCCTTGGGATGAGAATGCGTTGGTTATGTCATGTTCTGTAGGCCTAATCATATGTGAACAAGAAACAACGGTAGATGATTTCAGGAGTTGTGTGGTGAACAAAAGGCTGTGAATTAAAGGCATAATTCACCCAAAAATGACAATTCTGTCATGAATTACTCACACTCATGTCGTTCCAAACCCGTAAGACTTTGGTTCATCTTCAGAAAACAAACAATTATCTGTCCCTTTGTTGACAGCTACGCAACTACCACTTTGACGCCTAAAAAAGGTTCATAAAGAGATTGTAAATTAATCCATATGAGCGATTTAGTCCAAATGTGTGTGTAATTAATGACAAAATTTTTATTCTAAACCCTACTGTAAATTATTAACATTATTGAACAATCCCTTTTAAGGGTTAGTTCACCCAAAAATGAAAATTCTGTCAGTATTTTCTCACCCTCATGTTGTTCCAACCCAGTAAGACCCTCGTTCATCTTCGGAACACAAATTAAGATATTTAAGATATTAAGATCGCTCCCGCATACTAGTCCATAGGCTTCTTGAGGAAATGACTTGCTGTCCTCGAAAAGTCATTAAAGACATCGTTAAAATAGTCCAAGTGACTACAGGGGCTCAATCTTAAGTTTATCAAACGACAAGAATACTTTTGTGCGCAAAAAAACAACAACAAAAATAACGACTTTATTTCAACTATTCCTTTATTTCTCCCTCTGCGCGAGTCAGGTTACTAGTTTAATAGCGTAAGCTTCTGTTATTGTACGTCACACGCATCACACACATGACCAGCGTCGGCCAATAGTGAGCCTACATGTGACGTAGCTCTACGCAATCACACTACGTTAACTGACTACAGGCCCATGGAGAAGGAAGTGCATAGTTGAAATAAAGTCGTTATTTTTGTTTGTTTTTGCGCACAAAAAGTATTCTCGTCGTTTGATAAAGTTAAAATTGAGCCACTGTAGTCACTTGGAATATTTTAACGATGTCTTTGATGACTTTTCGATGCCAGCAAGAGTCAGTCCCTCAAGAAGCCTATGGACTGTATGCAGGAGCGATCTTAATATCTTAAATATCTTAATTTGTGTTCCGAAGATGAACGAAGGTCTTACGGGGTTGGAACAACATGAGGGTGAGTAAATACTGACAGAATTTTCATTTTTGGGTGAACTAACCCTTTAACGGTATCCTCTACTCTCTTCCAAGGTGATTTCCTCAGTGTATCCCTGTCAGCTGGATTTGTGCAGCTCCGCTATAATCTGGGAAACGAAACGATTGTATTGCAGTCTCTAAAAGAGGTCGATGTGACTGGCAGGAAGTGGCACACAGTGAAGACTGGGAGAGAAGGCAACCGCGGCTTCCTCACTCTAGACGATGAAACCGTGACCAGGGACTCTTCGGAGGGCACGAGCACTCTGGATGTTGGCACAAATATTTTCATAGGGGGCGTGTCTTTCCTGAACACAGTGTCCCCGGATGCAGTGGACAAAGACCCAGTGGGATTCACAGGCGGCATTCGAGAGGTCATAGTTAACGAGCATGACCTTGATCTCACAGAGACGGGTGCGCTCGACGGAGTCAATGTTGGCGACTGGGACGGGACAGCGTGTGGGTATAAGGTTTGCATGAACGGTGGCTACTGCAATCCAGTGGGTCTTTCTTCATTCATGTGTATTTGCCCCTCGTTGTGGACCGGTTTACGGTGCCAACAGTCCATTCACTGTGTCAACAATCTTTGTCAACACGGTTCTCTCTGCGTCAATACGTCTGCTTCATATTCATGTATGTGTTCTTTGGGATGGATTGGGACTTACTGTGACCAAGAAGTTACATTGAGGACTATAAAGTTTATTGGAAACTCGTATTTAAAATACAATGATCCAAAGTACATCTCTAGGAATTTGATGTACACCGAGGTTTCACTGAATTTTTCCACTTCAGCAGAGGACGGTTTGATCCTATGGATGGGGAGAGCTGGGAGTGAAGACGATGACCATCTAGCGGTTGGGCTGCAGGACGGTTATCTGAAGGTTTCGGTCAATCTTGGTGAGAGAACTGCTCTTCCTCTTGTGTACCAAAACACTTTCTGCTGTAATCACTGGAATTATCTGGTAATTACTCACAACCGAACTCTCATCCAGGTCTATGTGAATGAGGAAAGAGTCATTTTTGAAGACGTTGACCCTTTTGAACAGTATGTAGCATTAAATTATGGAGGGGTGATTTATTTTGGGGGGTTTGAATTGAATAGAGATGTAGCGTCTGTTACATCTGGTGTTTTTACTAAAAGGTTTGATGGAAGTATTAAAGATGTTTTCTTGTATCAGGACATCAGACAGCTGCAATTTCATCAAACCAGTGAAGGGTTCAATGTCTATGAAGGTGAAGAGTAGAAAAAATTATTGTGCTTGTATTTGATTTTAGGTATTCACATCTGGGATAGAATACACTGTGCCATTTAGTGTACTTACTGAGACTCACTATTACACTGCTAGTTTTCAAGAGTTGACATATGTTGTTTATTATTGGCATGATACAATGATGCTGTCAGAGATGTGAGGTTGTAGAAGTGATCCTGGAGTGACTATAAAAGGGACAAGAATACCCTCCTTCTCAAAATCACCATGTATTTGATGTTTGATGGAACAAAATGAAGAGATGAAGATATGATAACATGACTGTTGCATATTTGTGCCTCTTATTGAAGGTCAAGCTGGTATATTTAAGTTATGTGATTAGCTTTGTTGTTTATGCCACAAAATAGGGCTTCAAAATGTAATTTTCTTTCAGCCAATAATATTTCAGTTCTGAAATATTGGGTTTGCCATTTTTAGTATATCTGAATTCAGTTCAGTAAAACCTCAATATGCATTTGTTTTTTGTTTTTGTGTTATATATATTTTTTGTGTATGTATATATATATATATATATACAAACACATTACTGTTCAGGGTCAGTATTTAAACTTTTAATCAGCATTAATTCATTGGAATTATAAATAAATTAACTTGTATATTAATATAATTTATATATTTAATGGGACCTCGTTTAGTTTCAGGTTCATCCTGTACTTTACCCCCAAAAGTAGTCTTTTATGAATAAAGTACCTTTTTCTGTGATCGTAGATGTAATTTTTAATTACAGTGCATGACGATAAAAAATGAGCCTCTTTAAAAAACAAAGACTTCTATTTCAGTCGTTTTACTAACAATAAAAACATTTTATTATGAACTGTACATAAAACATGTGCTGAATATGCACATTTCTGTTGTGTGACAAGCCAAAATGTACAAAGAAATATTTGTCACCTGAAACATAGAAAATACTTAAGAAGCCAAATTTAGAAAAATTAAAACTGAAAAATAAAAAGTGAAGCAAAAGAAGCTGTTCTCAACAAACATGGGATGCCATGTCTCATGGCAACAGTATTTTCATTTCCTAGACAACCAGCTGCTTGTGAAGATAATGTTAGTGGATACTTGAAAAGCCAGGTAGGGATAATGTACAATTAAAAACAAGTATCTTTAAGATTTCAAAAAGAAATGCTGCTAGATGCTTTTCATACAAAAATCATCTTGCAAATTTATAAATAGTTTTCTTCTACGGTGTTACAGATTTAAGGAAGGTGGAGCAGTTTGATGCCAAGATCACGAACGCCTGTCTCTCGAGTCCCTCTTGTGTTTCTCATAATCAGAGTCCCGCCTGTGTTTGTCTCTGTCCCGGTAATGGCTGCTGCTGTGGTGGCGTTCTCTCGGCCTCTCGTACCTGTCCTCTTTTGAGTGGCGCTCTTTATGACTGTGACTTCTGTCCCTGTGTTTTTCCCGATCCCTGTCGTGGTGCTTGCTTTTGTGATGGTGTTTGTCATAATGGTCTCTATCTTTATTGTCCTTCCTGTTGGTCTCTTCGGAGCGTCTGGACGGCTTGTCGCCCAGGTCGCTGTAGGACTTCTCCGAACCCTTCTCGTCTTTGCTGAGGGGCGAAGAGGTCGGCAAGCTGGACTCATATGTCAAAGAAGGTGCAGGGATAGTTTGGGGAGGGACTGTTTGAGACCACGGTGGAGTCAGTATGCGAGGATCGCTTTGAGGGAACATTTGGGGAGGCGGCGGACCAGGAGGAAATGGGAAAGGTGGAGGACCCTGTGAATGAAGGGGTAAGTAAGGTGCAGGATTGGCTGGAGGAGGGTAATATTGGGGATCAGGTGGACCGGCGTGGTACGAATGAAAAATGGGTGGACTATAAATTTTAGGGTTAAAAGAAGGGGTCCTAGACTGCTTGAGACCTTCACTCTTCCCAATGGATGAGATTGTGGTGATGGCTTGGATGTCCTCTATGGCTTTGCACTCTTCAGAGGGTTGCGCAGATGGTTGCTGAGTAACTTTCTCCTGAAACATTTCTGAATTGCTTTCCGATTGTTGCGGTTTTAACTCAGTGAGTTCAGCTGATGAAGACTCTCTCTTTAAAATACCAGAAGGAGATGTCTTCAAAGTCTTGGTGGGACTTGATACAACTTCGTTTTTGGGAACGGCGCAAGAGCCATCTGTAACAGAGTCTTTCGATACATCTGATGAAGTGGTTTCGCTTGATTCTTGAGTAGCTGGTGCAGCTGTGCTGCTAGACTCGGTTTCCTCTTTGGGTTTAGCAGTTGCGAGAGAGGAAAGGAAACTCTCTGTTGAAACATCTGCAGGTTTGTCACTCAGAGAAAGTATGACTTTACTCTCTTTCTTTTCTGAGCTGGACTCCAGACTCGAGCTGGGTGGCACCTGTTCAGTTTTAACAGCTTTGGGGTCTTTTTTCTTGATAACGAAGCGGTCAAGTCGAGAAGCACTGGCTATAGGTTTAGGATGGGTTTCAGCATGATTTTCATTGCCGACTGTTGAAGTCTTGGATACTGGTGTTGTAGACTCGCTCTTTGATTTGTCGCTTGATGCTGATGCCGTGTTTCCAGGCAACTTTAGCACACCGGGAAGGAAGCGCAAAGAAACATTCTCTTCTGTCTCCATGTCCAATATCGGCTCTTCGTCGACTGACTTAATCAAGTCTGCAGTGTCTTTTTTCTGTGTGCTCCCAGGACCACTGTTAAAACTTTGCTCCACATCTTGAACCACAGAAGCTTTCTGTGGGTAGTCGACCTTAGATTTGCTTTCTACCAAGAAACTTGGAGCCTCACTGGCATCATTTGACAGGATTACCCCGAAGTCCCTTTTCAATCTCTGGCGGATGACCAATCCAAGAAGAAGATTCGGACGATTAGCCTCCAGTCCTACAATGCGGAGCATCACAATTAAATTTTATTATTTTGCTGAAAAAATTCATACCAATCCTACAATTGAACCTGCAAATAAAGTCTTACCTGGACCATCAAACGGAACAATCTGGTGGGGAATTTTTTCTGTGGAGCCGAGAGGAATAAGATACATGTCTTTAACTTGTTTGCGGTTGTTGGCAACAACGCCATATCTTCTACGGCTGCTAAAATAGGCGTACAATAAAGTGTACGAGATCTCATCTTCTTCTGTGTCGGGGGTGAAACGAATAACACAAATTTCCTGGGGAATAAACATTTACAAGTCACAAAAAGCTTGTTCAAATGGTCAAATAACAGATTATAACAAATCGAAGGATAAATCATTCCCACCTTTGTCCCAGAAGCACGGATTTTCTCAACATAATCCCAGACTATTTGAGGGGAAATACGTCCACCTACTTGGATGTTGTCCGGCAAATCCTGCAGACCACAATTCAATATGCAATTAACACAACACTTCAAATGTGCGACTGACATATATAGGATACATTTCAAACGTCACTTACCTGTGTTAGGGGGTCCAGTATTCCAGAGACAGGATAAACTTTTGTTAGAAACCTCGCCACAGCTGGCATATCAATAAAGCCCCCCCACAGTCTCTCCAAGGTGCTGAGGAAAGTAGCTGTATCTTCTTTGCTACTCAGACCATCTGACCTATTAAAGTAAATGAATCAAAAAGAAACAATTTCATAAATATCCTCTGAAGTCTTGTTTTGGGTTTGCTTAAGTCACCTGCTTAATCAGAAATCTCACCTGGATTCAGGCAAAAAATTGAGGAGACCTTCCTCCATGGCTCTTAAAGACAGATCGTCCATTAGTGCTGATGTAGGTGTAGTTGTGGAGTGCTGAGATTCATCTGTCGCACTAGACTGTCTCCTCACAACTGTTGTAGCCACTTTTACCACCTTAGTAGCGGCTTCCTCTGTAGGTGGAGCCATGCGACCTTCACAGAAACACAGTAACAGTTCATTGTACCATTAAAACATTCTACAACTTAAAAATACTAATAAACTGCTCGTTCTTTGCAGCTTTGAGGTAAGAAGTTTATTTTTAACAATGTTTAACTACTTTAACGATTAAGACTCTGCCTGTAGACACAAACGCTTGTTCGTTTTACAACTTAAGGCCTTGATATACTCACAGCTTTGGGGTAAAACGGCGTTCGAAATACACAAGCAGCGATATACTGTTAACGAACATCTGACACCGCCCAGATTGTTGAAAGCGAAGGTTAGATGAAAATGTAAATGTGCTGCGCGCTTTCCTCAATAACAAAATAAACCCACAACAAATTTGAGAAAATGGCTGTCATTTTTTAATAAAAGCATCTGATCATAGTAACGTAGATATGTTTGCAAGAGCTCTGCAATACGAAACTCTTGTAAAGTAACGTCACGTTTATTTATTTAGCACTTTTAGCTTAAAATCAACAGCTTTACTGTATTAAACATGAAAAACATCATCAGTGTCTCATTTCATCAGAATTACAACTTAATTTTTTGAAAAAAATTCCACATAAAAGTAGGGGGAGCCTCAGTGCACACCAACCTATTACTTAATATCACTTAACTTTTCCAGAAAGTTTACTTTGGCAAGCTATTTCGTACTCCCAAAATGAAGTTTATTCCCACTCCCAACTACATCAGTTCATTCTTCGATTTTACTTGAAGTACATTAGGGCCTTTAATTTATCAGACTTTAATTAGGTGTACTTTTGTTAGAAAGTACACTTTTGTTGTTTTTTTGCACAAAAAAAAATCCTTAGGGGATATTTTTTTATTAGTATGTAGTAGCCCATTTAACTATCCATAAGAAAAACTTTTCAGAAGCTGAACTTTATTTTAACGGTTTTACCTGTGCAGATTTTGCAGTTGAGGTCAAATAGATGAGACTTGTGCAGGTTGGTGGTATCTATAGGTTTCTTGGGACTGTCAGCTTTAGTCTCAGGGGGTTTTTCTTCAGGCACTTCCGCAGTTTTCGGCACAGGCTCTGGCTGAAGATGCAGTAGGGGAAAAAAAATTAAAACAATTTTCTTTTTCCTGGTTGGAAAAGCTGCTAAGAATGGAGAATAAATCTCACCTGTGCCTCTATGGCCTCTGGTGCTTTGGCAGGCTCCTGATTCTCAATTTCAATTTCCCCTTTGTGGGTGATTTTAGTAATGGGACGTCTCTCTACTTCTCTCTGTTCTTTCTCAATCATTTCAATTGTCTGCCAACAGAAAGACCAAAAGTTTAACCATCAATATAAATCAACATAAAAATCTGACTATTAAATTACTTTTCTGATGAACAAATATGTCTTGCTGAAAATTCACTTCACTCAGTAGGTTAAACACTTTACAAATATCATTTTATGTTGCCAACCAAAAAATAAGCAGTGATATTTTGGAAATGCAACAGAGCTATAAATGTTTTACTAACATGTCGATTCTCTCTTTGTCTCCAAGCAGCCAGTTCCTTAGAGGCCAGCTCTTCTGCAGTCATACGCACCAAATCAGCAGGGGAAACCTCCCCCTTGAGTACTCGCTTGAATAACACCTGCAAAAGAAAAAAAAAAACTTTTTCTTTAACACAGCATTAGATTGAGCTAGAAATAACTTCTTTCCCTATATATACTTTAATTGAAAAAAGCTTGCACAGAAATTTCTTACATTATTTTTTGCATCTTTCAGGTTGAAAGTCAGACTTCTGTATTTGTTTTTGTATTTGCTGTCAACACCCTGAAAGAGAGCAAAAAGCTCCTTTTCTGTCCTTCGGGCCAACTCGGCAGGCTTGTCCGATGAAACCTTCAAATCAGACTCCTTCAGTCTATTAGACGAGAGATGAGAGGATAAATGCTGAACAACTTAATATTACACACGTAATATAAACAAGAGGTAGACAGTTCTAAGGAAAAGCTATTGACTGGCTTTATTGGCAATCTAGCAAAAATTACATTCACATACCGTTTCAAGAGAATCTCCTCCAGAGAGTCTCGAACGCTTCGTCTGATATGTCCAGTGGACGGTTTCTTTGAGCTAACATGGGATATTTTAACTTTCTTTGACTCATGCTTCACATTTGGTCCTGCAAAAAATTTAACTCAAAATTATAAGTAATAATAATTTACAATTAAATTGTTTTAGAAAAAAAATTATAATCTATAAAATAACTGATGGAAATATCCATACCCTTTGGTGTGGAATCTTCTGAGTTTCGCCTTTCTCCAACCTCCAACATAAAACAAAAAGGTTGTTTTTTTAAATACTGCAAAATAGTACAATGACATTTAAGCAAGACAAACTCAAGTGGCCATATCAGCACATGTTGCAAATTTGTATGTGAGTGTAACACACTGTTCACCTACAATGAGTGAAAGCTACCTAGCCCCTTTACACCCATGTGTCAATAAATTGAGAGAGTCAAATATATACAAACCCTTTTAAAGAAAGCTGATGGATACCACACAAATCAAAAGCTAAATCAGAAAGGCAAGAACAAAATATGACTTTGTAAATTTGCCAAAAGCAACCATCAAATAATTGAATGATCAGGTATTTTTCCCCACTAGATTGATATAGAACATATCAGATTCTATGTTTATTCCAATTAAATGGGGCACGTCATACATTTGACGTTTTTGTGCCAGAGTTTCCATTAGAACAAACTTAATTCCTTTCAAATTCCTCATTTGAGGCAATGACTCGCTAAAGTCTAATTTCAAAACAATTTCAAGCACAAACTCACTTCGTTTTCACATCTAGTTCGTTTAAAACCCTTCAAACGCTCTCGGAGCGCTTCAGCGTGTATATGTGAACAAATCAAGTTATCTCAGACCTAAAGGGACCAAAAACCAAACCGTACTCAGACCACCTCAGTTCATTTGTGAGTCCGTTTGTGGTTTGATTTCTTTGTGATACGTGAAAGTGATTAGGTCCCGGTCCACTTTGCATTTCGTTTCAACAGGTGTACTGCTTTTAGAAATATCGTACTATCTGCTACAGTGTATTCTATGCAGTTCTTGCACCTCTGTCCCAACATACTGTTCAGCATTAAATAATACATTCACTTCACAATAACTCAGTGGTAGAGTAAGTAAAACAGTGTTTGGTTCTTTTAAAACAAATTATATGTGAAAACATCCTAATTAATATATTTCCTGATTAAAAGGAAGAGTAATTATCCATTAATGTCTATACTTTCATGCATGTTTGTTACACAAGGCTCTAGAAGTAAAAAATAAAAGATAACTAAAGCTACTTACTTCTTAACTACTTCCTACAACTCTGATTTTTATGATGACAAATGGTACAGGATGACTTGTTTGCTTACTTTTCGGAAGGGTCGTATTCCACCTGCGGTGACCGACTGCTGTGGTCTTTGTTTTTGTTTGGCAGATAACTTCTCATCTGTCTGCTCCGTGGCACCGGTTTTCCCATCCTCTTCAGCACAGCACTTCAAGCACACGTACTCCTGGTCATCCTTTTCCATCTGCTGAACTTTAGCCAGATCCAAACCCACACAATCCCCATGAAACCAGTCATCGCAGCGGCCGCAACCCACCATGAACCTATTCAAACAAACAGACAGACAGCAATATTTATGAATCTCACAAGTCTGTCTGCAGCTCATCAATTCGAGCAAATACATACAGATCACGCATGACGTAGTCGGAAGTACTTCATAACTACTTCCCTTCAACTCTTTGATTTTTGATGACAAATGGTACAGGATGACTTGAAGTTTGGAGTAGGAGAACAATTCAAAGTTATTGTATTTTGAATGACACATTTATATGTATTTATGTCAGTTTATTGTTTAAAATGGTCCTTACGTGTGCATATCCTGAATGTTTAACGATCTCACGCATGACTTTACCAACGTGATGACGTAATGCGTGGCGCATGGTACAAAACCGGCATTCGTGGTTGAAAAATAATATTATTTTAATTATTTTTTAGAAAATGATCGATTGTTTCGCTAGATAAGACCTGTATTTCTCAACTGTGATAATGTCAAGCCTTTGAAGCTGCCCTGAGACTGACATTTGGACCTTCAAACCGTTTATATAGTTTATATACCGTTTATATATTACAAGTCCATTATATGGAGAAAAATCCTGGAATGTTTTCCTAAAAAACCTTAATTTCTTTTTGACTGAAGAAAGAAAGACATGGACATCTTGGATGACATGGGGGTGAGTTAATGATCAGGATTTTTTTTTTTTATTATTTGAAAGTGAACTAATCTCAAACTAAATTTCAAAGGCATGCATTGATATTAAAATTCTTTGATACTTTTTATTTTCTAATAATTAAACTCTATAATTGTCTAAATATCCATCCATCTTCTTCCACTTATCCTGGACCGAGTAACAGGGGGCAGCAGTAAGCAGAGACGCCAGACTTCCCTCTCCCTAGACATTTCCTCCAGTACTTCCAATGGAATACAGAGGCGTTCCCAGGCCAGCCAGGAGACAGAATCCCTCCAGCAGGGGACGCGCCAGGAACTCCTCCCCGGGAAGGCATCTGGAACAGATGCTAGAGCCACCTCGGCTGGCTCCTCTCAGTGTGAAGGAGCAGCAGCTCTACTCTGAGTTCCTTGCCAGTGACCGAGCTCCTCACCCTATCTGAGCGCCCAGCCACCCTGCGGAGAAAGCTCATTTCGGCCGCCTGTATCCGGGATCTTGTCCTTTCGGTCATGACCCACAGCTCATGACCATAGGTGAGAGTAGGAACGTAGATTGACCCTTTTCCGACGGAGAACCATGGCCTTGGACTAGGAAGTGCTAATTCTCATCCCAGCAGCATTCACACTCGGCTGCAAACAGTCCCAGTGCACGCTGAAGGTTCTGGTCTGATGAGGCCAACATGACAAAATCATCCGCAAAAAGCAGAGACGAAATTGTGTTGTTCCCAAACCGGACACCCTCTACCCCTGGTTGTGCCTAGAAATTCTTTCTATAAAAATGATGAACAGAACCGGTGAGAAAGGGCAGCCCTGCCGGAGTCTAACATGCACCGGTAACAAGTCTGACTTACTGCTGGCAATGCAAGCCCAGCTCCTGCTAGGGTCGTACAGGGACCAGACAGCACTTATAAGAGGGCCCTGGATCCCATACTCCAAGAGCATCTTCCACAGGACGCCGTGAGGAACAGTTGACAGTTTTTAGATTTGGAACATTCTTGAAATCCAAAAAGCACATGTGATTGTTTGGGCAAGCAGCCTTGAACCCTCCAGCACCCTGGAAAGGGTATGAGAGCCATAACACTCGGCCTGGCTCCAGGGTGTCTAAATATATGCCACACTAAAATCAATAGTTTTAAAGTTCCCCATATTATGCTTTTTTGAATATTACCTTTCATGCATTGTGTAATATATCTGTTTGGGAATGTAAAAGTTCTACAAAGTACACAACAAATAGTTATTGTCTGCTATAAGAAAGAACTTATTCTGAATTGCCTGAAATGAGTTGTCGGTAACCTTTGTAGGTTTTCGATGGGCAAGAAAATGCTGTTTTCAGCGCTGCGAATCCACTCTGCATGCACTTCCAAAGGATGTGGACTTGTGCTGGAATTGATAAGGAAAACCCGATTCCATCGTTGCTGTTTGAATCAAGTGATGAGGAAAGTTTCTGGAGCTGAAATTCAGGTATGGTAATGGCCTTTTCATAACCAACACTCATTGTCACAACAGCTCTCGGAAAGGAGGGGTTTAGAGAGACAGAATCTTCTGAACAAACCGTTTTCAGACTCTGAAAAAATAAGGTTATGTGCCAATGTATATTGATCAAATTAAAGAGTTTTTAACCTTGGACACCTGTAAACCTATTGTAGGAGACTTCCAAACAAAATTATAAACCATTAAAATAGCATAATGGGGCACTTTAAATGCTGAAACTGAGTTTAGGCACCACAACAATATGGTGTACAGTATGATAAATTCATTTTGAAATTTAAGGTACACTATGTAGGAAATCCGTTTTTGTCAAACAGCAACCCCTAGAGTACTGTCGTAAATAACGAGTGGATACAAGGTGTGGCCCCTTTAAGAGCGATGTGCGCCGGGTTAATTCTGTTGCTGATCCTTATCCTATTTCAAGTGAAAGCCTGACCGAGCGAGACTCTTGTCCGGTTTTCTCAGGCGGTCAGTTTCTTTTACTCGACTCTTCCGAGCCTGCGGTCACGTGACGTCGTAAAGGGTTTCGTTCTCCAGGTCACATGACCTGGCCAAAGACGCTCCATCTTCTTCATATTATAAATATTATAAATTTAAAATACCTGTTTCAGTTTACAGTATTAGATGTGTGGCTGCATTTTAAGTTCTTTTCACTTTTCACTCACTGAAATATATTACAGTGAAAAGTATGTCAGATAATAAAAATACTCTAGTTCACTGTATGTATTCGTTCATGTTTAATTATGGGATAAGTCTAAAGCATACCATAAAAATAATTCTATCAATTCATACAGTGCTAGTATGTATTGCAGCTGTATAGATACAGTACACACCCAGGCATCGGATCAGTACTCAGTATCGGCTGATTCCCTGAGTCCAGCTATCGGAATCGTATCGGGAAGGGAAAAGGGCTTCGGAACGTCTCTAAAAATAACTAATGCGCGTCAAATCTTTCGGCCAAAAGTTACACGGTGTGCCTTTAACAGGGATATTCATTTAAAAGGATTTTTAAAAATGAACTTTAAATGAGTTTTAGATGATTGCAAAGGTGATCTAAATGCAAAAATAGTAAAACTGAGCAAACAGAATTCAATATCAATAAAACAACAAACAAAAAAAATGTATTAGGACCATGAGAATGGATTTAGAAATAAAAGTCAACATACCTGTTGTTGTGAGGTTTCTTACATAATCCACAGTGTTTGCTGGGGTCCCACACAGTCTCGCTTTCAGGAGGAGGTTCGCCCTCGGCTTCCTTCTTCACCACTGGGGCATTATCGGGGATAAACAGCTGCGGCTCCTCTATCGAGATACTCCTAGAGTTTCTGCTCTTGTGTCTATGCTGGATCTTCTCCGCCTTCTTGATCTTGACCTTCTCCTGCTCCTCATCCCCTTGGCTGTTAGTAACAGGCGGGTTTGTTATGTTTACCGGAGTGGGAGTATTTTGTGGCTTTTTCAACGGGTGATGAGATTGAGGAGATTGCACTGACTTGACACCAGGGCCAGAAACAGACGATGGTTTACGACTGATGGTCGGGGACACCGGGACAGACGGGCTTGTGGTTTGATGCACAGGATGTCCATCCGGAACCTTTTGTATTTTTGAGGGCGATTTAGGAGCAAGTGGCCCCCCTGGGCGTTTCAAGCCCACCAAACCAGGCTTCCCCTTGTGATTTTCTGGTCGGCTTGTATGTTTGTTTTTGTCTCTGGGATGCTTGGACACTTTCTGTAAGAGCCCTGGCCTGGTGAGATGAGGCGACTTGTTTTTGGTAGCAGACAGAGCCTGTTTGGGTTTCAGAAGCTTTTTGACTGCAGGTGCCGCTGTGCCGTTCTTGTTCCCCTTTTTGTTCTCGCTTGGCTTTTGGGTCTTGATTTGGTCATTGATTTTGTCATCTCTTGGAGTGGCATTGTTCATATTGGGCTTCAGCGACAAGGTGCTATTAGTGTCTTGTACTTCATTAGGGTTCACATACGGCCCAAAATCCATAGGCATGTCATCGCCAGTGGGCTGACCAACGCTCACTTCCCCAACAACCTCTTGTGTGGAATTATCAAGTTCTTGTGCAACTTCATCTTGATTTTGTCCCAAATCCAATGTGAGGCCATCAGCAGTGATGGTGTCATCTTGGAAGCCCAAAGACTGAAGGTCGCTCGTGCTAAACGATCCAAACGCATGCGACGGTCCAGGAAGCAGTTCAATTTTATAGCCCCCTACAGTAACAGTTAATCGCCGTAACACAACAACTGGATTCATCGAGGAATCAACCTCATTGATTCCAAAACGACGGCTGAGCAGAGCGTCCCTTTTTGCAGCAAGGCTTTTATCTCCATCTGAGTTTCCACTGCATGTTGACTCCTGTTCGTTACTCTCGGCTGCTTTTGGTGCAGGACCTGGGCGCCTGCCTCTGACTCGACCACGGCTTGCTGAAAGAGAAAAATGGTTTCAATACACTCGTAGCGGCAAAACAGAACAGATGAGCTGTCAAAAAGACGGCAAATAAGCAAAAAATATTGGTTCCAGGAAAACCCAATAAATTCTCAGGCATAACTAATATCCCAATGCAGCAGAAATTTGAACCATATCAAAAGATGCCAAAAGGAGAGTGCCAAAATTTAAAGTTATAAATATTTTTAAATACGTGCAGTCACTTGCAGCATTATATACAGTAAAATGCCACCTGTCAGAAAAATGTATCGCCACATAGAGGTCTTCTAAAGGTTATCCACATAAGAAAAAGTTGCTAAAAGACTTTAGAAGAGTCCCTTATAGAAGACTATAGGCTGGTTTCAACAGACATTTTAAGGATTAGCTCCAAATTCAGTTAAGACATTTAAGCATCTATCTTTTATAACCATGTCATAGTAGAAAAAAAAAATTTGTGTGCATCCTGAGACAAAACAATGGCACTGACATATTTTAAGAAATGTCAGTGAAAGTTGCTTTCAGTTAAAACAGCTCAAACATGCATTTTAATATGGGATTAGGCTTAAACCTTGTCTGTGAAACTGGACGTGTAAGTACTATTTAAAACAGTTTTCATTTTAAAAAGTACATAAAAATAATATATAAATAAAAATCATTAGTTGACATTTTAATGTTTATTTTATTGTTAGAATGACATAATAAATCGCTAAATAATTTTGAATGCAACTTTTAAAAAAGCTTTTGCTAATTACTTTTACTAATAGAGTAAAAAAATGTATGGATAATTGCATATGTTTGCAAGCTGATTCAGCTGATTCAAAACAATCCAAATAAATTCACCCAGTTGTGTCCCTGTTTTCCCCTTATGTTGTGTGCACCTGTTTGTCGTCTCGGTAGATGACTTGCATGTCTCCCGCCCAGTGAGAAGCTGGACTGACTGTGTTCTCCATCAGATGGACTCTGACTAACACCAGCTGTTGTCATGTCATGATCTGCAAAACGCACGGTCGAAATTAATTGCAAAATCTTTTTTTTTTTTTTTTTTTTACTACAGACTTCAAAAGCAATTACTGTACCTGCAGAGCTTCCAAGCTTAAAATTGACATCTTCGTTTTCTAGAAGATGAAATTGGGCACTAGCAGACCCAAACATTGGATCTTTGTCACTGAGCATGTTCTTCAGTGAATCTTCGGGGTGACCGTGACCTGTTTCAAACTCATCACTTGCTTCACATTCCAGGTTCTGCCCGAGCAGCAAGGAATCATCCAATTGGTCACTGGGAACCAGATGATTGAATGAACCACCAACTATATCCATGAATGCCTGCACTGTACGGTTTGCTCTGGAAGAGAAGAATTATAAATGTATTTTTATCACTGCATAAACTTCCAAGATGTACTATTTTGACAAATAAGTAGGATTAATAACATGCTCCATATAGTTCTCTAACTACTTCTGACAAAAAAAGCACAATCCCACAGTTTGATTGGCATTCAAGTAAAATCTTAACACAAATGTATTGCAAACCAACAGAAATAGGCCTATAGGGGAGGTCGGGGCTAGTTGTCACAGAGGCTGTATCTCAGTAAATACTAGGGGTGTAACGGTACACAAAAATCACGGTTCGGTACGTACCTCGGTTCTAAAGTCACGGTTCGGTACGTTTTCGATACAGCAAAAAGAAAGAAATGCCAGAGAAATTATCTATTTGTTTAAAGAAAAAATATGTTTAAATAAGTGTGAGTTTTCCTAGATCTTGAAACTTTCAGGTTTATAAATGGGGGTCATCTTTGAAGGATGAACAAATAATGTTTTGGTCATCACATTAAAAATAACATTTAAATATATATTTATTTATATAATATTTGAATTTTGAAGTGCTGGAAAAAGATGTGTGAAGTACTTGAAAGCATTTCACCATTCCAGCCAAACTGGTTCCAGTTAGTGTTACTATATTAAATCCATGGTGAATGTTGCTGGTCTGTGGACGAAAGTATTACTAGTTCATTCACGGCACAATGTTTCTCCTGGTTTCCATGACAGCGCTGTTTGATCTAATAGAGATCTACGGTTAATAACGGAGAAATGTGAATGCATCTCACTAGATCTCGCAGCGATGTTATTACCTCAGTGGCGAATTCAAATGTTTTCTTTACCGGATCTCTTAGCCTGGTGTGGTAACAGTGTTGCTTGATGGAGATCGGCTCGCGCTGCACAGATGTTGCTGGTCCGAACTGATAAACGATCCGTGAAGCACATAACGAGGAGCGCAGTTTCGTTCTGCTTTCATTACGCTTGCCATTTGATGTTGCGCAACGTTGTGTTGGCCGCGTCAGCACGAATTTTGCCGGCAGGAAAAATGGTCCAAGCAATCGTTCGGTTTGTATGCGTACCGAACCGGAAGCCTCGAACCGAAACGGTTCAATACGAATACATGTACCGTTACACCCCTAGTAAATACAAGTCCAAAGTCCAATTGCACAAATGTTTGTTTACTCTAGCAAAGGTTTTATGTTGATTTAAACCTGGTTTCCTACATTAAAATTCAATATTATATTATATATATATATACAAAAAAAATGTATGTGGGGTTTTAGTGAACTATATTTTGTTTTCCTAGACAGTAATAATGTTCAATAGCTTTGGAAGCATCTAAAAAAGCTTTATTTTTTCTTTTATTAAACCACTTTAAATAACATATATATATATATATATATACAGTACTACTATGTAAAAGTTTAATAAAAACAAAAACAAAAAAAATTAAGCCAGCAATTTATATATTTTGCTGTAATGTGTCAGTAGAAAAAAAAATCAGTTTACATTTCTAAACATTCCTTGTGTCATCAATTGTAATAATCCAGTGAGATCAATGATTCAGACAGTTTGCTCCACACAGAGATCTGATCTCACCATCAGAGTCCATCTGGGATTACATGAAGAAAAAGACTACATCCAAAACTACAGAACTATGAAAGTTTTTAGGCACTTAGAAGAGCTGTGAAAAAATTGAGAATGCTTTCATAAATAGATTTTATTTATCAATTAACTTATGCTAACTACATCAAATCAATATATTTGATGTGACCACCCACTGCTTTTAACAGCTTTTGTCCGGTACACATGCATATAGTTTTACAGACTTTTGCAGGGAAGTTTCTTCAAGTGTCTTTAGCCCCTTTTCCATCAAAGCATTTTGAGAGCCGGTTCAGAGCCAGTGCCTGCGCGTAGGGGTGGGCGATATGACCAAAATTGTGTTTCACGATATGACTAATTTTATTTCACGGTAACGATATATTTCACGATATAGTTATTTATATAGTTATCCTCAAAAAAAAAAAAAAAAGACAAAAAGGGCTTTGTATAATAAATAAACCCAAATTTTTATTTTTATTTTATTTGGTAAATTATTTATTTGGTAAACTATTTTGATATCAAAATATAGTAAACAAAAAAACACCCATAAACTTTTAGATGAACTTCCCACAACAGATTGATATTAAATAGGTACAACTCATTGGTGCATTTCAACTTTAAATAATTTTTAAATCTCATGCATTGCTTTACTTATCAATCAGTTTATTATATAATTATAATATATATATATATATAATATAATTATAATATTTTTTTACCACATGTGCTTATTATACTGCGTTTTTAACGGAGAAGGGTATTCCTGCACAACCGGAGACTGCACTGTTGTTTTAATGGGCTTGTTTTGCTCTTTTTGTTATATCTGGCAACCCGTCAGTTCAGAAGTGACAAGAAGGAGCAGCAATATGAAAACCAAACAGCAGCTACTGTTAGTGTTAACTAAGTAGTTTAAATTATACACACCTTATAACAGATCGTCGAACACCGCGCGCTCCCTCTCAGTGCATGTGCACGCGCACGTCTTTTACATCAACAAAATGCGATCGATTAATTTGAGAGTGAAGTTGTAATCACGGATCAAATTAAAGGAAGATTTTATCAACTGGTTCACTAGGCAATTGTTTGGAGTTAAAAAATATATAACTCGCGCTGCATATTTAGTAATTTTGCCTCAGAAACAGGATTATACATGATTCGTTTTAACAGGATGTTCATTCATGCTGAATACGATTTTCATGTTTAAAAAGTAACTATACATAAGAGAAGGAAAGATGCGGATAACTATACATTATTTAAGGTTATTTCTCGTAATGATATTGATATAGCCTATGAAATGTTGTTATCAAGTAACTTCATGCTTTCCCCGTTGCGAACGTGCACTCCTCTAAACTGTAGCCTGGGTGCTGCTGCTCTGCTCTAGTTGACGACTGCCTTTCCCCCCGAACATATCACGTTAACAACAATCCTTTAGAAAATGTAATTCCTTTGTGGATCCTCTTGATTTGCTTTCTCCATGTTTCTTTGACAAATCTCAGCATCAGTCTCACGCGCGCTGCACGGGAGTTAACCACGCCCCCTTATTTGCATTTCGCGGTATACACGGAATAAAAAAATCTGTTACGACTGACGTTTTCTATCGCGGTAATGATATATATCGCCATATCGCCCAGCCCTACCTGCGCGCGAACCAGTTCTTTGTGTTTCAACAGCCAAAGAACCGGATCTCGGCCAGGAGAACTGGTTCCAAAGCGGCACCAACTCTTTGCTGGACTAGAACCGTTCTTTTACCACGTCATGCTTATGTCGGGGGCTGGGGGCGGGTTTAGATGTGTTCTAAACATCTTTTCTGACCATAATATAGGATCGCAAAGCCAGGAGAAACATTTGCAGAAACACGATGGAGTCCGCCTTTGTAATTGTTATGCTTGAAGTCGGCGCAAGCGTTTCTATTTTTTTTTTTTTTTTTTGAAAACATTATAAGCGACAGTCCCAATATAGAACAAATTAATGGAAAGAAAAAAAGACACAAGGCAGGGGTATATAACTAATCAAAGAAAAGATTAAAAGACTTGCATATTTCAATTGTTTTTAAACCCTTCTTTGGTACACGAGTTAGAGATAATTCCAAAGTAATGTTGTACTTGCAAGCGTTTCTAGCTACGACTCATGGCGACGTACATACTGACACAATGACGTCATTCCCTGGGCGCTCTAGTCAGTGGAAAAACAAACAGGTTCTGAAAAGGTTCGCAAGTTGAACCAACTCCGAACCAACTTTGAACCAGCACCAGTTCCGAACCGGTTCTTTTTTGGTGGAAAAGGGGTATTTGAGACACAGCCACAGACAGCTCTTCTGGATTTAATCTGTCCCTGTTTTTTTTTTCATCTTTAAGCAATCACAGATAATTGATGTTGAGATCAGATTTCTGTGTGGAGCTCCGGCTGTTGTCAGACTCCTTGTGCATACAAAAGTCTCGCTGGATTACAAAAATTAATGGCAAATGGAAAGTTTAGAAAAGTAAACTGATATTTTCTACTGACACACTGCAGGAAAAAGATATAAATAACTGACTTTTTTTGTGAGAAAATACTATGACTTTGCACAGTACTGTGTGTGTGTGTGTGTGTGTGTATAATTTCCCTTACTTCAGCTGCTTTTAAAAAGTCATTTTAAATACCACAAAACTTGAAGCATCTTTTTTGTGAGAAAATGCTATGACTTTGCACAGTACTGTGTATATATTAGGGCTGGGTAATAAATATCGATTTCTCGATATTAATCGATTCTCATTTTTACGAACCGATATCGATTCTTAAATCTCAAGAATCGATTAGTCATCCTGTTTCATTTGAATGAATGGGACATTGTATCACGGCTGCGCGCTAGTGTTAATTTCGTTAACGAAAACTAAACGAAAATATTTTCGTCAACGCACATTTTTCACCGAACGAAAACTAGACGAGACGAGACTAAAATCCCCACTAAGAAACAATAACTGGGACTAAATCAGAAATAATTTTCGTAGACTAATAAAGACGAGACGAAAATGCAGTTCGGTAAATAAAGACTGGGCTAAAATCTATGGACATTTTAGTTCACGAACAAAGACGAGACGAAAATTACATATTATTATATGATATGGTTTTGTCAAATCCTGTCTCCTCCTCCGCCTCGTCAGCTCTTCCGCCACACACCCACGTTCAAACCTGGAGCGGGCGGGCACAGTCAGAGTAGCCTACACAACACACATGGAGCAGACAGGAGCTGGATTCACGGTGAGGCGGCGGCGACAGGTTAAAAGTAAAACATGCTTTGCACGGGGCTCGGGAGAAAGAAAAGACGTGATATATGGACACATTTTGTTACAATGATAAACTAACTAATGATGGCTAACTTTCATAGCATTTAGTATCCAGGCTGGCTATGTTGCGTTAGCTTCTTAGCACGTAGCGACCGTAGCCACTTGTTGATAGAATTGTATGTGAAGTTAAATTTATGCTAACTTAGATATGTTATACTGGCCGGGCAACTATAGTTTCAGTTACATTTAAAGCAGACAGACGCTTTAAAAAGATTAGTTAAAAAGATTTCATACGTTCTAGCAATCTATGCCTTGTTTCACCTTAAATACTGTACCTTTATATACCATGTGAACTAGCTGGCAGGAAAGCACTTTTGTTATATCAGTTGGAGTTTTTTTTTTTTTTTTTTCACAACATTGACCTCAAATCTATTTATTTTATTATTCTATGTGAACTAGCTTTAAACAGCCAGCACTTGTATTAAGTTCATAATACACTTTATTTTATTTATTTGTTTCCTTTGTCGGGTGTATTTTATTTGTTTTAATGCAAGCATTTGTGTTTGTGTCTTTGAACCTTAACAATGTTCAAAATAAATATGCAAATATTGTCAGAACATCTTCCATGTCTGCATGTGTTCCTTAAAATTGTGTTTTTTTATCAAAAAGATGAGAGAAAATGTTGAAATGTGAAATAATTTTAGAAAATGTTAAATATTATCTGCTGACAAAAAAGTAAAATGTTAAAATGATGTCCTGACTAAAACTAGACTAAAATGTTGACAGTTTTTTTTTTTTTTTGACTAAAACTAAACGAATAAAATTGTTTTCTTGGACTAAAATAAAGACTAAAATGCTCGACTTATAGTCGACTAAAACTAGACTAAATAAAAATGGGATGATGTCGATGTCGACTAAATGTGATAAAAACTAACAAGCGATGCTGAAACTGGACTAAAACTGAAACTAAATTTAAAAATGGCTGGTAAAATTAACACTACTGCGCGCATCCAAAAAAATCGCATTAATCTTTGTCCTTTGTTACTATTGATATGAAACAAAGTCTCAATTTTCAAATTACGTCCATTTTCTTTAGAAATTCAAAAACATAAATAAGGTTTTGGCGCTGTGGCGTGAGATCGCTCTGGCTCAGCTCAAGAGAAGCAGCAGCGCTGATCTCTCTTCCGGCTTAATAATACCAGTCACAGCGCGAAATAAAACATGAATGAGCATCTGAAAGTGTGTTAAAAGATAGAGTACAACTTATGGCTCTTTCAGACTGCACGATTTTCAAAGTAGTCAGGTCGCTGCTCTTTTCACACTGCATGACTATCTTGGCCAGCATTCAGTCGCTGCTGTGTTCACACTGGACGATGGATCGGCGACAGAAGGTTTCACACTGCATGACTTTAGAAAAATCGCCGACAGACTCTGTCTAGCACGCTGCACGCAAACTACATTTCACAACAAACACGCGTGAGATATGAAAAGGAAACAACGCGCGACACCACACGTGCAAGACAAGTTCTCACGTGAGACTTTTTTTTTCGACCCGGTTGTGGTACAGCTGGTGAAACAGACACGAGTGCTCCTGCCAAATTTCTAATAATTTTTCTTCCATTTATTGTGTCCAAATAGACCGAGAAGAAGCTTTTTTTGTTGAAACAATGCCATATCATGTTGAGATGTGATCTTGCTCTCTGTATCTTGCTCTCTCACTGGCTGCCGGTGATCGCTGATGTAGTTTTCAGTCAAAACACTTTTCACACAGCAGGATTTTGAATCGCCGACAGGTCCAGATATTTAGCATGCCAAATATCTCACGGGCGTCGGCGACTCGTCAGTGATTCTCTCAGTTCGCGTCTTTGTTCATTCACACTGCGTGATTGTCACTCGCGTGAACGAGCGCCGATTTGCCTGTGATTTCGGGCATTTGTCGGCGATTTCTCAAAACCTGTCGGCGAGCCAAAATCGTGGCTAAAATCATGCAGTCTGAACTCGGCATTATCGAAATCCGTATCATGTCACATTGATTCGCTCAATCAGCGTTTCAACCGTGGAAAGACGTCAGTTAAACAGCTTGTAATCAATGTCATTGTCATATTTACCTCAGAAAACCCACATAAACTCGTTAGTGAGCTAGAAAAAAAAACTCCAGAGGAGCATTTTGCTAAATATATACACCATATTACATATGCATTATAATCTTCAATATTTAATGCATATTTGAATAAATCTGACAACTTTTTATGACAGCCACCATTTAAATGTTTATATTTCATATAATCTTCTTATTATAAAAATAAATAAAAGTGTAATTTAACTGTTTGTATAGCTACAAAACAGTTCATTAATACCGTCATATTAGGTTAATGAAGCCTATTGGCTACAACTAGACTCCCATAGTTTACAGCATTTAAGAGATTTGATTACCTTGAGAAAAATGGCCATTTATTGTAACTGATATCCAAAATAATCGATATTGAAACGAATCGTAATCGAAATCGAATCGAATTGCAAGCTTGTAAATCGAAATCGAATCGAATTGTGAAATTTGTCTGAATACCCAGCCCTAGTATATAGGCTATATATATTTCCCTTACTTCGGCTGCTTTTAAAAAGTCATTTCAAATGCCACAAAACTTGAAGCATCTTTTAAAAAACAATAAGTAAACAAAGTATGTGCTTATATACAAACTTTAACGTTTTACAGAAATGTTCACTGGAGTAAAAAGTGATAACTAGCCCCACTCTCCCCTACTTGTAACAACAACAACATAACTGCTTGTCAATAAATAAGAAGACCAAGCAAACAGATAATGGCATCAGGTCTCAAACTGTTAAAGTATATAATACAAACACTTTATGCAGAAACTGCCGATTGTTGCATTTCATGTGCTTTATGTTACTTCCTTAACTTAAGCCAGCTCCTTTTTTCCTGTCTGTCATTATTGGCCAAGCTTGATTAATTCAGGTGTGTCTGACCTCAGTAGTCACGGCAACAATAATCAGGCACACCTGAATTAATCAAGTTTGGCCAATAATAGCAGACAGGAAACAAGGAGCTGGCTTAAGTTCAGGAAGTAGTGCAGCAGTGCATAAAGCCAAATAAATCTTTCAAAATCGTATTCACGGGCAGACTGGTAAGGGCCACTGGTGTTTATATTTTGGCTAAAGGTCGGCTCACGTGCACACACTAGCTGCGCATGCGGCCTTGAACAGCTCGCACATTGTTTGACCCTCTATGCACAGAGAAGACAGCTTTTAGAAGCCGCGTCAGCTTGTGCAAAAGATGCTTTCGTCGTTTAGGCAACGCGTGGCTTCAAAAACCTCACAAAACAAACACACCACCGCTTCCGCGAGCACCAGGGGGCCTTTAGCAACCAGCCTCTCCCGCGCTCACGGTTCAGAAATGAACCCACTTTAATCAACAGCATGAGTTCGACAAAACGCCATAAGAGTGCATATAAAGTAACGTTAACAGCCACAATCGACGCGGGTTTTGCACAAACTAGCCTCGAGTCTGGAGTTGCGTCGCGTGCACGAAGGCCTCGCGCTTAGACGAGGAGCGTGCACGCCCACTCCCACTCCGCGCGAGATGCAAGATAAAACACTCACCGCGTTTGTCACTGTGATCGAAGAGCCCGCGCATAATTGGAGAAGGAATAGTATTATCGCTTACGGTGTTGGGACGCCATATGGGTTGCTGTTGTCGTTAATGCCACAACCTTTTCCGCTTGAGAACTGCGGTGGACACAAGTAGTACTTCCTGTTGACCCTCTGAGCCAGCAAACACAACTCGTCGTGGTGTGCTGGATCTGTCGGCAGGGGGCAGTGTGATCCACGGGCTTTCTTCTTCTTTTGGCGTTTAATGGCGGTTGGCAAACAAACGATAGGTGCATTTCCGCCACCTACTGGGCTGGAAGATGGACCATTGATGGAAACGTACATTTCTTAAGTAAGTAACTCATTAATTGCATGATACGTGTTATGAGGATTCAAGCCATTGTTCAGCAGTGTTTTCCTATACCCATTTCTCTATTTTTTTTTCCAAAAGAAATAGCTTATTATTTTCATAAGCAGTACAATGTATTACATTTGCTCTAAGTTTCTGCTGTATCTCTAGTCAGACCCATTCAGATGGGTTTTTAAAAAAAAAAAAAAATGTATATAGATATGTATACGTAGGTAGATTACTCATTAGATCGCCTCATTACATATTAACACATGGAATAAAATCTGGAAACTAAAATAAATAAATAAATATTTAATCACAAACCAAATAAAAAGAATTCACTTAAACTCATTTAAAAATACTACCCATGTAATTATTATCTTGTGAACATATTTAATTGTGACATTGATGCATTTTGTGGTTACATTATGAATAATTATATAATTCATTTTGGAGCTGTCCTCATTCAGTTATGGTCAGATCTCTGTGCCTTTTATTAAGGCTCATATCATGCCCAGCTTTCAACTGTGCTTTAAAAATGTGTTATTTGTCTATTATGACAAATCTTATCATTAGATAACCTGCTGCTTCTTTTGGTTAAATGTAGTAATAAATGCAAATTTGGAGGAAATACACCTTTGTTTTTAATTTTAAGATCAGAAATTCAACAATACCTAAACACAATGTCGGGTTTGAAAAATAAGAAAGCTGCAAAATGTGTTTCAATCTAAGCAACTTCACATTTTTTTTTCAATTTTAAGTTTGTCACTGTTTCTTTATATATTTGTATTTTTTTTTTGCCCCCTTGACTGTTGCCTTGTTGTAGGCTAATTCTTTAAAATCAATAAAAAATTATAATATATATATTCATCAAAGATATTCATGCATGCATACAAACGTTGACCTGTGGAGGGCAGTAATTGCTTAGCAGCGCCTACACTGCCGGAATCCTACTATAACATGACATCCCAAAAACATGGTAACTAAAAAGACAGCGTTTACAATACATAAAGAAAAAGAAAAGAAAGAAGAAAACATTAGGCAAATATACAAGAATATTGATGTAAATAAAATTAAATTGATTGAAATAATTCATGTAGCCTACTTGTTGAACAATAACAGAAAGGCAGTCATAACTGAGAGATTAACAAACAAAGACTGAGATTACAATCAAATGTCCCATTACAATATACACAATAAAAGAAATGTTACAGAAGAGCACATGGCACAAAGGAAATGCATGACAAGCCATGTGCTCACAATAAACAGAACTAACACAAGCACATGACAAACCAGACACTGTGACATCTCTAAAAAAAAATTTGTCATCAATACATTGGATTGAAATGAAAGTCAGCCATAAAAACCTTCAGACAAGGTTTAAAATTATTTATTTTCATTTTGTGAACATAAAATTTACCAAATAAGATCATAAGGTTCATCATACAGAAGTATATTTTGATTCAAAATATGTATCAACATCTTTGGATGTTATTTCACAATTATAACCAGAAAAGGCTTTTCATTAACACCAATAGACCTGTGGGAATGGCTTTTATCACAGAATACTATTCTATAGGTTATTTAATAGGAAATTACAATTTATTCATATAACATTTAGCCTACATAATGAAACTGAGCTACTGATCTGAAAGGTAGAAAGTATTCATTAATTTATCCATCCAACTCTGTAAGAGATTTCTGGTTATTGTAGTATTTTAATGTTATTGTAACAGTAATAATAGCACAATTCCACAAGATTGCTTTATGTGGGGATAATTTTTATTTACACAACATAACTTCCAGGCCTTAAAAGCTTGTTGATAGAAGTTGGATAATGCCACGGGCAGTTATAACAAAAATAAAAACCTTTTTAAAAATATTGTATGATAAAGAAATAACAATATATTGAGTCCGATTTAAGTTAAAAAAAAAATCATGAGCCATTTTACTTTAAATGTGTAATTTAAATGGGGGGGGGGGGGGATACAAAAGCTCAAAACCTTCTTATACAGTCTATGCTCAAAACCACCATAATTTACAAAGAGTAGAAGAAGTACACGCTGATAGACAGCAGGTTGCAGTAAAGAAACTAATTGGATGCTAACTGCTATAAAACACCAAGAAGAAGTACACGACAGCAGTAATGCAACTTTTTGGATGCCGAACCAATACCATTCGCGGTTGGTCTTCAAACTGTCTGTGTAATCATTGTCACGGGAGTTTAAAGTAAACTTTTCGAAAGGATGCGGTTTCCGAAAGGTGAGTAAATTTGTGAGTAAACGACACAATGTTCCTCTGTTTCCCGTCGTTTGTTTTTAAATCCTTTATATTTTATATTTTTAGCTGACACCATCATTGGGGTTACAGCTGGGGCTGGTAAGTACTTCTTCTAAAAAAAGTAGTATTCTAGACCGGTTTAAAAACAAAATCCGCAGGATTCATAGAAATTGCTTGTTAGAACCATAATTTAAATGATAAACTCCTTTTTTCTCAATTTATTTTCACGTTGGTTAGTTGGTGCCATTGCTTTGACCCCGTTTGCGCTCTACATGGCTGGGTTCACCGCTGCCGGGATCGCAGCCGGTTCGGTGGGAGCTGGGCTGATGTCATCAGCTGCCGTCGCCAGCGGGGGAGGAGTGGCTGCGGGGAGTTTGGTCGCAGTACTCCAGTCTGCAGGTCTTTTTTTTTATTATTATTATTAAAAGTTCAAAGGGAGTTGTTTTCTAGTGTTTACTAAACCTTATTTAAGATTTTAAATGCCTTGATAAGAAAGGAAGAAAAAAATTAACAAAGCTGTATTGAAAATGATTAGCTAAACTAAATTTGTATGAAATAATAGTACCTGGTTAACATGGAATGTTTTGTATTGTAATTACAAGATTGGAAGGTACTACCCCTGTTTTGTGTCATTCTGCTGCAACTTTCGGTTATTGATGTCATTAGGTGCTTTGTTCTCTCTCTCTCAGGTGCTGCGGGACTGTCTGCAGCTGGAACAGCTGGTGTGGCGTCTGTCGGTGGTGCTGTGGGGGGTCTGTTTGGAGGAGCTGTTGGTTTGCTGAAAAGGATGAGGAAATAAGAAATGTCCATCGAGCTTCTGATCACAAACAAAAGCTGCCTCCCATTTCAAAGGCTGCATCCTTCGAAGGTCTGAGAAGGATCGTTAAATGGGGTGGTCTATGGAGGAATCCTCTTGTAATAAATAAGATTTTTAATACTAATAAATTCTGATATAGCAAACATTAAATGCACTTGCCTAATCGTCTGTTTTTACTGTTTTTGGTCCCACTTTATATTAAGTGGCTTTAAGTACTATGTACTTACATTGAAATTAATAATTTGATACAATGGACTTATTGTGTACATACATGTTTTTACATTGTACTTATATTTTGAAAATACCTAAATGTAATTACAGCTGTAATAATGTAATTACATTTGTAATTACACAGTTGACCCTTCCCTTACACCTTAACCCACCCTTAAACCGACCTATACAACCACACCTAACCCTAACCTTACCCGCAGTAGCGGTTCTAGGCACGGGCGAACCGGGCAGTCGCCCGGGGCGGCATTTCTTCAAGTCACATGGGGGGCGGCACGAGCAGTTAAAAAAAATCCTCTGTCCCGCGAAGGTTTTCTATTTTTTATCATTTCAATTCAATTATTGGCGATGGCGTCCCTGCTTGCTGAGAAGGTGCCGTGCACAGAAGCGATATCAAGGGGGTCTCTTGATTAGTTCACGTATCGCGTCTTTTGCGCGCTTGAGGTCGTTATTTCAAATAGGCGATTAGGCGCACGGGAAGCGCGCTCATTACGCGCTCGCGGGAGGCGCGCTCATAATCTTATCAGTATGGGAGTGCACGTGCACCCAAACACTTGGGTTTTTTTCTCTTCTCCGTAAAGAAATCTTTTAGCAGAGCTTCAGCAAGCGTTTTTCTGTGGTGGAAACACAATAGCTACTAAAACTTCTCTGCCATTGTGGAGAGCGCAGTGCATGGTTGTATAGCAACGGCAGCCATGGGGAAATCGGACCGAATTTTACTATCAATAATAAAAGATCAGCTACTGTGCATTATAAATGTCAGGAATGTATCTTTATTGACTCATTCTTTTTATAGAGATGATTGAATGCTGAAATATGAGGTTTATATATTTTTTAAATCTTTTGTGTTAACCTTTTTTTAATGTTTAGGTAAGATAAAAGACACTCCTTAAAAACAAATCTTTAATGTTATTAACTTGGTGAATTGATTTCATTGTGTATTAGGCTTTTTGAACAAGATTCTGTGTATGTGATCATGTTGGTCACTATATTCATGAAATGAAAAAAATTTACATAATGATCAACTTTAGTAGCCTATAAAATGCAGAGTACAATTTTCTATTTTCTAAATAATCTCTGATTCTGTCCTTTTCTCTGACATTTTAAGAGTGACATAGGGCTACAAAAGCTATTTTAGGTCTATAACAGTTTGGATAGTTGTTAATATGATAGCTCGAAGGGGGTCTCGCCCTGGGTGTAATTCAAAGTAGAACCGCCACTGCTTACCCGTATCACACCTCAATAGCAACAAAAGTGTTTTACAATACAATCTGAACAAAATAAGTACATTGTACTTATTTTTCGATGTAAGTACATAGTACTTAAGCCACTTAATATAAAGTGGGACCCTGTTTTTTATTTACTGTTGGTTACTACCACCGTCATCTTCTCAAACAACTTGATTGAAACACAACTAATTCGCGCTTTTTTCTTTTTTTGCTAACTTTGAAACTATTCACTTCACGTTTGGATGGAAACCTAGGTTGTGACAGATGCCGTTGATGAGTGACCGTAACGTTTGTTCTAAACGTTTTTGAAACTTGCATTTAAACTGTCTAAAAACAAAACGTAAAAGAGAATAAGCTATATAAACAAATGTTTACATACCTCCTAGTATGACAACCTTTAAATTCTGGAAAAGACAAGGCTGTGAAGTATCCTTCATTGCATGGGAAACAAAGGACACATTTGGATGCCGAATTTGGCCTTCAGGCATTGGGATGTAGCAATAGTCAGTGCAGCTTTACATTTATAATGTTGGGAAAATACCAGCTAAATTGAGCACCTCGCGGAGCAGCAAGAAAAAAAAGAGCAGCCTCTGTGTACATGTATAATTTTGTGCTTGTGATTGTAATTTCATTACATTTTGAAAATAAGAATGTAAGCACACGAAATCAGAGATCTTGAAAAATCTGTGATTCTTCATGTCACTGTCTTAAAATGAAAATTACAAAGTCATTCTACAGCTCTATGCTAGATGATATAAGTTTAAATTTACTTTACTAAAAGCACTTCCATCCTGTCATTGAGTTCAGAGTTAACAATGTTCAGTATTGTTTCTCATAGAATGTATAACTATTTAAAATAATTCAAAATATTAAATTCTTGTCCTTATACATCAGTGTGGAAAAGTATTTTATTACCCAGTGACTTAGGAGGAGTAATGTAGCAAAAAAACATGTTATTAGAAATTGAGAAATTAAGTTGCAATGCAAAGTTTTGAAGTTGATCAGAAAGGTATAGTCCAAACAAATAGTTATTTACTGGCATCTGGGGTTCCATGAAGAACCTAGGAACTTTTCCACAAAAGGTTCTCTACAGTGGAAAAAGGTTCTTCACACTACAAATAATGGTTCTTTTAAGAACGTTTCACTAAGAGGTTCTTTGCACCAAAAATGGTTATTCAATGGCTGCAGTGACTTTCTGTCACATAGGCCTATAATGCAGCTGTTCTGAAAATCATATTTAAGGCCAGATCACACTACCACAACAGACAGTTGATGGCTTTGTTGTGTAAATGTGGCTCAATCTATATTAATGGGCATTTAATCTTGTCATACTTAACAATCATAATTTCGAATTTAATATTGTAATAGATTTTCACATGATAATTTCGACTGACTTGTCATAATTCGTATCCTATTCATGTCACACTTTCTTTTTAAATCATTTCGTTTTTTTCTTATTTCATAATTATGACTTGTTTAATCAGAATTTCGATTATAATTATGATTTGCAAAATGTTGCAAAATTGCAAAAATTATGATTTTTTTTTTTTTTTCCTGTGGCGAAATTTATCTTCCATAAAATCGCTGATGTCTGGAAAAATTCTGCACATGATTTTTTTTTTTTTTTTTTTTTTAGATTTTAAAGACGTATCATAAAACTGTAAAAAGACATCCAAAATAGACAAACTAAAAAGTCTAAAAATAGTCAACTAAAAAGATAGGGTTTACAATACAAGATAACTTACAAGTTATCTTGTATTAACTTGTAAGTTATCTAGGCTAACTAACTTATCTAGTTAGACTATGGCTATATAGCGCCTTATAACTTACAAGCTAGGGCTAGTATGGCTAACGAATCCGATTGAGTAATAAAACATCTGAAAACATAAAATTCTATAGGCTACTTTACTGTATTTAATTGCTAATTGTCTAACAAACAACGTGAAATTTATTATAGTGATGGAGAGAAATATTAACACTACACTGACAAGCGGTGAAAAAGCACATGATCCGTTTAACGTGACGTATAAGGTCATGTATTTTTCGCCGTCTTGAGGTTGCACATGCGCACTGAAGGGGAAATGGGAAACTCCGCCACCACCACAGCTGAACGTGATTTGCAAGGAAGCGGTTTAGTTTCAGTTTACTTGCGTCATTCCGTCTGCACTCTGCAGCATTGGCAGGGATACCAAGTTAACATCATTTAAAAGCTCCTGTGCAACTATCTAAATATGAAGCGCGGTAAGCTCAAAGATTTGCTTTTTTATCTTTGAAAGGATTTTTAAATATGATTTTTTAGCTATTTATTTGTATCATACAGCTGCAAATATCTCATAATTAATGATTTGTATCATAAGCTGCAAATATCAGCTAGACTAATTCTGACACTCAAATAACATTAAGAATCCAATTACCAACATGGCCAAGACCAAAGAGCTGTCCAAAAACATACTAGAGACAAAATGGGCTATATGCACGCATAAGTTCCGCATTTGACGCAAGGATGCTCGTCTATTTCCGGTTGTGTAGATTAAAGCGGAGGAAAACCGGAGAAAACGGGATTATGGCAGAGTCTTCAATATTTACTGTCCTCCCGTCTTTGAAACGAAACGTACATACGTTTAGATGTAATTTTATATATAGTTATGTTTATTTAATATAATTTTAAAAAGAAGCATAAACACAACGAGGGGTGTCTGTTTTATCTGTTTTTGTGACTAACGTTTCATTAGTATAACCATGGAGTATAAAATTCAATATAAATTTTCGTTATTGCATTGGACTCTATGATCGGCGGAAGTTATCGAGCATCCCTAATGCTTCACCGGAAATACCGCCGTGCATAGAGCCCATTGTACTCCTCCACAAGGCTGGAAAGGGCTACGGGGAAATTGCCAAGCAGCTTGGAGAAAAAGGTCCACTGTTGGAGCAATCATTAGAAAATGGATGAAGCTGTCAATCTCCCTCGGACTGGGGCTCCATGCAAGATCTCACCTCGTGGGGTCTCACTGATCCTAAGAAAGGTGAGAAATCAGGCCAGAACTACACGGGAGGAGCTGGTCAATGACCTGAAAAGAGCTGGGACCATCGTTTCCAAGATTTCTGTTGGTAATACATTAAGACATCATGGTTTGAAATCATGCATGGCACGGAAGTTTCCCCTGCTTAAACTAGCACATGTTTGCCAATGACCATTTGGATGATCCAGAGGAGTCATGGGAGAAAGTCATGTGGTCAGATGAGAACTTTTTGGTCATAATTCCACTAACTGTGTTTGAAGAAGAAGAATGATGAGTACCATCCTAAGAACACCATCCCTACTGTGAAGCATGGGGGTGATCATGCTTTGGGGGTGTTTTTCAGCACATGGGACAGGGCGACTGCACTGTATTAAGGAGAGAATGACCGGGGTCATGTTTTGCGGGATTTCGGGGAACGACCTCCTTCCCTTAGTTAGAGCATTGAAGATGGTTCGAGGCTGGGTCTTCCAACATGACAATGACCCGGAGCACACAGCCAGGATAACCAAGGAGTGGCTCTGTAAGAAGCATATCTGGCGTGGTCTAGCCAGTCTCCAGATCTAAACCCAATAGAGAATCTTTGGAGGGAGCTCAAACTCTGTGTTTCTCAGCGACAGCCCAGAAACCTGACTGATCTAGAGAAGATCTGTGTGGAGGAGTGGGCCAAAATCCCTCCTGCAGTGTGTGCAAACCTGGTGAAAAACTACAGGAAACGTTTGACCTCTGTAATTGCAAACAAAGGCTACTGTACCAAATATTAACATTGATTTTCTCAGGTGTTTAAATACTTATTTGCAGCTGTTTCATACACATAAATAGTTTTAAAAAATCATACATTGTGATTTCCGTTTTTTTTTTTTTTTTTTTTTTTTTTTTTTAATGGCGCTCACAGGACATGCACCTATGATGACAATTTCAGACCCCTCCGTGATTTCTTAGTGGGGGAACTTGCATAATAGCAGTGTGTTCAAATACTTATTTTCCTCACTGTATATAAATGGTAAATAAAATTGGACCCCAAATGGACCCCTGGGGATACCATTTTGTTTAAGTAATGAGTTTGAGGACATGCAAATCAACTTGAACAATTTGTGTTCTGCCACTCAAATAGTTTCCAAACCATTTGACAGCTTTTGGAGACATTCCAGTATCCACCAATCTCTGAGACGGGACATAGTGGTCAACTGCGTCAAAAGATGTAGGAACAGCATTGAACAACGGTCTTTAGAATCAATACTTATAAAGTCATTTAGCACTTTCATAGTGGCAGTGACAGTGCTGTGTTTTTCACAAAAACGCAAATCATTTAAAATGTTTTTTTTTTTGTTTGTTTGTTTGTTTCTAAATAGTCTTTCAATTGATCACATATAAGCCCTTCTAAAATCTTGGATAAAGCAGATAACTTAGATACTGGCCTATAATTATTTGGATTTGATCGGTCACCACCCTAATAAAGGAGTGGCATATGCTACAATCGGTATTAATCCAGTTTCCTGAGTCAGGTTGAAAATGTGTGTCAAAGGTTCTGCAATATGTTCAGCAGCAATATTTAAAAAGTATGGATCCAGCCCATCAGGACCAGCGGATTGCTTAGCATTTAACCTCATAAGAGCATCATATACTTCTTGCGTTGCAATCTAAACAAGATCAAAATCGATAGTTACATTTCCCCTAGACAAAAGAGTTGTCCTTTTGTCTTCTCTGTTTTTGTTGCATGCTCAAACAACGACCCAGAAGATAGAAAGTGCTGGTTTAGGAAATCTAGCATACTTTTCCTGTCTGTAATAATTTTATCCTTCCACTTCAATATATTTGGCATGACAGTATCCCTAGAGTCAGAAGACAGTGATGTTTTAACTTTCCAAAATGTAGAGGGATTAACTGAACTATCACATATTTAATTTGAAAAAGATAAAAATCAGGTTTTGCTTTACGTATATTTGAGAGACACATTTGTTTCTCAGGTGCCTAACATGTTGGCAGTCTGAGCTATTTTTGGATTTCTTTGCCATTGACCAAGCAAGATCACGGTCATCAGACAATTTCTCTGAAAACCACGGATTACCCTTTAGTCTTAAATTTCCAAAAAGGAAATTTACATTTTGCAATGCTATTTTGGGCTCCGGTATCAAATTCACCCTGGTCCAGTCACAAAGATTAAGATCAAATAAAAAAGCTTGTTCACAGAACGACTTCAGATTTCTCTTAATTATCTCTTAATGCGGTTTATATTTAGATATCTCTCACACCAGCAATAACACAGATCACTCATATCATTTGCAAAAATAGCAGTAGCTTTGTATTTCTGCAGCACATTTGTTAAAAACAAATCAAGGAGTGTAGACTTTTCAGGATGTTTAGGATTTGGCTTGTAGGTGAGTCTATAATTTGGGTTAGAGTCACAAAAACTTTTAATTTGATCCGATGCAGGTGTTAATCAGTCCCAATTTAAGTCACCCATTAAAGTCAATTCGGCATATTTTATAGATGACAAACAATCAGATCATGAGGAAAGTGTGTAGCCTACTTTGGTGCAGAAGGAGGTCTATATGAGATTGTAGAAAAAATGTGTTAATATTTATAAAGGACTTTTATTTTACAAAATCGTTGTTAAATAGGTTTAATGTGTGATCCGCGTTAATACTTGTAAAGCAGACAATATCTTCAAATATTATAAGAAGCCGTAGTTTAATATTAGTCTATAAAATATTTATTTTAATATTTTTTGCCCATGCACATTTTTGTTCATGTTTGTACAGTAATTATGCAATGGCTTCGAACACAACCAATCATAATTTGAATGGACTTTTGTCTATTGTATTTTGTTTTTATGTGCACTCTCAATCGAGAACCGAAACTATCCGTTTTAAGTAAGTAAGAAGAACTCTTTAAAAATAAGATATCCCCAAAAGGATTGTATTACAAAATAACTGACACCGACATTCTTTCTCCGTTTTGCTTGATACATCAGCAAAAAGTCTCTGTTAGTCCATGGACATTCAGTGGTGGCCTCTCTCTCTAATCCTATTCAAATTCATTAGGCCTATTTGTCAGGTAGCAGGCTACTCAATGAGCATTTTATAATTCCAATATAATTTAGGACATTTAGGCCTTTTATAAATAATTTCTGCAGTGATTTCATCGGGTTTATTCTTTTTCAGGACTCTTCACCATAATTGGGGTCACAACTGGGGCAGGTAAAGTTGTTCTGAGGGTTGTTTCTTCAAATTAACCCAAATCAGTTGTAGCCTACAGAAGATAGTTAGTGCTGTTTATGTCCATTAGTTGGTGCTGTTGTATTGGCTCCGGTGGCGCTCACCATGGCTGGATTCACCTCTGCTGGTATAGCAGCTGGTTCTATGGCTGCCAGCATGATGTCATCAGCAGCCATCGCCAACGGGGGAGGAGTGGCTGCGGGGAGTTTGGTCGCGCTCCTCCAGTCAGCAGGTATTTTTGTTTATTAAAAGTTAAAAGGAAGTTGTGATGATCTTTTCTTCCATATTGTGACATATATCTAGATGAAACTTCTTTTTGAACAAGAAAAAATGTAGGGAGTTGTGGGATGGTTGTGGTTTGCTATTGCTGTGATGTCATGTGAGTGACGGGTTGTCCCGCCCTTGCCCTTGCACCAGTAAGCACGTCATTAGAGAAGAGATGTAAGAGGGAGGGGAACCTATTTTGATTAAAGATTAACAGGGCACATAAATAGAAAGTGTCTTAAGGATAAATAAATTATAATAAATGCATTGTATAAAAATGTTATCAATAAGTAATGGCAAGGTTATGTTTTTTCATTGCTTTAACTTATAAAAAATGTATGAACATTTCTTAACTTATTTAGAAAAGTTATACAAGATTCAAACATTTTTTTAGAATTCAGTTTAATGTAATTTGAAATAGTTGAAATAACTTAAACATGATTGTAGCCTATTTAATTTCAAACAGCAACTTTTTTTAAAAGTGTAGGCTACTGAAATGCCACTGTGAAATCAAAATAAATAATTCTTGTTTTTTTATACGAAAAAATGTAACAAACCTTATTTGAAATGAATAGGCCATGTGGGCCAAACTAAAAAATTGGTGTATGCTCTATTTTAAAGGAATAATTTATCCAAACATAAAAATGTCCTACATTTCCTGACCCCCATGTCACTCTAAAAATGTTGAAAAACATATTATAGTCTTTTGATTAAAAGATATTCTCCTTTTACGTTCTCCCTGGTCAGGTGCTGCTGGGCTGTCTGCAGGTGCGGCAGCAGTCGTGGCATCCGTGGGTGGAGCAGCAGGTGCTGTCGTAGGTGGAGCTGCAGATTTGCTTTCTCGTTCCAAGAGTCCACCTTCACCTGAGGAGGAAGACTATGAAGAGGAGGAAGAGATTGAGATGACCCAAGAGCTTATGCTGAAATAGATCCTCTGTTAATAACTGATCATAACAATGTAGGCCTATTTGCAGGAGCAATTTGTGTAGTTGCAGTAATATATCAATTTTATGCACGTGCTATTCCAACTTAAAAATATGAGGTTTGCAATTTGTAATTTTACCCTGCTTTAGGAAAAATTAAACATTTGTTGTATATTTCTCCAGTGGATACAGTTTGTGGGAATGTTATAGCCATTTACTCCCATGTTCTCAGTTACAATAGGTTACCGGCGATTTGTAAGTCTTTAGTCAAACGTCTCTCACATGGTTGCCTTGTTCTTGTAATTGACTTGTATAACTTGGTCAGTATAGACTCCGCAGTGAGCAAACATCAACTAGCCTAATTAACCAGAACCGTATAATCGAGCCTGCTTTCCTCCAGTTTGTCTGTTCCGCTCTATTTGTTTATGATTTGGTTTCGGTTTCCTTTCTTGGCCAGTGTCATTGTAGATAAAATACAAAATGCATATCTATAGTATTTCAAACATCGTTTGGAGATCTTTGAAGCTGCTATAAGGGAAAAAAGCAAATAGCCTATGTTAGCCTATGGCTTTCTTGGGTGATTTTAAATCTTTACAATTACAGATGACATTAGGTTAAACTGCTAACTTAACCAATAATCTATCCTGTCAAACAAAGTTGCATAGATTTTTTGTCAATTTTAACAATTTTATTTTCTTTTATTTAAAGCAATGTAGGCTGATTTGTGAGTCATCGCGCGCATGCGTGTTTAAACTTTCATGAGGAAATCGAAACCTAGGCTACTACGTGGTTAAACAATGATGCGTGTTAAAATGTTGTTGTTGTTGTTTTTTCTGTAAATTTTTTATTTTATTTTAATTATTATAATGCATCGAACAATAAAAAACAGAACAGATCGAACCTATACGGGAATTAAATGATAGAATCTTCACAGAAGTTTCACAGAAATAGAAAGAAAAAACAGGCTAAGAGTAGCCTAGAAACACACAGCGAAAACATTATGCATCAATGGTCATTATAACTTTACATAATCACGCTACAGGCTGCATTCAGGACCAGAGCTTGTTTCTGATGCAGTTTCATTTCAGTTTCGATTTCTTTTCTTGAAAAGGGAGACACCCAGAATGCTATTTAAGCAAGCTCTCGCGTATAACAGATCAGTAAAGCAAGAGCATCCTGTGTTTGTTCGTTTTAACCTAGAGTCGAATTAATGGATCCCTGTAAGTAGGCTATAGGCCTATACTAATATCCTAACTAGAATTTTAAATGTTTATCAAGTTTAATTGTTTTGTTTTTTTCTATCCATCCTAGTGACGGTTCTTGCAGCAGGTGCAACAGCAGGTAGGCTACAATTCTTAAAAATACATCTGGTTTGTCTGGCTTCAGCCAAAAGACATGGTTGAGCTGTTTTAACTGAAAGCAACTTGTACTGACATATCTCAAAATATGTCAGTGCTTTTTTTTCTCAAGATGCACATCAGTAGGCCTAATGTTTTTTTGTTTTTTTTCCTAAGGCACACGTCAAATTTATCTTAAATAATCCTAGATTAATGAAAGCCCTGTCTGAAAGGGCCATTCTTTGTGTTCTTTTTGAATATTTTTCGGAGCCTGCGAAATCGATAGGCTATTACGTGTTCAATAGGCTACTGCAAAATGTTAAAGTCACTGCCCTTGCCTTCCAGAATAAAAGAGATTTAAAAAATCTCTATCTGATTTTTTTATCAATCAAGTTAAGGGATTTGTCCCAGACAGCAACATATTGGGATTCAACATTTGCCTCGCATTTCAGGATGAAAAGACATTTCAGGTGTTGTGTTATGATCTATGACCTTATTATTGCTATTGTTAAATTTGTAAACGACTTTACTTGGGCAGCATTTAATGCACAGATTTTTTTGGTCTGTTTAGTCTATAGGCTATAGTACACTCACTTTAGATAGGACTTGTATCCGATACAGCTACACTAATTCCCTCCCAATATGATTTTTGATGATCGATTTACTATGCACATGGTAGATCCTTTTTTGACTGGCCGTGCTATTAACATTATTAATATAATTCATGTCGGCTGGTCATGATTATTTTCCAGCATAACAACTGTCATGAATGGTTTGCAGCGCAAAATCTGATGGAACAGTAGCCTATAGTCTGGAAATAATTTTCATTTATCTGCAGCTCAGAGTCAGATCTAGAAATCTGAAGTGAAGTGGTACATGTTGCTGCTGATTGGGCTGACATTTTTGAAACGCCTCCCAAACAAGAGAAAATGTATCTCAAACCCCGTTGCACACCATTTCCAAAGTCGTTCAACCGGGAAACGTAAAATGTTGCGCACCAGTTTGAGCTTGAACTTGACCCAGGACTTTATTTTATATAGTTAAATCTCCTGTTTTTTTAACTTTATTTTCTCAAAATCAACATTAGCCTATATAAAATCAAAAGTGTACGTCACATCACGATGACAACATGGTGAATGTAATACGTCTAGATTATAGGCCATATTCACACTACACCTTTTCAAATGTAGACTTTTTAGAGGTTGTGAATTACATGTTCAACTCAAGAGAGTATGCAATTTCGGATGCAGAAAATGTGTAGTTCTGGGGTGCTCCAGGACAGGTTTAAAAAAACCTGATTTGTGGAATATCTTTATTTTAATGGCATTATTTGATCCACCTGAACTACTCTGTTTCTCCTAATAGCTGGAGCAATTGTTGCCGCTCCTGCTGTTCTAACAGCGGCCGGTTTCACCGCAGGGGGAATTGCTGCAGGTTCAGTGGCCTCCACTTTGATGTCAGCTTTTGCTGTGGCGAACGGAGGAGGGGTCGCCGCTGGATCTGTGGTAGCTGTTCTTCAATCTGCTGGTGAGCCAAATCTCTGGATTTTTTTTTTTATCATAATGCACTTTAACAATAAAACTGAGTTATGCAAGGGGCAAATTTACAAAACCTTTTTCAACTGACATTTTTCATGTCATTAGGTGCTGCTGGAATCCCTTTGGCAGGTCAAGCCATCGTGGGGGCTTTGGGAGCCACTGTGGGGGCAGTTGCTAGCATGGCTAGCAATTATACTGTGTAACTATAAATCTGTGCATTTATGTATGTTTCTAAAAAAAGAAACCATTATATTATTATTATCTCACTGTATGTCTTAGTGATTAACATCAGTGGCCTATCTGTATCTGTTTAGGTGTAAGGGTGCTGTTTATACGCAAAAATAAAAAGTCTTTTTATGTCATTTATTTATCCTAAACTAATGTTGTACTGTGACTGCTCAGAGTTACTTACTTAAACTGTCATAAGGGAAGTTTTCCTAATGAAAATGGTTCCTCAGATTGCCCTTATATAAGGAACACACTGAAGCCAAGCCATAAGGCACCATTTGGTGCTCAAATAACTTCAATATTTTTTAATATATTTCTCACTATATATTATATTCCTTATTGGCTCAAACAATGTTATGACCATAGCTCAAACCAACCTTATGATGGGGTTACTGTATAAACGCCATTGACAGTATCTAGAGTTCTTGCAAAAGCAGAACTTTTTGCGTTTGATGATGGCATTGCTAAATGTTCGATCAATGCTTTATAAGACTTTTTTTAAATGACTATTTTACCTCACATAATGGACTTTCTCTTCATGTCCGAAACTTGAGGCCCTGAGTCAGTTTACCAAACTCGTCCCCCCAAATTTGTATTTTTATTAGCACTCCTCGGATGTCCGGTCACGCACATCAAAGGTCACACTCTGCATCTGTTTTTTACTCATGGCTTTTCATTGGAATTTGTGACAATGGTTTTTCCGATCACAAATCTGTTTTATAATGCCACCTTTCCTGGTCGATCTGATATTACTGCCCCACCAGTCCGATCGACTCGTCACTTTGCAGCGAATGCTGCCAAGGACTTTGCTTCATCTTATGCAGGAGCTCATTTCCCTTGCTTAACGGATTCACCACCCAGAATACAAAATGCTGATGAGTACCTCTGCTCTGTTCTTAAAGGGTTAGTTCACCCAAAAATGAAAATGAAGTCATTAATTACTCACCCCCATGCTGTACCAACCCCGTAAGACCTTCGTTCGTCTTCGGAACACAAATGAAGATATTTTTGATTAAATTTGAGAGCTGTATAACTACCACATTGGCTGCCTAAGGGACTGCCTCTTGACGGCCCAAAAAGTCAATGAAGAAAATGTTTAAATATCCCAAGTGACTACCGTGGCTCAACTATATGTTTATCAAGCGACGCGAATACTTTTTGTGCGAAAAAACAAACAAAAATAACGAGTTTATTCGACTATTTCTTTTCTTCCTTGTAGGCCAGAAACGAGACTTCCTTAGATTTCCACGACGCATGCGCGAGAATTGCGATCTGAAGTAGTGTAAGCTGGTGTGAGCAGATCGCAATTCTCGCGCATGCGTCGTGGAAATCTAAGGAAGTCTCGTTTCATTTATATACTGATGATGCCCAGTTGTATCTCCCTTTAAGATCTAATGATGATAAACATGCAATGGGAGCTCTGATTGATTGTATTCAGGAATTTAAATTATGGTTAACAAATAATTTCTTGATTAAATGACGACAAAACTGAAGCGATTCAATTTGGGCCTAGTGATGCTTTCAATGCCAGTATTTTATTTATGACCTTTATTATTTAACCCAATGGGTAACCCTTTGTGTAAACAAATGTATGCCTTCAATTTGATTCTGGTCTTAATAAGCAGATCAATGTGGTATTAAGTGGTGTTTTTCCCATCTTCATCGTCTAGCTACAGTCAAATCGTTTTTATCTCTCTTTTTTTTTTTTTTGAAAGGTAATTCATCACTTACCGCTTAGACTATTGCAATTCACTCTATTTAGGGATTAATGATCATATGGAGTGATTACAAATGGTTCAAAATTGTCCAGTGGCCATGGGTTCTGTCTAGCTGGTAGCTGTCTCTTAAACGCATTACAATCTTCCATGTTTCTACAGCCTGACTAGCAGAGGCTCCCTAATGTTGAAACAAATCTCTGTTAACAAATTTTAAAACCCTAAACTGAGTGTCATATATGTGTAACTCTGGTTGTAGATTACCATTAATAATATTCTAAATGGTGTAATGGCACAGGGATAAGAGACTACCACAATACCTTCGTTAGTACACACAACCAATGCTGGATATGTTGTGGGGTTAATTTGGCATCACCAACCCAAGTTATGAAGCCTCCACTTGTCGCCTCTCTTACTCTATCCACCATGTTTTTAAAAGCGTCTTATTTTACCCAGAAAGCATTGCTGTGTAGTCCAACTTAAGGTAAGAGTCTTAAGCGCTTTGTGCAACGGTCTGATTTAGATGTCTATCTGAAGTCTGACTATCTACTATATCTAAGCCATAGTCAAAGTCTATCTTTGTGAAACCTGCCCCTGATGGTGCCAGGAGGCAAAATCTGCCTCACCCCAACCCTTCAAGGTTGCCCATCTATTGTCCCCATTTGAGCCTCTCTTGCTAAAGACAGCCCTTCTGCTCACTCGGACATCAGTCAAGCGAATTGGTAACTGGCAGGCTCTTTCAATGAAACCCTGAATAGGCTTTGTGCTAATAAGGTGCTTTTGAGGTGTTTTTGTTCACATTCATGTTCTCACAACATTGCATTGCTACAATTCAAAAAAATGTTACTAGGAAAGTGGCAATCGACACTCGCCATATACTCGCCAACGCCGATTTTAACTTGCATATATGGTGCTTGCCGAATGTTAATTTTAGACCATGGTCGAATGTGTAACACTCGTTGTAGATTAATGGCGCAGGCATGAAAGCCTCCCACAATGCCCTAGTACATACACCCATACACCCAATGCTGGTATGCAAAAAAAAAAAAAAAAACAACACAGAAAAAGATTGTGTCCCCAGGCATACTGTAAAATACATCGTCACATTGCAATTGTATTTTACAGCTGATGCATTTTACACCTTGTACACATGCCTAAAAAAAGACTCCCAAACGTATGTAACAGGTACTTCCCCATATTCATCAAGTCAATTGAAAATGTATTTCCTCAAGCATGTTGTTCTCAGTATGACAGCATAGCAAGCCCCATTTTTGTTTGTATGTTGTATCACCTTGGCAATTTTGTTGTTTTGATGAAAGAATATGCCTTCCGAGAGAGATATGCCTTATGTTAATTTGTGAACGCTCTGAACCTACAGCCAACCTTTTAAACAGGCAGGCTAAACAACTTAAAGCTGCAGTCCGTAGCTTTTTGGGGGGTATAAAATGATCCAAAATACACATTTGAGAAAATACATAACCAGCCAGTGTTCAAAACTATTTGCTTGCCTTCGCTCCATAGATAATAATGTTTTTTATTCCAGTGGTACTGGTGGATTTCCGCGGGAGATTCGAGCATGTCTTTGCATCATTACGTCACATCTGTTCACATAAGAGTCTCAGCTAGAAGGCTTTATTGAGTGTGAGGATGTTGGAGGTGGATATTTATAGTCTTTTCAAAGAGCACTTGATATAATTAAACATATTAATTTGATGGCGGATCCAGAAAGGTTCAAACAACAACAGCCATACCCCTTTTCCACCAACAAGAACCAGGTGCTGGTTCAGAGCTAGAGCTAGTGCTGGTTCGGAGTTGGTTCGACTGACGAGCTTTCAAAGAGCCTGTTTTCTAGAGAGCCATCATAGAGCCAGATCTTACGTCACTGTATACATCTCATGTTGCCCAGCAACACTAGTGCGGCACACACAAACACACCAGGCTTGTGACATTTGTGTTGTATTTGTCTGAAATGGTGCCTCCTTTGGATACTCTCGTGTCACAGCAGTATCGACACCGGCTGATTGATGGAGTGATCACTAAAAAGAGAAGAGAAAACAATCATAAACAAGGGTGCCTCTGTGTTTTGTGTGGCGAGTGATCTTGCTTGAGTAATGTGAGAGCTTCACGTTCATGAGGAGCCTATTTATTGAGCTTCAGTGACAATGAAATTAAAAGTATGTATAAAGATCCACAGGAGACAAGTTGTAGTGAGAGAACCCAAGTGCAGTTTATTCCCCCCCCCAAAAAAAAAACAGGATCAAAACAGAGACAAGACCCAACGCCCGACAAAACAACTTCGGGAGGGTGGTGGGTTAGAGGTGGTGGTGGGTTAAAGGAGGCCCGTGCAGGGGGACAGGACACAGGACGTGGCATGGTGTGGGCGGGCCTGGGTAATAGCGTGGGCGGATCCGGCAGTGCAGGGAGCCAGGTCAGATCCGGCAGTGGATCTTGCCAGCCGGCATATATGACGTGAACAGCTTCTGGCTCGCCCACATAATCCTCTATGGTGAGGTCTCCTTGATGCAGACTAAGGAGGGTAACTGCTGGGTTCATGGTTAGGTCAAGTATTCTGTAAGGATCCACTGAAGGCAAGTTGTAGTGAGAGAACGCAAGTGCAGTTTATTCAAAACATGACATGGCGTGAAACTAAACTGTGGACATGGACTTACACAACGTGCTCAGAAAAAAATACTTGACAAAGACACATGGCAAACATATGAGGGCTTAACTAGAATAATGACAAGACAAGGGACACCTGTGAACAATGGAACAGACGAATAACCAATGACAAGACATGGCAGGATTACATGACAAGGGAATCACATTACAGACAACATGACATGAAACCAAAATGTGCAGAGACGAGACCAAATCGTGACAGTGTGTTTTCTTCCTTCTGAATAAAAATCTAAATTTCATACCTGTAATTTGTGTGTGTGGCTGCTTGCTGTTGACATGAGGCACTTAAGTTTGTATTTGAATTTGTTGGAATTTTCCCCTTGGAATTGATTCCTTATCTCTGTACTTTACTCTATAGACCATTTCACAAGATGTAAACAACACTGGTCCAGAAGCACTTCCTGTTTCAGTTTTTTAACACTACATAAAAGCTGGGATAAAATACAACCAACAGAACATTTAAAACTGAATCAAAAAGTTAAACAAACATCTTTAAGATGTTTTCTTTACATGTGAAATAAAGAAAACAGTTACAAACTGAAACAGAAAGTGCTTCTGGACCGGTGTTGTTTACATCTTGTGAAATGGTCTATAAATGACTTTCGTTTCCTGAAAAGGATACACCCCCTTTTAAACTCAACCTCTCACAAAAGCTGTCAGTCCGAGTGTCCCAGTTTAGTTAAGATGGATCCCTGTAAGTATACTTACTTTTTATATATATACCTGTAAATATATATATATATAGACCATTTCACAAGATGTAAGCAACACCGGTCCAGAAACACTTCCTGTTTCAGTTTGTAACTGTTTTCTTTATTTCACATGTAAAGAAAACATCTTAAAGATGTTTGTTTAACTTTTTGATTCAGTTTTAAATGTTCTGTTGGTTGTATTTTATCCCAGCTCTTATGTAGTGTTAAAAAACTGAAACAGGAAGTGCTTCTGGACCAGTGTTGTTTACATCTTGTGAAATGGTCTATATAATATTTTATTTATTATTAGTACTTGCTTTTTATATCACAATAATCATAACCTATTTGTTTTCTTATAAGGTACGATGATTGCAGCTGGTGCAGGAGCAGGTAAAGTAAATGCGGACTCTTGTTTTACTAGACAGAAGACATTATTTTAACTCCACTTATATACTCCACTTTTTTTGGAAATAGGCTCATTTTACCACTCCCCCAAAGTTAAACAGTTGGGTTTTCCCATTTTCGAATATATTCAGCCAATTTTTTTGATATTTAGAAGAATATCAGTAACCAGATAGTTTCTGGTCTCATTGACTTCCATTTTTTCCTACTATGGTAGTCAATGAGACCAGAAACTGTCTGGTTACTGATATTCTTCTAAATATCAAAAAATTGGATGAATGGATTCGAAAACGGAATGAGCCTATTTCCAAAAAAGTGGAGTATCCCTTTAATTTTAAACTGTTTATCCATCTGAACCAGTAAATTTAAATATGCCACATTTCCACCCTTCCACCAATTGTATAGCTGTAGCAGTTGCAGCAGCTCCTGCTGTTCTAGCAGCGGCTGGTTTTACCGCAGGGGGAATTGCTGCAGGTTCAGTGGCCTCCTCTTTGATGTCAGTTACTGCTGTGGCGAACGGAGGAGGGGTCGCAGCTGGATCTGTGGTAGCTGTTCTTCAAGCCGCTGGTGAGATAACAAATCATAAATTATAATTATAAACTGCCAGCAGGTGGTAAAGCAATCGGACAGTTCCCCACCGACAAAATGCATCATTGAATTAGGCAGGCTACAGTCAAAACATCGACCTAAAAATCACACAATTTTCAGCGTAGCATATCAGTAGCACATGAAATTTCTTTTTTAAGATAGGCCTATGTATGTACATTAATTCATTCTATGCCTATCTGTAATGTTTATGGTCTTTCTGGGCTTGTTGGGCGTCTACTGCACATTTGTCCTTACCGGCCTTAAGATTTTTTTGTTTACGTAGGCTAAGCATGCACGTGTAAGACTGGAAAAACTGGAAGAACTGGAAGACTGCGTTTACACTTGGCATTAACATGCGACCTGTATCCGTTCAAGTTCCTTTTATTTATATAGCACATTTTATTGCAGCCAATGACTGACCAAAGTGCTTTACAGAACTACAAAATTAAAAGACACTAACACCATGCATAGCAGCACATCATAGAACAGTACAGCAAAGATAAGAACAGCTTAGAACCAAGCCCAAGCAATCTCAGAGTTATCAAAAATAAAAACAGAAAAGACAGTAACAGACTTAATAGTAGCATCATACTCAAAGAGAAAAAAAATAAAAAATAAAAAAAAAAATATATATATATATACACACATATATATATATATATATATATATATATATATATACCCATATAAACATACACATATATACAAACACACACACACACACACACATATACATATACATATATAAATATGTATATATACATATACATATACATATACATACACACACACACACACACACAAACAACCTTATTTAGGCCAAAAAAAACAAGTGCGTTTTTAAAAGTGACTTAAAAGAGATCACAGAAGGGGCTATCCTAACGTCTATGGGCAAATTATTCCACAGCCGAGGCCCAACCACAGAAAAAGCTCGATCCCCTCTGAGTTTTAGTCTGCAGTGAGGGACTTGTAACAGATTTTGTTCACCTGATCTCAGACTTCTCGATGGAGTATAAGGTTGTAGCAGTTCAGTTAGGTAGCTAGGTGCTTGGTTGCAGTGCAGCTTTGTACACAAATAACAAGATTTTAAACTCAATTCTGAAATTAACAGGCAACCAATGAAGGAACCTCAGAATTGGGGTGATATGATCACTTTTAAGACTATTTGTGAGGAATCTTGCGGCGGCATTTTGCACCAATTGCAGACGAGCAGTTTGAGTTTTCGAGATACCGCAGTAAAGTGAATTGCAGTAAACGTGTGGTGATAAAAGCATGAACAGCCATCTCGAGAGTTTTATGATTAAGAAAAGGTTTGACTTTTGACAAGAGACGCAGGTGATAAAAACTAGAGCTTATTACAGAGGAGATTTGTTTATCAAAATTTAAAGGGTTAGTTCATCCAAAAATGAAAATTAAGTCATTAATTACTCACCCCCATGCTGTACCAACCCCGTAAGACCTTCGTTCGTCTTCGGAACACAAATGAAGATATTTTTGATTAAATTTGAGAGCTGTATAACTAACACATTGGCTGCCTAAGGGACTGCCTCTTGACGGCCCAGAAAGTAAAAAATGTTTAAATATCCCAAGTGACTACCGTGGCTCAACTATATGTTTATCAAGTGACGCGAATACTTTTTGTGCGAAAAAACAAACAAAAATAACGAGTTTATTCGACTATTTCTTTTCTTCCTTGTAGGCCAGAAACGAGACTTCCTTAGATTTCCACGACGCATGCGCGAGAATTGCGATCTGCTTACACTACTTCAGATCGCAATTCTCGCGCATGAAACAGAAATGAAACATGAAACATCTCCACCCTGAAACAGGAGTGAGTATATCTGCTGTCACAAGGAAGAAAAAAAGAAGAAAGAAATGGGGGACTGCGTCTCTTTTTAGATCTTTGAAGCTTGAACCGTTCCGTCAGAATGCTCAAGTTCAAGATGCTAACTATCAAAAAGATTGTGTTGCAATGGTTCTTCACAATCGATCTTAAATATGCATATTTTCACAAAGAAATATTGCCACAACACAGGAAGTTCCTGAGGTTTCCTTTGGGTGAAGCTTACCAATATCGGGTCCTTCCATTCTATTCCAATCATGTTATGTAGACGGAAAAAAGTCAGAGTCCTAATATGTTCGAGTACGAGTCAATTCTGAGTCAAAATGCACATGAGTCCATGACAAGACCGAGACAATTAAAATTATGATCTCGAGTCTGAGTCTCGAGTCCACAACACTGAGGACAAGTGCAAATGAGGAGCGACGACGGCAGATGGAGAGAGAAACAGGCCTGATTTGTTTTTTTTTCTGTTGTAACATTACAGCAGTCGTCAATGAGGGGCTGCTGGCTAATACTTTTGTTAAACTCATTAGTGAATTACTCCTCTTTGTATTTATTTCTATATATGGTGAATTACTGCATGATACCTGGATGTTCAGTCAGGCGAAACTATTACAACACAAACGTCCGTGTGCTCGTCTGATTCAGAGATTTCCTCCAGGAGAAATTGCCATCGTTGAAATTCTCTGCAGCAGATGGACTCTATCTGGGTTCTCACATCCATGAGTTGACATCACAAGCTCATATCTGAGACTTTCTTCGCGTTCTTGTGAGCACACACTACACAACCGGAAGGGGTCCAGACACCCACAGTGCGGCACCATGGGTATTCTCATTCCCATAGCCCTTAAAACAAGCTCAGCATTGAGTGTAGCTTATGAAAATGAATGTCTCGGGTTACTTGTAAGTATGTTCAGGCAGAGATATAAAAACGCTAACTTGTATGTTTTCTCTTTAAAATCAGATGATTTACTATTAATTCAATAGAATGTGAGGGAACACTTAATCACAAGTCACTTAATCATCAACTGGAATTATTCAGGATTAAATCAAAGGTGTTCATGTAAATGCAGCTATTGAAACACATCTCACATATATCTCACGCCATACTGTAGATACTTACACAGAAGCATCATGCCCATTCAAACCTGGCACACCCCCTTTTCCATTAAAAAGGGTAATATTTACCCCTTAAATTGATTTCCAGGGGCATTTTTTTTCTAAATTTATTTTATTAAATGTAATCAATAAATTAAATTAAGTCACTAGGGATTTTATCAGTAAATAAAAATACAATTACACATAAATGTGTGTAATTACTGTGGCCTCAAAATGTCGTCCTTACCACTCTGAGCTTGTTAGCAACGTCTGAGGTAAAACACACACTCCTCATTACCATACAGACAAAGAAATGTATAAATTAATTAAATAAATAAATCTAGACAAACACATCTATAAATAAATACAATTGGAAATACATGAAAAAATAAATAAATGTTGGAAAATACAATTATACATTAATAAAGAATAAAAGTATAAATAATAATATATGCATCTCTTTGTATATTTAATTATGTGTTATTTTGGCAGACATTGCATTCCATATTTGAATGACTGGTTCTGAAATCTTTTTTTTAGGTGCCGCTGGAATCCCTATTGCAGCTAAGGCTGTTATAGGCACCATAGGGGCCACTTTGGCTGGAGCTATGGGTGGAACATTGATATGCAATGCAGGAGCCGCAGGTGAATCCATAATTCTCTTGAGTAATGAATAGTTGTTATTATTAGGGGCCAAGGACTCAAAGTGCATAGGCATCTCTTGAAATCATTGGCTTTCTTCTTCTTCTGTATGGAAGTCTATGGCAGCCCATAGAATCGCTTGTGTGAAAGTTGTGAAATTTGGCACACTGATGGAGGACAGTCTGAACAGTCACCATAGCAAATTTGGAGTCTCTAACTCAATCTCTCTAGCGCCACCAACTGTCCAAATCCTACTTTTTTCGAACTCTTCTTAGACGGTTGCTCCAATTTTCACCAAAATTGAACCAGATTATCTCCAGACCATGCAGAAAAAAAGTTATGGAATTTGATACGTCAAACCGTTTTCGATAGACGCACAAACAAATTTTTTGTAGAGCTAGAGAAAACAGATGCAGGCTGTATCTCCACAACGCTTTATCGTATTCAGACCATAGACTGTATCAAAAGATGGACAACGCCCCTTCGATCTCTTCCATTGGTGAGAAGTGAAGCCGCCAATGTCCCGATATGGCGCTGGCATCTTGGGACTTGAGACTGCGCTGTAGTGTTCTCGGGACCAGACCTGCGCAGTAGTGAGAAGGAAGTAAAGCGAAATCAACGCCCCGCCCTCACATTCGCAGAAGGATTTAACACTTAAAAAAATATATGCCAATATCTTCTAAACCATCAGAAGTTTGAAACCTTAGCTTGTTGGCTATATGCTAATGCCTAAATGTCAAAATATTAATAGTAAGTGTGGCATAAAAATGCAAACAAAGTCGGGTGTGTATCATTTTTTTTTTATAATGTATTAAAACTCACCAAGATAATATTAGAACAAAACATGAAATTGCCATTGACAGTACAGTATTGGAATACGGTATTGCCATACAGTTTTGTGATGTAAAACGTTATACTTAAAACACATAGGAGTATTGTTACGAAACTCGGTATGAGTCATCGGCACTATGTCTTGAAGGTACTCAAAATGTTTTAGGGCAGCTCCACCAGGTGGTAAAATTTTTTATAACTTTTAAAAATGTTATACTTTTGAATAAATCTGCCCATTGTAATGCCACTGGCATTGTACATAACTCTGACCACATCATTTTTGTAACTACGCCACCTATTGGTCGAAAGTGACAATCCATTAAATCATATTTTTAGCTAATGTAGATGCCAGCCATTCTGCAATTTATTATAAAAATATTTATTTTTAATATTATTATTATTATTAATTTGGATTCTTTACAAGGCACTGTATAAGTGCTGTATAACTCTCCCCAAAATTAGATTTAACATCTGTTTATCCAACTAAATAAGTTAAATGTTTTTGGGTTTTTTTGCAGATTTTTTGCAGCTTTTTTGCAGTTTCATCTTCTATGTGAATTGTTACTCTGAATAATGTGTGATTTCAAACTGATGACTGTGTTCTAAAATAAGTCCTGTTGTGGTTTGTCATTAGGGGCAACTGCAATCATCCCGGTCACAGGCCAAGGCATGGTGGGAGACGCTGTGAGCGCTGTAGTTGCCGGCTTATTTTCCAACTACACTGTGTAACGGGATCACTGCATCTGTGCTTTAATGCCCCAACATAGTCTTAACAGTCTGATAGATTTCAAGAAATCAAACATATCATTTAACTAATGCACAACCATAAACGTATGCACTTTCTAGGCTAAGAAATATTCTCTTTCTCTTCTGTAATCAATCTTATACTTCAAACTTGACTTACTATGATTTTTATTTGCTCTTATGATAAATTGCTTGGGATGTGATGTTTGCATAACAAGATGGGTAAATTGTTAAAGACAAAAACGGTTTAAATTAAAGTATTTAAAATTTAAATTAATTAAATGTAGGCCTATTGCTTTATTAAACCAAGATGACAGTCTGTGTCTTGTATTTTCTTGAAGAAAACTGTACAGCATAATGCTAGCAACACCAAGGTCTTTCTTCAAATCCCAGGGAAAGCGCTATTATGCCTGAGCCAAAGTGTCCATTAATAAAACATTGTAGTATATCATTCCACAAAGAGCTATGTGAACAGCAATATGGTCTTACGTTTCTGTTTACAGAGAGCAAAAGCTGCATTTTTCGTCTAGAGTAGGGATACATTTCGAAATAATCTTGTATGGGTAATCGTTTTAAATTATATTTCTTTTCCTTTGTAATCTCTCTCACCAAGATGTCTCATTTCAGTGAATTTATGGAGTTACTGAGTAAAATATACTCCGGGATATTGGTTTATTTCGATTAGGCCGGTAGCCCGTCATGTCAGGCATGTCTGAAAGTTTTAGTTTTTTTTTTTTTTTTTAGTTCTAACCAACAAAGTCAATATACAGTCAGAATTGCAATATATACAAAATTAAAAAAAAAAAAAAATAGACAGCCAGGGTAGAGGCTAAACATTATATAAAAATATCAAAGGATTCACAAATCGAAATAGTTTTAATTGCTTTCTTATTGTGGGAATGAAAGATAGTTTTGATATATAATTGCTGAAAGTGAGTAACTTTAACTTGTGGATCGGTGGCGCTGACGTAAGACGTGAACTGTTTCGAATGATTCAGTCCGATTTAGGACAGTTCGACCATGGTTCACTAAAAAGAACCGGTTCAAAAGAACGGTTCGTTTACGCATAGTGTCGTTTACGAACCAGCCATCACTAAAGCCTCCATTTTTTCTTGACACAAACTCCGACGTCTCGGTTCAAATCAAATGTCACATCACTAACGGCAAGTAATTACATGGTTATTGAAACATTCTCAAAGAACGCTAATCCGCCTGTATCCGTGTTTGCAAGTAATGTTGTTTGCTGGAGGAAAGCACGAGAGCTACGTTCATGAAAGAGCCTATTTATTGAGCTTCAGTTAGCTTTAAAATAGTAATAAAAAAATATTCCTTCTGAATAAAAATCTAAATTTCAAACCTGTGATTTGTTAGTGTGGCTGCCTGCTGTTGTTGACAAGAGAGTTTTTCGCTTAACTCTTTACCCTACAAATGAGTTTCGTTTCCTGAGAAGGACACACCGAGGATTTAAACTCAACTTCTCACACGCAGTCCAGCAGTTCGAGCGTCCCAGCTGCGTTGACTTAAGATGGATCACATTCACTGTAAGTAGCCTATACCTGTTAAATTTTTAATATTCATCAATCACAGTACGTTAATCATATCCTGTTTGTTTTATTATAAGGTATACTGATTGCAACTGGTGTAGGAGCAGGTAAAAGAAATCTGGACTCTCTTTTACTAGACAAAAGACATTATTTTAAAGCTGCAGTCCGCAGTTTTTCCTCTTTGTCGCCATGCAATGTCTGTTCGAAATCTGCAATTGCATTTATTCGCAGAATTATTTCATGTGTCGTAATTCAACACAACATCATAGTGCGGATGAACACATGTTTGAGGAGAGTGTGTGTGTGTGGCTGTCAGTCACAGCACTGGTGATACTGGCATTCAGAATCACAGATTATTATTTTTTTGGAAGTATGACTAACATAGTTTTCACCGGAAAAGTAAGTAACATCCACTTTTGTTCTTCTGACATTGCGGTAAATCACGCTGATTAAATCTAAAAATCGCTTATCATATAACGCAAAACCGTGCAAATTATACTTCAACTTTGTTCTCAAATTAGCAATATGGGCATTATGACTACATGTAATGTCCTTCTGATATGTATGTTTCCGCATGGGTCCGGTTGCAGTCTCTTTTTTTTCTGTAGCCACTCCAAAGTCCGAACAAAGTCTTTTGCATTTTACAAGCTTACCGTTTTGAATCGCGCTAAGGCAAGTTTTGAACACTGGCTGGTTATGTATTTTCTCAAATATATATTTTGGATCATTTTTAACCCCAAAAAAGCTACGGACTGAAGCTTTAACTGTTAATTTTTGCAACACAAATAATGGCCAACTGGTTTAAGTGGCTTTTAAATGTTTATCCATCTAAGTTTGTTCAAATATGCCATGTTTTCACCAATTATATAGCAGTTGGAGTTGGAGTCGTTGTAGCAGTTCCTATTATTATAGCATGTTTAGGTTTCACCGCACATGGAATTGCTAGAGGTTCAGTTGCCTCCTCTATGATGTCATATTCTGCCATATCGAATGGAGGAGGGGTCAGATCTGGAGGCTTGGTAGCTACTCTTCAATCCATAGGTGAGTTAAACATAATAAATCAAAAATTATAAGTCTGCCTGCAGGCGGTATATGGCAAGCCGTTTTAACATTTAATCATATAAACTATTTATTTTCATGTTACTAGTACTTATTTTTTTAGATAGTATTTGATTAAGTATACTAGTACTTTTTCATTAGCTACTAGTGCTTACTTTTTTGTGTAGGCTACTAGTACCTATTCTTTAGATACTATTGCTTATTCTTTAGGTATACTAGTGTATCTTTATATAGATACAAGTACCTATTAAAAAGACACTAGTACCTATTCATTAGATTATAGTGCCTCTTAAACTGTTACCAGTACTTACCGTAAAACATAAAATAATAGCCCGGCCTTTTATTTTCCCAAATCATCGAGCTGCATCGGCTTTTATTTGAGACATGCGTCTATATAAAACCGGCCTTTTTTATTTAGTGTTGAGATGTTGTTTTATTAAGTCTCTAATCTCTAAAAATCTCCAAATGCTCCACGTGAAACTGCGGTCTTCCAACCTTTTACTATCGTGTCAATAGGCCTATTTCACAAAAGTAATCTCTTATTCCGGGTAAACTCTTTTCTGATGAAAGCGCTAGCAGTTGCAGTTGGAGGACAAATGCCGAGACTTAAACCGATCTGTCCCGTTCCTTACCTTTTAATGTTTCAAATCAAAGAAGAAACAAACATTGTGCCAGCATTGCTTTAGAGGTTGCAGAAGTGGAAGGTGCTCAGACCATACGCCGCACACTGCAACAAGTCGGTTTGCATGGCTGTCATCCCAGAAGGAAGTCTCTTCTAAATCTGGCTCACAAGAAAGCCTGCAAACAGTTTGCTGAAAGCAACCTGTCCAAGAGCATGAATCACTGGAACCATGTCCTGTGGTCTGACGAGACTAAGATAAACTGGTAAGGAGTACCAAGAAAATTGTGTCTTGCCTAGTCAAGCATGGTTTTGGTAGCATCATGGTCTGGGGCTTTCTTGAGTGCCGCTGGGGAGCTGCGCTTCATTGATGGTAACATGGATTCCAACATGTACTGGCCCGGACGGCATGATAACGACCCCAAACCCACCACCAAGGTGACAACTGCCTCGCTGAGGAAGCTGAAGGTGATGGAGTGGCCAAGTATGTCTCCAGACCTCCAGAACCCTGTTGAGCACCTGTGGTGATCCTCAAGAGGATGGTGGAGAAGCGCCATGTGTCCAACATCCAGCAGCTCGGTGATGTCATTATGGAGGAGTAGAAGAGGATCCCAGTAATAACCTGTGCAGCTCTGGTAATCTCCATGGATTAAGGCAGTGCTAGTTAACACTGGTGCTCACAAAATATTGACACTTTGGACAGAGTTTTGACATGTTCACTTAGGGTGTACTCACTTTTGTTGTCAGCTATTTTGAAAATAATAATGGCTGTATGTTGTGTTATTTTCAGAGGGGGGTAAATTTATACTGCTATGGCCCGCAAATTTCTTTTTTTCAAGGCTCAGTTCTTGCAACACTTTTATTCAACCTGTTTATGCTCCCACTGAGTCAAATAATGAGAAATAACCAAATTGCTTACCACAGCTAAAGACAATACAAAGATTTACTTAGCTTCATTGCCTAACGACTACTGCTCTCTGTGCAAATACATTGATGAAGTCAACAGTTGGATGTGCCAAAACTTTCTTTCAGTTAAACAAAGACAAAACATGAAGTCATTGCATTTGGAAACAAAGATGAAGTTCTCAAGGTGAATGCATACCTTGACGCTAGGGGTCAAACAACTAAAAATCAAGTCAGGAATCTCAGTGTAATTCTGGAGTCAGACATTAGTTTCAGTAGTCATGTCAAAACAATAACTAAATCGGCATACTATCATCTGAAAAATATTGCAAGAATTAGATGATTTGTTTCCAATCAAGACTTAGAGAAACTTGTGCATGCTTTCATCAGCAGCAGAGTGGATTGTTGTAATGGACTGATGTTCTCCTACAGTAGTCACATTCAAATCCAGACTCAAAATACATCTGTTTAGCTGTGCATTTACTGAATGTGCTGTGTGCCACTGTTCGTCCGATTGTTTGCACTGCATTTTATTTCTTTTTTGTACTAAACTGTTCTTATTTCTTTTGATTATTTTAATGACTTCTATGCAAAGCACTTTGAATTACGATTGTGTATGAAATGTGCTATAGAAATGGTATATAAATAAACTTGCCTTGTCTTTCCTATATACTGGCAAGCAGCTTATGTACTTAAAATCTATCCAAGTTTCATTTCTATAGTATTGTCCCTTGAGAAGATATACTAAAATGTTTGCTGAAATGTCAGGGGTGTACTCACTTTTGTGAGATACTGTATATATATATATATATATATATATATTGTTGACCAAAGTGCTTACCAGAATATATAATAAAAGCGATTACATACCTGTACATGGGTATATAAATATACTGAAAGTATATTACTCAAAAGTTTTTAATCGGTAAGATTTTTAATGTTTTAAAAGAAGTCTCTTATGCTCACCAAGGCTGCATTTATTTGATTAAAAATACACAAAAAACACTAATATTGTATAATATTATGACAACTTAACCGTTTTCGATTTTAATATGTAATTTATATCTGTGATCAAAGCTGCATTTTCTCAGTATATGCATCATCACAGTCTTTAGTGTTCAGTTTCACTTCATCCTTCAGAAATCAAATCATCCTTGCAGAAGAGACCTCTTTTAAAAACATTATAAATCTTACCAATCAAACATTACGACAGTGTATTTTTAAAGTGTTATTAATGTAAAATAGGCTGCTTATAATTAATGTGTTGGTTTCATTTTCACACAGTCTGTTTAGTCACCTGTCTTACTGTTTCGTTCGAATTTTATATTTTTTTACTATAACTGTGGCTAAAATTGTTCACTTGTTTACACATTTACTATTTTCTACATGATGAATGGCACAAAATGCATTAGATAAGGTATGGGGAACGATTCAGACAGTGTAAAAATGCTTTCCATTGGCAGATCATATAAATGGCACTATATTATATCTTATTAAAAAGGTTTAGCATGCATCATCTTGCTTAGGGTAAATAAATAAATATAGACAAACACATCTATAAATAAATACAATTGGAAATAATTATATAAATAAATAAATGAAAAAGAATAATTATACATTAATAAATGAAAGTATAAGAAATAGTGTATTCTTTGTATGTTTTTCTATATAAATGGTATTTAATTATATTTCTTTATATTTCTTTTTAGATTTATTATTTACGTCTTAATTGACAGTGAGGAAAATAAGTATTTTACAAGTATTATATTATATAAGTAAATAAGTATTATTATTATAAAAGTTCTCCCACTTAGAAATCATGGAGGGGTCTGAAATCGTCATCGGAGGATGTCCACTCTGAGAGACATAATCTAAAAAAAAAAAACCAGAAATCACAATGTATGATTTTTTAACTATTTATTTGTATGATACAGCTGCAAATAAGTATTTGGACACCTGAGAAAATCAATGTTAATATTTGGTACAGTAGCCTTTGTTTGCAATTACAGAGGTCAACTGTTTCCTGTAGTTTTTCACCCACTGCAGGTTTGCACACACTGCAGGAGGGATTTTGGCCCACTCCTCCACACAGATCTTCTCTAGATCAGTCAGGTTTCTGGGCTGTCGCTGAGAAACACAGAGTTTGAGCTAACTCCAAAGATTCTCTATTGGGTTTAGATCTGGAGACTGGCTAGACCACGCCAGATATGCTTCTTACAGAGCCACTCCTTGGTTATCCTGGCTGTGTGCTCCGGGTCATTGTCATGTTGGAAGACCCAGCCTCGACCCATCTTCAATGCTCTAACTGAGGGAAGGAGGTTGTTCCCCAAAATCCCGCAATACATGGCCCCGGTCATTCTCTCCTTAATACAGTGCAGTCGCCCTGTCCCATGTGCTGAAAAACACCCCCAAAGCATGATCACCCCCATGCTTCACAGTAGGGATGGTGTTCTTAGGATGGTACTCATCATTCTTCTTCTTCAAACACAGTTAGTGGAATTATGACCAAAAAGTTCTCATCTGACCACATGACTTTCTCCCATGACTCCTCTGGATCATCCAAATGGTCATTGGCAAACTTAAGACGGGCCTTGACATGTGCTGGTTTAAACAGGGGAACCTTCCATGGCATGCATGATTTCAAACCATGACGTCTCAGTGTAAACGGTGGTCCCAGCTCTTTTCAGGTCATTGACAGCTCCTCCCGTGTAGTTCTGGCCTGATTTTTCACCTTTCTTAGGATCATTGAGACCCCACGAGGTGAGATCTGTCATGGAGCCCCAGTCCGAGGGAGATTGACAGTCATATTTAGCTTCTTCCATTTTCTAATGATTACTCCAACAGTGGACCTTTTTTCACCAAGCTGCTTGGCAATTTTGTGGAGGTGTACAATTTTGTCTCTAGTGTCTTTGGCAAAACTGTCCCAATTATGCTCTTCACAGCTTCGGGCCCTTGCGCACTTTCTCCGCTAAGTGCACTTTCAACAAGTGTCCACTTCGAGGAAGGCCTTAGGGCGTAGAAGTATGGGTATTGGGACAGGGCCTTACTGATTGTATGGACAGGTGTCTTTATGCAGCTAACGACCTCAAACAGGTGCATCTAATTTAGCATAATAAATGGAGTGGAGGTGGACATTTTAAAGGCAGACAAACAGGTCTTTGAGGCTCAGAATTATAGCTGATAGACATATTTGCAGCTGTATCATACAAATAGATAGTTAAAAAAAATCATATATTTTGCGATTTCTGGATTTTTTTCTGGACATGCACCTACGATGACAATTTCAGACCCCTCCATGATTTCTAAGTGGGAGAACTTGCAAAATAGCAGGGTGTTCAAAGACCTATTTTCCTCACTGTATGGGTTATTTTGGCAGACATGGCCTTCCATATTTGATTGACTGTTTCTGCAATATTTATTTTATTTAGGTACCGCTGGAATCTGTATTTTAGTTGTGGTTGTTATAGGCGCCATAGGAGGCACTGTGGCTGGAGCTGTAATTGGGACACGTACATGCAAAGCAGGAGACGCAGGTGAATCTATAATTCTCTTGAGTACTGAATAGTTGTTATTATTATTAATTTGGATGCCTACAAGGAACTGTATAAGTGCTGTATAACACTCCCCAAAATTAGATTTAACATCTGTTTATCCAACTAAATAAGTTTTTGTTTGTTTTTTTATTGCAGCAGTATCTGGTTCATCTTCTATGTGAATTGTTACTCTGAAAATGAACAATGTGTGATTTTAAACTGATTATAGTTTTCTAAAATAAGTCCTTTTGTGGTTTGTTATTAGGGAATGCAACTGCAATCATCCCGGTCACAGGCCAAGGCATGGTGGGAGATGCTGTGAGCGCCACAGTTGCTGGCTTAATTTCCAACTACACTGTGTAACGGGATCACTGTGGCCCTTAACAGTCTGATAGATTTCTATTCTTGAAATCAAACATATCATTTAACTAATGCATATAAACATAAGCACTTACTGTGCTAGTAATAATACAAATAATCACTTTCTCTTCTGTAATCTATTTTATACTTCAAAATGTACATTGTATGATTTTTATTTGCTCTTATGATAAATTACTTGTGATGTGATGTTTTTATAAATGGATCTAAACAAGTAAATTATTAAAGAAAACTGTTTAAATTAAACTATAATTAGAATTAAAAACTATTCTTATAAAGCCACGATGACAATATGTGTCTTGTATTTTCCTAAAGCAAACCGCACAGCTTAATGCTACACTGTAAATTTTTTTTGATGGTTTAACTTAAAAAAGTAAGTAACCCGGGTTGCCTTAAAATTTTAAGTTCATTGAACTAGAAAAAGTGAGTTAATACAATGAAGGAGATTAATTTAACCATCAGAAATTCAAAATTATAAGTTGTCTGAACTAAATAAATTATTGAAGTTGACTTGACAAAAGAAAAAATGTTGTGATTACTACACTGTAAAAAAATATTGTTGGTTTAACTTAAAAAAGTAAGTAACCCGGGTTGCCTTAAATTTGAAGTTGATTGAACTGGAAAAAGTGAGTTAATACAATGAAGTAGATTAATTTAACCATCAGAAACTCAAAATAATAAGTTATCTCAACTAAATAAATTATTATAAAGTTGATTTGACAAAAGAAAATATGTTGTGATAAAAAATCTTGAAAATATTTTTTTACAGTGTAGCAACACCAAGGCTTTCTTTTCAGTCTAACCTGATTGTCAGGGGAAGCTTGAACTCCTATTATGCCCATACCTTTAACAGATTTTAAATGTCATTTTAGATAAAAGTGTCTGCCCATTATAGAAAAGCTGAAAGCTAGAAAGCTGACAGATTGGTCTGGGATGCCAACAGCTTTTCTTTTTTTTCTCCTACAAATAAGAAAGATGTCATTGTATCTGAAAAGGGAAAACTCTCATAAGTTATAATAACATTATAAAACATAAGATTTATATGGGGAGCAGCGCACAAACACTGATACATGCTTAGTTCTAGAGGATTTGTAGATGGAAAGTGATAAATGCAACCATTTTAGGTGGAAGTGTGGCACTAAAGCATTAGTGGTCAGTTAACTATTTTGTGAGCTCATTAAGTATTTTTTTTATTCAATAATTGCTTTACAATAGTGCAAACATGCACCTCTTAAACATCTGGATCATTTCCAACAATGTATATATTGATCAAGTAGATTCATTCTTACATAAACAAAAGAAAGAAAGAAGAGTATAAAAAAAAATAAAAAAAAAATAAAACAAATAAACAGCAAACAGATACTAATCATCTTGGTACATGAAAGATCTCATCATATTTCTTCACAAAATAGTTAACTGACCACTAATGCTTTATAACTACCGAATTAACCCTGAACTATAAATACATGTCAATAAAGCATTTATTAACACACTCAGTAACGATCACTATATGTCTGAATAATAAGATGTATGAATGTACATTTAAATAGTTTATTAATCATTTACTTACACGTTAGTAATCTTATGAACCACTGACAAAGTTAAATAACTGGTTTATAAAAAATGCAATTCTTCATTTAGAATTGATAAATTGATCATTTAATAAAAGATGAAAATACAATTATTAAACAAATTATAGATATGCTTTTAAATCAAGAAGAAAGCATTTATAACTGTATTCATCAAACTGTTAATGATGAATGATGAATTAACTGTTTACTCATGCTTAACTAGATTATTAGCGTGTAGTTATTATAAAGTGTTACCCGATATTCTTATAAAATATTTAAGAGATACAGATTTTATTAAAATGATATAGTTTTTCTTATTTACTTTATTTCCTTTCGTTTCAAGGCTTCACACTCCATCCCAGTAGGTGGCGGAAATGCACCTCAAACTGGTTTGCCAACTGCCAAAAAAAAAAAAAAAAAACATAAGAAGAAGAAGAAAAAGAAGCAGAAGACATACGTACAGCCGAAACACTAGGGGGCAGTAAGAAAATGTAATCGTTTCACATGTGTATGAGCAACACGAAAAACTCAAAAAATGAGAAACACTGAAACCATTTTTTATCGGATTTTTAAACATGTAAACATTTGAGTCTGTGTGGTCTTGATTAAGGTCTAGGATGGAGAATTTCAGAGGGCCGGTAAAAGCAGACTGCGAAGAACTACTGGCTCGTTTCCAGGCGACCGAGTCAGTTCGGTACGAGCAGTTTCTGGAGATCTGGAGAGACATGAACTTCAGCAGCATCTTCTGGTGAGATTGACGAGCATCTTCAACATATGAAATCACTCACTTTAGACGCCAGTGACAATTGTATACTCATTGTTTTAAAATTACCCTTTTAAATGAGATTACAACCAAGGTTTTACTAGGAGAGGCAGTCATACTTCTGCAGCAAAACTCATAGCCAGCCACTGCTCTCTGACATGTTGTTGAATGTTTATTCCATCTATGTACTGTTCTGTGTATTTTTAGATTTATTCCAAATTAATATATTATATTTCATTGTATATAATACATTTATTTTGTCTCTCTGCAGTGGTAGACCAGAGGGAAATGAGAGAAGGTGTTTAACTCGTGTGATCATGTCTGTGGCGTCTCCATACCTCTTTCCACCCTACACTTTCCAGATCAGAGTGGGGGGGCTTTATCTGCTGTACGGGCTCTTCAACTCACAACTAATCACTCCCAAAGAGAAGGTGCGCTGTCATTCAACATCTAATCATTCCTAACAGCCAGCCTTCAAACAGGTTTCTGTTTGTCCCGAGGCAAATTCACACCGCACTGACAGACACCGACTTATTTGTGACATATTTCACTATGTCGTCACTTATGCTGATATTGGTCGCTGCCTGCCGGTACAGTGTGAATTGGCCTTTAGTGTGTCTGTTTAAAGTTGACATGGTGAGTAAATGATGATTTGTGGAAAAACAATTCCTTTAAAGAAATATTTGACACAAAGATCATGCTAACTCTTATATATTATATTTTATTGTAATTGTCTGACCATCTCTGTGCATTACTGTAGATCCGCATTGCTCTGAAGGACTGGAAGGATGTCATGCAGTTTCAGAGGGATGCAGTGAACGCTCAACATTATGATGTGGTTTATATCTTCAGGAAGCTCCTCTCAGATAAAGCTTTCTACTTCACGGCCATGCCTACACCAGTAGGTTAAGCTCAATGCTCATGTATCCAAACTGGATACAAGACACAGTGTTACAACTAAAAGCTGGAATACACTACACTACACAACTTTTGTCCTGATTTGCAGTCTGGAGAAGTTGATGCTGCAAGTTGCTGGAATTCAGAGTATAGAGTTGTCGAAAAGCATCGACTTCTGTAGCAAATAACTGAAATTTTCAAATGTGATGATAGTATACCAACATTTTCCTGATTTTGAGCGCTGTTGAATGGATACTCAAGACAGATGCATATATGTTGAGCGCGTCAACACAGTGGCCAGCCAGCCAGGAAAACGTCACATTTTTAAAAATTTCGTTACCAAAGTTGGTACTTTTGACAACTCTATTTCAGAGCTCGTATGCAGAATTTGGACAAAAAGTCTTTTTGAAAAAAGAAAATGAAATTTAGCTTTGGTCTATGATTCCATCCACTCTGAGGAGATATAATATATAATAATATTGTTAGTGGATTTTACTAGCAATGCAACATGTTTCTGCATTAATTTATTTTGTTTTTAGAAACTTGTTAGTCTGGTAGTGTGTGATCTTTGGTCATTTAGTGTTTGATGCCCAGTTTTCTCTGTAACCATCTACAAAGTTAGCAAGTATTGCGAATTTTAAAAGTTGTGTTGTGTATTCCAGCCTTAAGGCAATTTTTTTTTCCTGGTTTGGTGTCTCAAATCCTCCCTCTCATCCACTTTGATGATTCAGTCAGTTCCCTAAGGATAAAGTCCCACCCTTCATTGAATACCCGGTATCACTGGGATATGTCATATTATAGAAGAAGAATGCGGTTGGAACGGTGTTACATGTTGACCTAATGCAGCAGCAGTATATTTTTTTCTGATTGTGTGTATCCAGGTTACTGATGTTAACAAACTGATTCAACCTGATGCTTACTCATTGCCCAACGTTACTCATTCTGAATGTTTACAGCTCTGTTTTAGGGAAAAGAGGGAAGATAGAAAGAAGACAGAATTCTGTGAAGAGTTTGTTAATCCGTCATCACGTCCTCAGGAACTCGTCACCACAGACGTTCTGGACGTGAGTCACCATAGAAACCAATTTATAATAACATATCTCTCCAGCATTTGTTTTGTTTAAAGTCCCCCTGTAGTCAATAATTGTATCCTTTAAAACTCATCCACCAAAATTACATTTACATGTTTTGTGACATCAGAAACACCAGCGAGTTCAAACTGCGTTTTTTAGACGATCTTTGGTTCAGCGCAGGTTTAAAGAGAAAATCCTCAGACTGATGAATTTGTACATGGTTTCTCTTAAAGCATATTAAAAACACCACATAGACATATAAACAACATTAAAAACTTGATGTTTAACACGGGGGGAATTTAAATATATTTCTGAATGTGTTAAAGCTTGTTCTATTACATGTGCTGTCTTGGCCATGTCACTGATCAGTCAAAGACATGATTTAAATATTGATCTTATTGAATTTTGTCTATAACATAAAATAATAATAATAAAAAAAACATAATCTAGTTTGTGAGTTTTTAAAAATGCAAATTGGGTTTCTTTTACAACTGAAGAGTGTGAGTTGAGTGTGAATGGGAAGACAGTTTTGGTTAACAGGCCATGTGTATTTTTTTCTGCACCTCAGGAAATTGGAAATATCCATGATCATTATGAGGGTCTGAAGAAAGCTATTTTCCCTGAACCAGACCCAAACCTGAATCTTATCCAACAAAACCTGGTTCCCAAACTAAACGGTGCCATCCTCACCTATTCCAGTTGGCAGTTTAACCGTGCAGTAAGTACATTTCTGTATATGAGTGTTACATTATTTTATTTTATTATTTTTTATTTAGCAAGGATTCATTAAATTGCTCAAAAGTGACTGTAGACATTTATAATTTAACAAACAGCATTTCTAATAAAAATGCTATTGTTTTGAGCTTTCTATTCATCACAGAATCTTGAAAAAATTTATTTGGTTTCAACAAAAATATTAAACAGCACAACTTCAGCAAATCAATCTGTGGTCGTCGTTGTCCGACTCTTCTTTTCATGATGGGCCGTACATTTTCAATTTGAGACAGATCTGGATTGCAGGTGTAGAGTGTCTATGAAACCACACTGTTGTAGTAAGTGCAGAACGAGGCCTGGCATTGTCTTGTTTCCCAGGAAAGATGTCATCTTATTGGCAGTGTATGTCTCTGTACAATCCCAACATTCACATCCACGGTACCTTCAAAGTCACTCATGCCGTTTGCTCTGATGAAGCCCATACCATGACAGATGTTTGATTTTGCACCGGCTGCTAATGAAATTCTGGATGACCCCTTTCATCTTTGGGCCTGAGAACTGAATTTTTTTTTTTTTTTTTTTTTTAGCTAAAACTTGGACTCATCTAACAGCACATATTTCCGCTGTTTTAGACCTCAGGCTCAGGCCCAGAGAACTCGCTGACATCTCTGCATTTGAATTGATTTATAGCTTTCCAAAGTACTTTTGAGCAGTTTTCTTATGCAGTGCCATCTAAAGGATCAAAGGTCACACACATTCAACAGAGGTTTTCTAAATTTCTCTTAATTCCCTGAATCTATTATTAACAGTATTATGTTTTTTGCACAGTGAAATTCTTGGCAATCTTCATTGAGAAATATGTTTGACAAATATATCATGAAACCTAGTTTGGTTGCAAAGACTGAGACTTTGGTGGATGCTTGGATTTAACTTGGATATTTTTGCCTCTGACTCTTTTTTTGAGGGTGTTGCAGCCAAAATCTAAAAAAAAAAATAGATTTACAAAATACAATTAATTTTGTCAATCAAAACATTGGGAACTTTGTTCTTTTGACAATTAGAAAAATGTTCAAAAGAATGAAGAAATCACAGATTCTTGATTTTGATGCATTTTGGGAAATATATAAACTTTTCTGCAGATGGGGTTGTATATATTAATATAAAACGTTTAGTACATGCAGCCTTTGTGATACTAAAAATACTTTACAAAATCATTATAAAATCTTAGCGACCCAAATTTGTAAATGGTTGCACATAACTGCAATTATGGTATTTAATCCTGAATATTTTTTTTTTTTCGTGTGTGTAAACCATGTGTCATGTGTTTGTTTTTTAGGAATTTGAGCAGCAGGATGCTGGAGAGGGAACTTCAAATCAAGAAGTAAGAGATTAAGTTAAAAAATCATATTCATATCTGTCTCTTTAATGCTACATAGTGCTTCATTCCCCCTGCAGCAATGCAGTAGTGTTCTATCAGATAGGTGTGTTATTCTCTGTGTTATTAACTGTGTTGATATGTTTCTACCCAAAGAGCTCCCGAAGAGCCCAACTGTTAGCATCAATCAAGTCCAGATCATACGGACAAGTTTCAGAGGTATATATAGACATTAAGTAGAGACTGGTCAGATTATAGTTTATTATACATTATACATAATAACCTGAACACATAAGATAAACAATCAATTTACATGAGAAACTAAGTATAAGATTGTAAACGCACTGTTTTCCATCATTTCTATGTTAGGCCTCCAAGTCTCGACGTCACAGACAGGCACAGTTGGTCCCAGCAGACGGAGAAGACTTTTCACAACAGCTCCTGGCAAAAAAGAAGCGATACCCATCACTTAAAACGCGCACTCAATTACGATTCAACACTCAGGGTAAGTCCTCCCCACCCAAATAAACTCACCTAGTTCCGGTTTGTTTACATCGACTGATTATCACTTTTTCTGTATGGTAGGAAATGAGAGTGAGGGGTTGACCCGGCTGTGGTGTTTGAGTGCCGTGAATGAAGAGAAGGCACCAGGTAAGAAAACTATAGAAGTAACATAATGACAAATGTTTTTGAAACAAAAAAGCTTGTTGAATTGCACTACTTTGAAACAAAAATGCATTGCATTAACCCTGCTTACATTTTAAAGGGGTGGTTTACTGCTTTTTTGTTTTTCGAGATGCACCGATTACACTTTTCTAGGCCGATCCCGATTTCCGATTTTTCCTTGAGTTTGACCTGCCGATACTGATTTTAGCCAATTCCGATTTCATTTTTTTAATCCGCTTTACAGCACACACAAATATTTATTTTCTATTTTCTCTTTAATCTATATAAACTATATGAACTATATAAATTACTCCTGGTGTGGGAAATTCACACACATCTAAAGTGCAGTGTATATATATATATATATATATATATATATATATATATTTAGCAAACTAAACTTCTGTATGAAAACAGGTAACGGCAATAAAATAATATATAAATAACAAATAAAATAAATATAGCCTTGCAGTATGTAGATATTTCTCTCTCACACACACTATTGCAATCACATCAATGGCAAGTTTTATTTCTCAAACAGTTCTTCTTTCATCTGACATGTCCAGCCAGGCTAAACAGGACAAGTGGAGCATGTGCAGGGAAACGATTGGGAAATAATAAAACAAGTTTAAATGGGTACATTTTCTATAAATATTTTTGAGTCTTCATTTTCTTTTCTGACATAGCCTAGCCCAGTCATTCCCACGTGGGTCGCGGGAGATTTTGTCTCGGTCGCCAAGTCGAGCACTATTTTTCAGTGTGTTGTAGGCTACTCTCTAGATCAGGGCTATTCAATTGGCGGCCCGCGGGCCAAGTGCGGCCCGCCAATCATCTCCATACGGCCGAGGGCACCCCAACCTCCCTCTCCTCCTATTTTCTGGTGGTGCGGCTAAATTTGGTATATGCGCGTGGCCGCAGTGGCGCGTGCAGCTGGATGACTATACGCACTGTGTGTGTACCATGAGCACTCAGACTGACCTGAGAGAAAAGTTTACAGTCCGAATATTTCAGCAGTTTTTATGTGTGTCCCGTATTTCTGTCGACTGAACCAGCGATATTAATCATTCGTTGGTTTGATTATTTCCTTTCCATGAATTGGCCATTGGCCAAACGCGCGTGCATAACGGTCTGAAACGATTCGGATTTGTTCACCTGAAGCGGTTTCTTGGTAAGTAACAACATATAAAGAACAAAATAGCGCTGGTTTCAGTCGTTTCACTAGTTTACTTTGAACTAGGCAGCACGGCCCAGTGGATAACGAAACGCAAAGCTTAAAGGAGTCGCGTTTACTCCCGGTCCCGGACACTATTATTAAACAGCGTTGCGCGACATCCTTTAAGAAGCGTTTCCATCGGACACGTACTCCTCTCTCTTACAAACCACAAATCACTCAATGATTTTAACTAGTTTTAAATCGGATGAAACAGTCTTAACATTCCCAACACTACTGATGAGAAAAATAGAAGAAACATGAATAAAGTTAGAAGACTAAATGCCCTAATCACCACCCTTACAAACATTTACCATGTAATAGCCTGAATGTAATAATTTACCATGGTTTGGGCATAAATGTGGAATATTTATATTGAATGCTATGTTATAGTAATTTATATTTCCTTAGATTTATTAGGGGGGTAGAGGAATATGTATTTAATCGTGTGTATAGTTTTTTTTTTTTTTTTTTGCCTGTTTAGGCATTTTTTATGCAGTGGTAGTGAGCCATGCATGGTTACAAAGTCTCACGGTCAGAATATTTTAATTTAAGCCTATAATAATTATTATAGTAAATTATGTACACTGTAACTATGAGAATATGAAAACAATGAGATGCCCTGTCAACTCTTCCTTTCTCATTTCACCTCTGCATATTGTCAACAACAGGTTAATAAAAAAAGTGCTTTGTCAAATATCTATATCTCTTTTAAATAGTTAACTGGAAGCTTAAAAAAATGGTCATACATATTTTGTTAATGCATAAATTCTCTTCGTGATATATGAACTATATGGGCCTAATGTTTTTTGGGTCACAAGGATTTATCGACTTTAAAATGTGGGTCCCCAAAAAAAAAGTTTGGGAAACACTGGCCTAGCCTACTTCAGTTCTTGTTAAAACACACCAAACATGCAAATTCTGTGCATTTTGGACACTTTTTGGATTAAATCATATTTATTTTGTCCATCAAAAGTGTGCTTTAACTTTAATTGAGCGCAGCAAAAACTGACTCAGAGCCGAAACCCGCGCTTCACTGTTGCTCCGGCACCCGGTGTGAATGCACTCATTGATTAACATGCACACCGAACAAAATAAACCAAATATACGCTGCTCCCGCTTGCGGTGTGAAACGGAGGTAATTCACGAGGTTTCCCACATGTGCGTTCGTGTTAATCAATCAATCAATGTTAATCATGCGCCGCCCGAGTGCATTTAAAATCGGATTATGTTAGACTGACATGGCGATCACATGAAAATCGTCCAAATCCGGTCACCAGCCGTTCAATCGGTGCATTTCTGCTGTTTTTCTTTGCATGATTGTGTTTATGGGGTGCAATATAACATGTATTTGTGGTTTTTCTTTTTTTAAAAGTCTTATTTTTCATAAATTTCCCCTTTATCGTAAGCCACGTTCTCCTCTGTCATTTGAACGGCCGGTTTACATCCTGATTCTATGAAACCACTCCCTCAGAAACAGGCGATGTGCTCAGATTGGTTAGTTTGGGCCGGTGTGTTGTGATTGGCTAAACTGAGTAGTGCACGTTGTCCGGATACTTCACGCCCATTACCTTTACGGGCGAAGTTGCATTTGTGTTCCTGTCAAATGTACATAATGGTGTCGATACTGCAGTATCAGTATGAGCCAGAATCAGACCCAGAAACGGGCGATGAAGAGAGTCAACCATATCCTCCCTAAACAACCATATCCTCCGGCTCTTACAAAATGTTTCTGAATGGTAATTTGCTGCTGAAAAAACAACTGCTGCTTCTGGTTTTAAAGTTGGAACTGCTTCATGTTTTAGTAACAGTTTCTTGTTGAATCCGGTGTTGAACTCGTGGAGATTCTGGAAGCTGTCTTCCGTTAAATGCGCAGCACAGAGAGCTAGATTACGATCGTCATTTTCAGGAACATAATCAAACATAAATTGTATCGTATTGTATTGTTGACGAAGTACAGCGTCCGTGGGAACCCCGAACACAGAAGACCTGACAGCAGGGTGAACACAACACACTTGACAAGCCACAGAAATATGCGCATGCCCTTTTTTGCATTTTCCGGAGGGAGGGGTTGATGCAAATGTATGGCTTAGTGACGTCTAAAACCCAGCTGTAGTCCCAATCGAGTCATTTTTGTAGGCAATATACTTCCTGATTTTTAAAATATGATATCTCCGCTTACACTGAACTTTCAGCACTGCAACTTTGCAGATACTGTTCATCCACCAACAGCAACATTACACACTATTTAAAATGAAAAAAGTGAAATCGCAGTCAAACCCCCACCCCTTTAATGCAAGAAGTTTTTTTTGTTTTTCAGAAAAAAAGAAGAAAAAATTCCAATGGAAGCCAGAGAAGGGCAGCGATCCCACTTCACATTAAGCACCAACATCAGGACAGACTGTGATTGTTGGGCAGCCAAGTGTTGAAAGTGATTTGTGCCTCAAGCTCCGATTTTATTGAATTTGTTTTACTGCAATTTTAAACCTTGCTGTTCGCTGTAAATCTTGGAACTCCAAAATGGTTCTATATAGAATACATTTTTTTTTTTTTGTAAAAGGTTCTATTGGCCAAGTATGGAACCCCAGGGTTCTATATGGAACCCTTAAGAGTGTATAGAACCTTTTAGGGGTTCCAAATACGTAGCGCTGATAGAACCTTTTAAGGATCTATATAGAACCTTTTCTTCGAAGAGTCATGTTAACATTTTACGTTTTTAAGGCTGCTCTTTTTATTATTTTATTTTGTTTTAATATTTGGCCTCAGAATACATTTGATATTTGGGACAAATGTGAAAAAACCTGATGATTTTATATGAATAATTATTGTTTTTAAATGAATACATTGTTGAGTAGCTTGAGTAGCTTCACAAGTGTATAGTTTTAAATGATGTTAATATGATCATTCAAAATGTCTGTTTTGCTCTCCCTGTTTTTCTTTTCTCTTTACCTCAGTCCACTTTCTGTTGCATTTATGCCAGATAATATATCTCACACAAGCTGAGAGAAAGAGAAATTATTTTGTATGCATGTGGTCTAGTTCTTTCTAACCTGAAGGTTTTATTGATGTACTCATTCGGCTGCTTGATATAGTCAATATCTTTTATCACTTCCAATCCCAGCATTTCTGTCCCTCTTTAATTCTCCTCTGCCGAAGTGTGGAGTTCCCTGGTAATTTATGTTTGCTGCACAGTCAGAATTTATATACCGTAGTTCTCACCTAATAGGCTGTAGCTTTTAAGGCAAATTCAATACATCTGAATCATTGTGCCTGATACACTTAAAGATAAGATTTAGTTCTCTCTGTGCATGCTGGGGACATGAGACACATCAGTAAGGGAGGGTCAGGGTCTCTATGCACACTGTCTGCTAAATTTGAGAGTAGATATGAAGAGTTCAGATGCAAAAGCCTCTAAATGCCATTTGAAATTTTCTTCTTTAATGATGATTTTTGTCGAACTTGTATATTTAAGTTCAGTAATTTCACTTAAATAACAATTAATAGGTAATTATCATTGCCATTTAAGTGAAATTACTGAACTTAAATATACAAGCTTGACAAAAATCATCATTAAAGAAGAAAATTTCAAATGGCATTTAGAGGCTTTTGCATCTGAACTCTTCATAATGTTGTCAGAGATTGTAAAAAATAATGTATCCAACAAAGTTGAATTGCTTTAGTTTTGAGTTGATTTTCTTTCATTTACAGTAATGACTATCATTTAAGTCTTAAACTCAGGTTTCTCTTCATAAATCAACTGATGCATATGGATGCTACTGGTTTTGGTCCTCTGGCTCTGTAAACTCTTGTAAATACTTATTCTACTCCAAACAGTAACAGGTTATTTACTTATGTACAACATTAACAATGTTTATACATAAATACAAATTCTGTATATTTACACAGTATACAAAATTATTTCTCTGTTTGTTTGGATTAGCATCATAGTCTTACAATATTTCTATAAAAGGCTACAGTCTACATGGTAAAAAGTTTTCTAGCCAGGTTTAATGTGATTTTCATTTAACAAAAAAAAAAAAGAAAATAGCCCCTGATACATGGCTATATGTAGCTGCAGTTGGAGCAACACCAATTCACGTATGTAGAAAAGTGAAAATGACATTGATAAATAATTGAGCCTGAATGAAGGTTCTGGACTAGAGGATATTGGCGCAGAGAGAAGCGAGCGCGCAGCGCGTTCTCGTCCAAATGCCCGCGTGCCCGTATGCGTTCTCGCCCGCTAACAGCAGCGAGTGAGTCCCAGTGGGCTTCTCCGCCGTCGCCAACAGGTTTATTAGGGACAGACTGGGTGATACGTGCAGTCGGACCGGTTGTCTTCGCCAAACCTCTTTGAGACGAAGCGGAGCTTATACTTATGAAGATATATCGATCGATATTGATCGACAGGGCGAGTGATTGACGCCGCGGGATCAGTGCAACGCGACCATGGCATCAGATAGTAAGTATCGCGTGGCTTTAAACGATGTGAATTGATTTCTGATCGAATATCGTCATACACAGTAACGATATATCAGTTTGTTTATTGAAGCTCATTGGCTGATTTTGCTGCAGCAGGGCTGAGCGATGTGTTGCCCCAGCATCATCATCTTTCATATCATATAGGCTAGGGTTCATCTCCGCTACTTGACATTATAACAACTGACATGCCATTAAGCCGATTACAAACACGCGTCGATACCCAGCCGGCACACGACCGACCTTCAACGTTGAAATATGGTTGAAATAACGTCAGTTGTTGTTTCAACGTTGAAACAACGTTGATACAACGTTTAATGTTAAATGGTTGAAAAACAACCAGTACATGACCAACCTTCAACGTTGAAATTTGGTTGAAATAATGTCAGTTGTTGTTTCAACGTTGAAACAACGTTGATACAACGTTTGATGTTAAATGGTTGAAAACATGACCAACCTTCAACGTTGAAATATGGTTGAAATAATGCCAGTTGTTTTTTTCAATGTTGAAACTACGTTGAAATAATGTTTAATGCTAAATGGTTGAAACAGGGTCAAAAAAACACTTATAAATCAACTTTGATATTTTTTTTAAGATCTATGTTGAATCAATTAATGTATGTACAGAATAAATTATTTCTTCCTTTTAAATTATTATTAAGATCATTATTATTATTATTTTATAATCATTTTACATTTTTATCATGAACCTTCTAATATAAATATTACCGGTATAAAACAATTCCTATTGGTTTTAACCTTATTTGCTTTCATGATTATGATTGGTTAATCTTTCTGTCATTCATGAAACTGGCCAATGAAACTGTGCGCGCCTATTTCATTTTGAAAATATGACCGTTATCCTGACCGTCTTTCTGATTGCGAGACTGACCAAGAGAAGAGCACGATAGAAAGTGATCTGCGGCCGCGGACCTAAAGGTAAGTCTGATTTCACAAATATACGCAAGGTCATGACTTAGACTTAATGCATGTCAGTGCTTGGAAAAATGCAGTTTGTTGAATGAATTTCTTAACTCGATATTCAGGAAATGCTTTTCCACATTAATTTGTGTCGCGGAGGCCTACTTTTACAAATGTCGATTGAGGTAACGTTACTTGTGCCGCTTCATTGTCTTTTTGTGTTTTTGCGGTTGCTACGTCGATTTTCAGGGAGAAGATATTATACGTGTGTAAGTTACACAGATAAAAAAAATCAGGAAACAAAAGCTTAACGTTCGATAAGCTATTTTTTCTGTTTAGTAGTCGTCATTACTGTCCATTCACAGTAATATCGCGAGATTCAGCCAAGGGAAGGAGAATGAACGAGATGGGCGATATGGAAAACAATATCCAATCGAGTTTATTTTATGTCTTAAATATGATTCACAATATTATCACGATTCTTTTTCATGTTAGTTTTACTGTTTTGCAAGTTTTCTGAGCAAATAATTGTTTAATTAGACTATGTTGCACAGATTATGTGCCTTTTGTAGATTTTTAAACCTAACGTTACATGTATTTTTATAATATTAGTAACTGTAAAGGGGTTAACGTTAGTTACTGCTAATAAAATACTGTAAGCAAATTAGTCCTAATTTCTAAGTTAATGTGTGTCTCATAGCAACTAAAATGTACTTTTACTTTAGTTATTTTAACTTTTAATTGTGTGATTTTTAATGCTTTAAAGAGCAATTTTAGATTGTAATGTTCTGCTATCTAATCTGTTAACTATAAAAGGTACAAAGTTTTTTATTTTTAATTTGTATTATTTCTTCCCTAAGCAGTCGGGGCAGTGCTCGGTGGCTCCCTTGCGTCAATAAATGAGGTACGATGAGAGGCCGTTTGAATGACTGAATTTTAGATTGTGAGATATTTCAGAGTTTTGACCCTCAGGATTTCAACCCTCAGTTGATGCTGTGTGTGTTTCTCGGGCAGGTCGGCCATACACCTGAAGCGAGATTTCTTCCTCAGTCACGTGTCCAGCGCTCGCTCTGAGCTCTTCATCAACCTGCGGGAGGTGAGCTCACGCTTTCGTTTGCTGGCCGGAGAGGACATCGTGTTGTCCACTTTCGAGCCCAGCAAAGAGGGAGACTTCGTGCTCAGAGTTTTCTCAGAGAAACCAGCCAACTCACAGTGAGTCCTGCATTTTACAGCATGAAACCGCTATTAGTCGGAATTAAAAAATAAGGTTTGTTTATGGGGTCCAGAATTATTTTTCACTGGCCGTGCACATCTATTTTGCATAATTTTCTTAAAGGGATACTCCACTGTTTTTTGTTTTTTTTTTCTTATTAAACTGTTATTCCCTTAACCAAGACGAGTTGATGCATACCTCTCTCGTCTCAGTGCGTGCACGCGAGACACTTTGATAGCACATAGTTCAGCGCAGTTCATTCAATAGGGGCCAAGCAGAGACCAAACACCTCCACGTTTTCCCTATTTAAATACAGTTATACGAGTAGAGTAACTCGACCTAGGATGGTGACACAAAATAAAACGTTGCGCTTTTCTAATCGTGTAAAGTGGATAGCTATAATGTATGGCGGAATACCACAGCAAGTGCTTGGGAGCACTTCGACTCGGCGCATATATATCTATGGACTATCTATGGCGCAGTAATATCATATCATCATCACTCATGAAAAGTCCTCTCTCCCTATCCGGAGTGATGATATTACTGCGCTGAGGGAAAACGCAGAGTTGTTTGGTCGCTTCTCTGCTTGGACCCTATTGGATGACCTGGGCCAGTTAAGTGCGATCACAGTGTCTCGTGCACCAGAGCGTTTGAGCGCACGCACTGAGACGAGTGAGGTATGTATCAACTCGCCTTAGTTAAGGAATAACATAGTTTAATATGAAAAAACGGTGGAGTATCCCTTTAAAAAGACGATGAAAATTGCATTATTTATCTTTTTTAACTGTTACTGCAAACAGCGGAGCTCATGCTGTCACTCAAAGCATCATATCCATATTTTTGTTTTAGTTGAATCAAAAGGCATGTATATGTCTGAATCTGGCTTTCTAACTAAACTTTTAGTGATTTTTGATCCCCTGCCCAATAAATCTTGCTCATAAAAAAATGGTGAAAAACTGTTTAACAGTATAACTCCACCATCAAATATTATGTATTTCACAGTCTTTGTAACATGTTTAAACAATGCATTTCTAACATTTATGTGTTTACAATTCACAAATTTTCAAATTTTACTTTACACAGACTTTGACAAAACTAGAAGTATTTAAATTTTAATCGACCGTTTTTTTTTTTTACAATCCCATTCCCACTGTGGGAAAGACCCAGCCCAATCAGCCCAAAATATTATATATATATTTTTAGACAATTTTCAAAATAGTTTTATCAGTGTCCTGTACTTTCTAGTTATGGCATATGAAATTCATACTTAATTTTTATAGATGGCGAACCATTAAAAAAATGGAGACGGCAAAATGCTTGCAATGACGCTTTCTAGTAGTGACTCAGAGGATCATTTTTTTGTTTCTGCCCAGGCTGGTGTTTGTGCAACCATCAGTTCTGAAAACCTTCTGAGAGAAGATTGTGCAGGAAGTATTGCTGACAGTAATCTTGAGAATCTTGATCTGGATGACCAACAGCACAGCAGTGAAAGTGATGACACTGAAACAGGCTCCTCTTCAGATGAAATCAGAGAGTTATGGAGTGATTTGGCAAAATGGGCGGTTCGGAACAAAACAACACGGACATCTGTAGATGAGCTCCTTTCTGTGCTGAGACATTGCCTGCCTAAGGATGCCAGAACACTTTTTGGGGCTCCTCGCCATGTTGATGCACAGAATTTTGTGGTGGTATTTCGGTCTTGAGTCTAGGCTTCTGAAAGTATGTTCACAGTACCCAGAGAAAATTATGTTGAGAGAAAGTCATGTCCTTCTCAATTTTAACATTTATGGTTTGTCAGTGTTACGGTTTATGTATTTTTGGTCAAAGACTTAATCAAGTTTCCTAACGATATTTGTAATTATTTTTATAAGCTATTCTGTGAATGATTGCAGTGTGTATGAAATTTGAATGAAAAGCTTTTTCCCTCTGCAGTCTGAAATCATTAAACCCTTAAGAAAATGCTTTGTTGTTGAATGAGATTTTTTTTCAATACATTATGTGAAAGTGTAAAATGTACAATATAGATGTATATTTAGATTCTAAGGAAATGTATTTTTCCATTTGGTTTAATTATTAAACTTTTTCTTTAAAAAATGAAGCATCTCATCCCTGCACTGTAGATATATGAACATCTAATTGTTACAACGTTTTTATGCTGTCCAATTGCAAATCATGCAAATTAAGTTTTATTAGTTGCTGAAAATACTAAATATGGTCCGAAAAAAAAGTTAACAGTTCAGTGTTGACCTTTAACCAAAATTACAGGAAGGCTACGCGGGTACAGGATTAAAATATCAACGCGGATTCAATCGAAAGGTGATTCAACGTCGACAGTAGACCATAACTTGAAAGGTAAGAGTGAAACGACGTCGCGATTTCAACGGTGAATCAACGTTGTTTCTTCCTCGGTGAAACGACGTCACAATATCAACGTTGATCCGTTTTGCAAAATCGAAAGGTAATTCACCGTTGATCCAACCATGGTACCTGACGTTGTTTCAACGTTGAATCAACGTTGAAATGCCGGCTGGGTAATTTCATGCGATGTTTTATATAATCCATGTTCTGGCTTTTACTAGTGCTGTTTCTTTCCTCACCTGCTTCTGCTTGCTAAATTTTAAATAGGCTAACCTACGTTAATGGTAAAATGTTGTTGTTTTTAGTCATTTTAGATTTAAAGCACACATCATAGGCTATGGATGCTTAAAACATTTCTCTATTTGTTTTTATTTATTTACAGAGGGTTGGATTGCTCTTAAATAAAAATGCTGGGTTGTTTTAACCCAATTTGGGGTAAAATATGGACAAACCCAGCCAATGGGTTACATTTTTAAAATACATTTTTAACCCAGTGGCTGTTTGTCCACATTTTACCCAAAATTGAGTTAAAACAACCCAGCATTTTTTTGGAGTGTGCTGTCATTAGCATCACACCAAGAATTTAGTTTTTCAAACAACTGTATGGCTTGAACTTTGAAGAAATAGAATAGGTTGCAAGATTTTTACTGTTTAGATGTATGTTTATGAGGCATTACTGAACCTGTCAGAATTTAAATTGAAGTAAATCTGTCCAATTGAAGAATCATATATTGTCATATGGCAATACAGTGAGTGCAGCCATCTTTCTATTAATAAAGCTTCCGAAAAGGTTTATTTTTGGCTTTGCTGAAAGACCTTCATGCTCCAAACCAACTTTGTTTTAGATCTCCGAAGGGAAATGTAGGACCCAAGTACTCAATACTTCAGTTAATAAATCATTAAAGGCATCTATAATGAAATGCAGCAGTTTATTTTGCAGAAGGGATGACCTCAGCCACACATAGGGAATATTTCACAAGATTCTGCTCACCAAACTAAAATTTCCATATCAATGTTATAATAGCTTTTGGTTAGACAAGTGCACACAATAAATTAAATCCTTCCTCTCTTGCATACATTCACACACAAGAGTCAACAACTACACTGAAAAAAATAATTTTTCAAAGTTGTAAATACTAAATAAGCTTCATAATGTAAATACTGGAGTAACTTTTTGATTTACTTGCCGTTTCTTTGGAATTATTTTTGAAATTTTCAGTGTTTATAATGAAAGTGGGTTTTAACTGAAAGGTTGAACTGTGTTTTCAGTAAAAGTGTATTATTTATAATCAGGTCAGGGCAGGTTGTCACTTGTCATGCAGTGTACATTCTTGTGTTTATATGCCAATTTTATACAATTTAGCTATAAGTTTCATCTTCCGTTGGTCAAAACATTACATTTTTTGCTGTTTTCCAACTTTTACTTTCAACATTTGGAACTTATAATGAATTTAAATTCCGATATGTTTAAGAAGGTTACTTTGCCAAATGTTAATATTTATTAACAATGGAAAATTGCCATTGTTTTCATGGGAGAAATATTTGAAACCCTATATTACACTATTTCTGTGAAATGCCCCATTTATTTGGACAGTCAAAGAAAAATGGGTATAGATGACACAAATTTCACGATTTTGATTTAATCCCGAATATATTAATTTGGATAAATAATTTAAAATCAGGTACAGTACATGGTAGTGTACAGTACAGCAAATTTTCTCAAAGCAAAAACAAAACCCGAATTATCTCAACCAATGCTGCAAACTACAGAAAGTCTACATTTCTGTAATATTGAAGGTTAAAATGAACTGATTTGTAGATCAATGCATCATCAGGGCTCATTACTTGCCTTGGGAGCATTTAAAACTTCGCCAGTGCAAAGGTTTGTACATTGAAGCCAATGAACCTTCACTTCAAAATAGACGATTAAAACTCTCACTGCAATATGCTGTAAAAATGAAGGCAAATAAAACCATCAGCCTATTCTACAGTCTTCAACCCACAATTTACTCCTTTTTATGAGAGCAAACCTAAAAGAATCAGGTCCTTTGGTATAAACCACATTTGGAGATCTTAAATTTGAGACGCCCAACATTCAATCCGAAAATAGTCATATAACCATTGCAATAACTCCGAAGCTATTCAGGTAAGGTAAAAAATCAATTTGGTTTTGGCTCATCAGAGGAAAGGAGTGACTTATCCATTCCAAATGTATACAGACAGCAATATTTGGACATAATAATTCACAGATGGTTCGAACGTGGAAAATAGTGTAATGGCAGCAATGGTGTCTGGACATGAATGCTATGGAATCCGTATTCCTGAACAGTGCTCTATTTTTTCTGCACATGCTTTACTTTTGGCTTTGAATCATATTGAAAATACACTGCAGAAAAAATTCTCTAAATCTTGCCTTCAAGCAATGGACACTGTAAAAATTGATCATCCTTTAATGGACTGTATCTTAACCAAAGTGGATTATCTAAATCAGTCCTTCACTGGGTTCCTGGACATGTTGGACTTTCAGGAAATGAGCGAGCTGACGCTGCGTCTAGGAAGCTCTTAATCAGGAAGTTATTGAATGTCAAATTCCTCCCTCAGATATCAGACCGATTATTAACCGATATATTTTAAATAAGTGGTAATAAGAGTGGGATATGTGCAATTTAGAATAATAAGCTGAATGAAACTCATCCGTAAATTACAAACAGACTTTTTTTTAATTAATTTTAAAACTAAACTTGATCAAGTAGTCTACACCAGATGCTGTAGGTCACACAAGTTTAACCCATCCTTTGTTGCTTAAAGGTGAAGACCCAACTTTATGTATGTTTTGTAAGATTCCTTTTTCTCTCAGACATATTTTATTGGACTGTGCTGGACTTAACGCAAGCAGAATGCTTTTTATAAAGTTACTTCATTGAAGGAGGAATGAAGGTTTTGGATTTGGATTTTTGGATTTTTAATCATATGTTATTTAAAAAATATATTGTATAATATGACTTGTTTATATATATATATATATATATATATATATACTGTAAAAAAGATTTAAGTTGATTAAACTGGAAAAAGTGAGTTAATACAATTAAGGAGATTGATTTAATCATCAGAAACTCAAAAAAATAAGTTGTCTGAACTAAATAAATTATTTAAGTTGATTTGACAAAAGAAAAAATGTTGTGATAACAAATCTTGAAAATATTTTTTTACAGTGTGTGTATATATATATATATATATATATATATATATATATATACACGTATAATTGTATTTATAGAATATGTATTTTTTGTAATTTAATTTTTGCCATGAAAATAGCTTTGATTGCTGACATGGCATTAAATAAAAATAATAAACTGATTTGTAAACAAACACTTAAATTAAACAAATCTGTGTTTTTCACCTCTCCCTAAGAAATTGTATCTTTTCTTTTCTTAATCACAAACCTTTAGTTATCAGCTTTTAATTTGGCCTGCAAAACAAGTGTTGGTGTGTGTGTGAGGTTCATCCAACCCTCCTTTATGTATTGAGTGATTCATTCTCATTTACCCGTGTCTCGGTTCCTCTGAGTGTGACAGAGAGGTTTTATGATCTCAGGTGTGTGCGGTGTGTGTGTTTGTGTGTGTTTTGAAGGAGGAGACCGAAAGCATTCATCTCAAAATGCCAAACATTCTGATGGAGATAAATACTAGTTTTAAGGGTTTTTTATGTGTTTGAGTGTGATAACATTAGAAATCTTTTAAAAAAAAATACTTTCTAGAAATGTTTTAAAAAATACATCATAGACAGCATAAAATATCCAACACATATTCTACAGTGACCTGGTGGATGAGTGAGAATTGTGACATACTTTCTGTCTCATCTGATTCAGGCTCTGGAAGTTTTTAAAGGAACTTGTAGGCCTATTTGTAAATTATTGTGAGTGAGTTTTGTGCCCCGTTATGGGTACTACTTACTTGGTTATGGTTATGGAATTGGTTTACAGATATGATTTTCTAGCTGGTGGAAAAATGGTCAAAATCTAATATTTCTGTTCTCAGAAGGCAATTTTTTGGGCAGATTACGTTAGAATTCAGTGATTATACCATTCATACATTTGGGTTGGTAAGGTTTTTCATGTTTTTAAAAGTCTCACCAAGCTGCATTTATTTGATCAAAATAGCAAAAAAAAAAGTTAAAGTTAAAATACAGTTATATTGTGAATCTTTTTACAACATAAAATATTTTTAAAATGTATCATTCTTGTGATCGTGGCAAAGTTGAATTTTCAGCATCATTGCTTCAGTCTTCAGTCTCACATGAGAAATAATTAAAAATTAAGGTTTCAAAACAGATTTTTTTTTTTTTTTTTTTTTTTTCAGTGATGCCATAGAACTATTTTTGGTGTCCCAAAGAAGCTTTCAGTGAACAGTTCTTAAAAGATCCATGTGTTCAGTGTGAAGAATTTTGTTTTTGTTTTTCAAAAGGTAATTTTTCTAGTTTATAGAACCTTAGAAACCTTAGATCTTAGTTTATAGAAAGTTCTTTATGAATCTAAATTTTTGCCAATAAAGAACCTTTGGTATATGCTGATAATATGCTTATTTGGTGCTCAAGAAATATTTCTTATTTTATTATGACAGTGTTTCAGGATTTTTTGTCGGATAGAAAGTTCATTGGAACAATTTATTTGAAATAGAAATCTTTTGTAACATTGATTGTACATATATTAATGTAATTTTTGATCAAAAAATGGATAAAATTTTTTACAGGTTTTCCTGTAAAAAGATATACTTGAAAAGCAGAATGTTGTAAGATAAGAGTTTATCCCCAGCATAAATTTAACAACATTTTGTAGGCTTCATGTTTTAAAAAAGGAAAACAATACCATCTTATGTCCAAATATTGCTGTCTATATAGACCATTTCACAAGATGTAAACAACACTGGTCCAGAAGCACTTCCTGTTTCAGTTTGTAACTGTTTTCTTTATTTCACATGTAAAGAAAACATCTTAAAGATGTTTGTTTAACTTTTTGATTCAGTTTTAAATGTTCTGTTGGTTGTATTTTATCCCAGCTTTTATGTAGTGTTAAAAAACTGAAACAGGAAGTGCTTCTGGACCAGTGTTGTTTACATCTTGTGAAATGGTCTATACATTTGGGAAAGTCACTGCCAATAAGCGTAAGATAAGTGAACTCTGGGTTTGAAATGTCACCATCAAGGCTTGGCCTGCGTGTTGTGAGGCATATTTTTTTCAGTATGTGTAAACTTTGTCTTTGTTTTACTCAGGGTAAACTAACCTTTAGGGGAATTTTTATTTTGGGGTAAATAAAGAAATAAAATAGTTTGCATTCATGTTTAGAAAAATGAGAAGAGATTTTGGGAGAGAACACTTTTCAGCTGTCAGGAAGGGTGTTAGAGCCCGACAGGAAGTTTCCTGAAAAGATGGAGAGAGACAGCATCCTGTAACAATTAACTAAAGGCTAGCGCTTAATGTTAGCTTTCAAACTTTTTTTTTTTTTTTTTTAACAAAGGCTTTGTCAACCACAGCATTCAAAAATTTTATTTTTCATCCATCTTATCAGAAATTAGATGTGGAATGTGTGTGCATTTTATTGTCTTTATCTAATTGAAAATATATTAATTACAAATATAAATATATCTTTTTTTAGCCTTTCAAAATGTGGATTTTTATTAACTGAATCCTATAACTGCCCACTTGTTACAGTATGCAGTTCATAAAAATCGCCACTAGATGGAGATATTTTACTACGGTTCACATTGTGAAAGTTTTTTTTTTTTTTTTTTAATCACATTCTTGTATAATAATTATATTTAGAGCTCATATAAACTCGGTGCACCCAAGAACAGAAAATCCATGGCAACATGAACCCGTCTGTGTTTATGTGAACAAAGCCATGCTCAAATCACTCCTCGCAGAATGCTTGAGCTGTTTCCAAGGAAACCATCCTGCTCATGCAGTACAGAGGTCCGTGTGGGTGTGTGTGAATGTGCTCACAAGGTCAGTGTGTTCTTGCTTGCACATGTAGACGAGTGCAGAGAGCATGGTCAAGTGTTTGGAGATGAAATTCACAGCAGAATGCAGAAGCGCATGCAATCTCGCTTGAATCGTAAAAGAGATTGTTCCCCCAAAAATAAATATATATTAATTTATTCACCCTTATGTGGTTCAAAACACGTTTGACCGACTTTCTCCAGTAAAAACACGAAAGATGATGTTATGACGAATGTTTATGCTGCAGCTGCTCTTTTCTATATAATGAAAGTGGAAATGTTATTTTTTCTCTTTCTTGTTTTTATGACGATGTTCCAATCTGCTTCCGTTTTTGTTTTTTTCATAATGTGTTAGTGGTTGTTGTGTTCTTTGCAGCGACAACTGTGACTGTGTGCAGGTGCAGATTAGATGGATGTTAATTGTGTTCAGCTTCAACAAACACTCAGACTCAGTGAAATATTCACTCCGCTATGAAACTTAATGGTCCATTTTATACTTGAAGTGTTCCCTTCAAAGCACCTTTGCCGAATATGAGGCCATGGTTTCTCTCCTAGCAGAGATTAGTTCCCTGAAAAACATTGAGCAATGACAAATGAAATCTATGATGTACAATGCTGAACAATTTGGACAGTGCTGTGATAATGTACGAGTCAGTCAGCTCTTTCCTTTACATACAAATCTGGAAAAACAATAACTGAAGAATCAAAAAGGTTTTAAGGTGCCAGGTTTAAAGGTTCTCTAGATCATTTGTTTCGTTAGGAATGTGGTGGTAATGTAGGAGAAACCTGCCCTTTTGTTTGAAACTCATTTATTATATGATTTTGCTAAGTGTGGTTGTATTTGGGAAGGTTGATTGCATATTTTAGTTGCTTTTGTGTTTAATTTTATTAGATTGGGTTTGTTTGTTAATTTGGGCCTTGTCCAACAAAAAAATACCACTTTATTTATTTTTATTTTGTTTAAATAATTATACTATTTATTGTTATTTCCTCTTGTTTGTGATATGGGTCCATTTAACAAATCCTATTTTATTGTTATTTCCTTCTGTGATTAAATTGATCAGTATCACTTTTTCAATAAGGTTCATTAGTTAACATTAGTTAATGTATAAACTAACATGAGCTAACAATGAGCAATACATTTACAGTATTTCTTAATCTTTTGTTAATATTAGTTTATAAAAATCCAGCTGTTCATTGTTTGTTCATGTTAGTTCACAGAGCATTAATCAATGTTAATAAATACAACCTTTGATTTTAATAATGTATTTGTAAATGTTGAGATTAATATGAACTTATATTAGTATGCTGAAGAAGTGTTGTTAATTCTTAATTCGTGGTAACTACATAAGTTAAATAATGCAACCTTATTGTAAAGTGTTACCAATTTTATCTTCATTTATGGTGTCTTCCTTGGTCATTTTGGTCTGATGGCCTGCTGGAAGCATTTTCTTTTATTTATTAGGTTTTACCCATAGGCTAGCAGATGTAATATTTTTATAACCCCTTTTAAGTAGAAGGGAAATCTCATCTAGGCCTCTGTGCTTTAATACCACTTTGAAAATGTGTATATTTAATGATATTTTATAATTGTATTTAATCCACTTTCCAGTTGGTTGTAACATTTGGTGAACTTTAAAGATGCAGGAGAGTAGGAATCTTGACTCATTATGAAAACAACCAAAAACACAAGGAGGAGAACTAGTGCTGTCAAATCGATTAATCGTGATTAATCACAAGTATAGACACACACATACATATATATATATATATATATATATATAAGCTTTTGATATAATAAATATATGTATATATATATATATATATATATATACACACACACATTATACACATTACACACACATATATATTATATTAAAAAAAAAACTTTAAAAGAGTAGATCACTTTTAGAATATCTTTTGCTGATAATTTACTCACCCCCAAGATGTCCATGTCTTTATGTCTTTCTTTCTTTCTTCAGTTGAAAAGAAATTTAGGTTTTTGGATGAAAATCTTCCAGGATTTTCTCCATATAATGGACCAAACGGTTCAAGGTCCAAATGAGAGTTTTAGTGCAGCTTCAAAGGGCTTTAAACGACACCAGACGATGAATACGGGTCTTATCTAGCGAAACCATCAGTCATTTAAAAATTAAATAAACAGGTTTAAGTTTTATAAGCACAAATGCTCGCCTTGCTCTGTTCTGTGATGAGCGTTTGTGACTCTCCTGTTCGAACTCTTTTTTCAAATCTTTTTTCGAGTCATGACGCGAAGGGTCCTAGATAAGACCCTTATTCATCGTCTGGTGTCGTTTAAAGCCCTTTGAAGCTGCACTGAAACTCTCATTTGGACCTTGAACCGTTTGGTTCCCAATGAAGTCAATTATATGGAGAAAATCCTGGAATGTTTTCATCAAAAAAAATTATTTTCGACTGACGAAAGAAAGACGTGGACATCTTGGATGACATGGGGGTGAGTAAATTATCAGCAAAAGTTTTTTTAAAAGTGAACTACTCCTTTAAGCTACAGCACTAAGTAGAACAGCAGAAATAAGAATAAAGCCATGAAAGGAAAAGACCTGACAAAGAACACAGGAAACGCTGGGGTATAAACAGGGGAAACAAGACAGGGATTATAACATTGGTTCATCATGTCCCAAGAGGAAACCATTTCAATAAATAGCTAAATAAAAAAAGAAAAATGTAAAATGCATAACGGTTTGGTTTAGGGGATTTAAAATCTAACTGTGATCGGTGTATCTGTGTGTCTACTCCCTCACCAGTCACCCCTGAGGCGGTGGGCTTCCTGTCAGCTGTGGGCATCTTTGTCGTCTTGTTGGCCATACTCTTCCTCTTCATCAATAAGAAGCTTTGTTTCGCTCGTATTGGAGGTCTGCCCTGCCTCGAGCAATACAGCCGGCGCAAACGAAGAGACCGTGCTGGGATTCACCAAGGACTGGGTGAGTAATCTTGTTTAGACAAACTTTTTTGCAGACTATTTTGTAAAAGGTGACCTCAAACTCGCATGAAACTCCTCTGTCAGGACATATATCTGAGTGAAGTCCTCATCGTGGGATGGTTGTGGTTTGCTATTGGTCGATCTCATGTGAGTGACTGGTTGTCCCACCCTTGCGCCAGTTAAAGTGTCATCACAGAAGAGAAGAGTTGCTGCTGAAGTTATTTTCATGAAAGATTATCAGGGCACATGATTTTAAAAAAAATAAATAAATAATGATGTTCACAGTTAAACTATTTTTATAAATACTGCAGTTTTAATTTCATGGTGACTTTAACAAAGTTTTGTTGTAAAAATGCTTTCTACTATCCCATATGAAAATAATAGTCTGTGGTGGGGATGTCTGTTTGATGACCAATGGCAGACTATCTGCATAATGTATTCACTGAGCCACACACATCCCTGTGTGCTCAATGGGTTGTCCCTTTCTCCTGGAAAACATGTTATACAATTTACCTCTGCACCTTTTGGTCACACACATGCACGTACACACACAAACGCACACACAAATGTTTGTTTAACTATATTAGTGAGGACATTGCATTGACTTCCATTGATTTTATATCAGGTTAATGATATTTTCTTTGGCCTTACCCATCACAGAAACATGTGCAAAACACTAGAATTAAATAAAAACAACTTTTGGACAAATTATAAGCCAGTTTAACTAGCGAGGACCAGTAAAATGTCCTCACCAGTCGGTTGTTATATTTTAATATATAAGTATATTATGGTTCCAATTGGCCCTCACAAACCTGTACACACACATTCATACGTGCACACACACACACATAGTTCTGCCGTGCTATTTCAAAAGCAGCTCCCTTAGTAAATATTCACTCAGTCTGTTGTGCGAGGTGTCCCGAGTCTATATAAACGCAATGCGTTCAGGTGCCGCTGAACTGGTTTGACTGACGGTTTGTTATAAGTAGAAAGTTGCTGAGGTTCAGGAACTCTAAATGGGATAAATGACTGTTTTTTGAGGAAGTCATTCTGGTAAGTGTTTGTACTAGGGATGCAAAATATATATATACCATATCAGATATTGGCTCAAATTTGAGATTAGATTGGTATTTTGTTGTGCATGCTGGTTTCCATATTTTTGCCATCATCTAACTCTTACTCAAAACTAAGCTGTTAACACTTTACAATAAGATTTCATTCTACATTAGTTAAAATGAACTCAAAATGCTTCTAAAGCATTTTTTTGAACTTATTTAAACTTAAACGTTTGTTTCAACATGTACTAATACATTATTTATTATAATAATAATATGTTTTATCTGTTAATATTATTTAATAGACCTATTTAAAATAAATATTTACATTTAATAAATAATGTAACAAATGTATTGCTCATTGTAAGTTAATGCATAGACATTATTGTAATGTTTGTAATGTTTTATGTACAGTATTTCATAATACTGTTAAATGCAATCTTTGGCAAATTTAAAAATGAAAATACATTTTTTAAACTGTACATTATAATGTTATGATGCCTTAATTCACTTGTTGCATTTAAAAATATGTTAGTTTTGTGTTTTTTTAATTATTATTATTATTTAGACAAAATAGTTTTAAAATCACCCAATTATTGGTTATATTGGTCATTAAAAGAAAGTTTCTTCAATATTGTAATACCATTTAAACCCGTTTAAACAGTATTATTTAAAAAGGTTTTCATCAGGTAGCATAAATGCAGTTAACTTTTAATGAAATTGTACATTTGATATCTGTCTGTAGCTGTGTACACACGTTCTTAAAGTGAATGTCTTGTATTGATTTTGTTTTTAAAACAGTAACAACATGAGGGAATTGACTGGAATTGATCTGAAAATAGGCCTACTTTTGAGCTGTTGTGGAAAGCGTTCAGAACATTGTGGAAAACACTTTGAAATCTGATGGAATGGCAGACATTCCTCCGGCAGGTATCCCAGCGTTCTCTTCATGGCTCGCTCAGGTCTCAGACGCTTTCTCCAACGGCTTCCGCCGCCTCGGCCAAAGCCAAGCTGTTGACTCTGAGGTCTCAGTGAGAGATGAGAGTTCAGAAGTGGAGCAGAACTTGAGGCTTGTTCATGGATCTGGAGTGGATGGGTCCTCCATGGATCCACAGGAAACGCTTGTGTTGCGGGGTCAGGGCGACAGGTTTAAATATGGCCCCTCTATGGAGCGTCTGACTCCCATCAGCGAACAGGCAGATGAGCTGGAGAGCAGGAGGAGTCTGCAGGCGTCACGCTGCTCTGATACCGGTAAGATGTGGGGTAACAGGTGTTCGAATTGATTGGTCCGTCTTCTTTGTCACTTTTTTGTGGAGTCGGCTGTCCGTTTTAGTTTAGACATCACTTGTGGTTCTGCGCTTGTCACAAATGGGTGACATGCTTACTGTATAACCACTGTCTTTACCTGACTGTCTGTCATTACCTCTGGATCATTTTAGTGTTATTTATTTTTTATGTAGTTTTTCCTCCTTGCTACAGTAACTTTTGGCTTAGAATCCCATTATTTTTAACATAAGAGGCGAGCGGACGTGGCCATTTGTAACTTGAATAGGCTTCAGTTGTCATCTGGCTCCAGGTATTTTAGCTGTACAAAACCAGTCATTTATACTGCTTTATATTGCAAATTGGTATTATATTATTCAAATGTATTATCGTTATCATAAAAACAGTGGTTTGTAGCACTTACTGTTACTGCACTTTGTTATTTTTTTAGTTATTTCCACTGAAAAATTATTGCTACCTTAAATTTTTAAGTAATCAACTCGGATGGTTTAGTCATTGCAACTTAAATTACATTAAACTGACTTGAATCATGTATAATATAAAAGTTGAAAACTGCTTAGCTTATTTTGATAAGTTAAAGCAATGGGAAAACATATGTTGTCATAATTATTGATTCATATCTGTTTTACAGTGTACTTCAAGTGGTAAAGTCACCATGAAATGCAAATTTACTTTTATTTTATGGATTATTATCAATGATTTATTAGTGCGCATTATTTATATCAAATACATTTTCTGTAAATCTACTTTTAAGTACTGCTTTCGTGAAACTATACAAATATAATTGATCGGAAATCAGCCAGGCCTCCAGTTCTCTGTTATATATTATTTCAGACCGTTCTCATCCTTTAGCGTCATATAGAACTCTATATGCAAAAACGGCGCTATACTACGCACATGGCACCCGTTACCGTTAATATAACACGCGAACCCAAGACGTCATAAATCCTTTAGCGTGAATATGACACGCACACCCTACCCCACACCTAAACTTAGCCCTCACAGCACGTGTTATATTAACGATAACGGGTGCCATGTGCGTAGTATAGCGCCGTTTTTGCATATAGCGTTCTATATGACGTTAAAGGATGAGAATGCGTTGATTATTTATATTTCATAACATGTTTTTTCATGATATCAGTTATTGGTTTAGCTTTAGCTTTAAGATATCTGTGTATATTTCATTTAGAGTCTTCAATACTGAATTGGGATTGTTTGCAAAACTTTCTGTGAAATTCTGTTCCTTAGAAAGACACTATATACACAGACATTCAATTCAAACCTGTGTCCGCACGTGTGTTTGATCTTTCTGGATATTTAATATAGTCAGTAAACTGAGAACGCCCTCTCAAAACAAACAGAGTCATTGTATTTACACATGAATACACTACACCCATATCAAACACACATGCCATGTTCACTCCCTCACACACACAAATAGTTTATCAGACATAGTCTAATCTATAAAACACCACTGGTTCATCTTGAACATTCTGAAAAATATCTTATATTTACATTTAGAAAAAAGTTAACCAGTAAATAGGAAAATCATTTTATTTGTCTTTAAGGGGTTGGATTGAAATATGTCAATGGAGCTGAGTTGGAAAGATGTGGAAATTATTAGGAATAAAAAATTAGAGCAAGATGTGGGCGCTTCTGTCACCTATATTCGAAATGCACTTAAACTAAAACTTCATACATGTCTCAAATCAAGTCATTCTGCCATAACATTAGCAAAGGTTTTACCCAACAAACTCACTTTGTCACTCATAAAAGAATGAGCTTTAAAACACAAAAAACAGGCAGCAATATACATTTGTTTTTGTAAAAATAAATAAATAAATACAAACAATTAACTGTATGTTACATAGTCTTTACATTACAGTACAAAATTATTGTATTAGATGGTTATACAATTGACTCCATCTGTGGTTTTCAGCTACATCTAATTGTTTTAATAGTATTTAATCTTTTAGATTAATAATATATTTAAATTAGCTGTTACTGTAGAAATGTAGAAAATTTCTGTCCTATTCAATTTTGTATTATGCTAGGTTTAAACAATTTTTAAAAGAGCATGTAAACATGTGCAAATTGGCCTGTTGGTATATAGAGTTAAAGTGCTGTTTGTGTCTAAGAAATTTGTGTGAGAAATGCATTCATGTTGTTTGAAAGATGTAGTCATTGAATGCATTTGTGTCTAAGCAATGGTAAATCATTTTCAGGCTGATGTTGTGCTGAATAGTTTTGAAAAAGTGTGAAATAAACTGTAATGGAATACATCTAAGGAAAGATGGACAGTCTGATGCTGATGTAGATGAACTAGCAGCATCATATTCGTTTAAAAAAATCTGTACACATGGTTTTGCTTCACCACTATCCACTTTTAAATTGCAAACCGAACACCTTTTCTTCTTCATTTTTTTGGAACAAATTTTAAATGCTTTTCAATTCATATTTATTCTGTTATTTGTTGTTAATTCATATTTGTTTATAATAAATTAACTTTATTTAAAAATGTTACAAATGTATTTATTAACATGAATCACTGAAATGGAGCAGTTTAGTACTGAATCGGAAGCATTTAGTTTCATATAAAGAGCGCGTCAGTTGAAATCTACAAGGATGTTTGTTATTTTTGAGCTCTTCTGTTTGGAACCACACAGATACAGAAAGTGTATGTTTTACGGAAATAATCATTAAGGAAAACACTTCAGTGTGAGGGGCCGGTTACCATGGCAACCTCCTTTGCTGGTCCTTGGCCTAAATTGATGTGTGTTTGAGTGCATGATGTGGCGAAATGCAGTGAAATGAATGGACGTGGAACTAAAATGGGCGAGAGAGAGAAAAAAAGAGACTCAAAGACACTAATTGGCCACTCTCATGTGATTAGGTGCATATGGTAGACGTGCTTGTCTACACTCAATTCAATTTCAATTTTTCAATGGAATAGAATGGAATAGAAAAGTAGTTATTGTGGTCAAAGTTTCCTGTATCATTATAAAGTAAAGTTTGTTTTGTTCTTTGTCTGAATTCAGTTTTCTTTTTTAATGGTGGCAGGCATCATTACCATTGAAGAATGTTGGTAACCAGACAGTTGATGGACCCCATAGTATTGATTGACTTCCATAGTATTTTTTTCCTACTATTAATGTCAATGTTGCCTTTATTTATATAGCACTATTAAAACAACACAAGTTGACCAATGTGCTTTACATAAAAAAATACTATAATGGTTATTGAATATAAAACAAATTTAAATCATTTAAATAAAATTATTCCATCAAAGGGATGAATAGGCCATGGCAAACAAAAATGTCTTAAAGGTACAATATGGAAGACTGTTTCGCCACCAGGGATCGCTAACCTCTTACAATAACAAAGGCGTATATTAATGACGTATGTTCTGCATTAAGCGGAATTATGGATCTTGTCGTCAAGCTGATGGATCTTTTATGGATGAGTGAATATGGTGAAGTTTTTAACATGACTGTAGTATATGAAACAGAACGCGATTGCTAGACGTATACCAACGCCACACGCAACGCGAGTCCCGCGGATATAAAGGAATAAGAACATTCATTCTACCGAACTACACACTGAATTACTCACATAGGTCAGTTTATTCGAGGAATTAAACTTGAGGTAACGCAGCCCTGCTTCACTTGCTCTAACAGTTTCACTATCACACTAAATGGCATTTGTGTGTGTTGAATGTTGTTAGTTAGGTTGTTTGTTGGCTGTATGAGACTAAGCTAAATTAACATTAGAGAATAACATACAGATCATATTCTAACTTTTCATCATGTTGAACTACTAAAACATTTATTAGTTTTACATACATTAATTTGCTCACCTTTTTGCTCAAGTAATATGCAAAACACGCGTCTCTGTCGAGTCGAAGTTAGTCGCGGACGTGGAGCTCTCGGCATCTCGAAAGATGTTGATCTTCCTTTTAGTCTCTTTTTTCTTAAAGTCTGCTTGCCATGGTCCATAATGTTCGAACAAAACCCTGCTAGGGACGCTCACGCCGTTGAGCACGCATAACGGGCATAACCGACCCAGTTGTCCACGTCTGTCGCCATGGTTACTATTGCAGTATGAGGTCAAACCTGGCGGAAACCGGACTGGCGACTCCTCAACCCCTGCTCACACGTTTCCGTTTCCTTGGTTAAAAATTTTCTCACGATTTACAAATAGTTGGGAACTTTGGGATATTGTAAGTAACCAACTAAACAAAATATATAACATTGGCCTAGTGGTTTTTGGATATTTTACTGCAAAAATCCTGCATGTTGTACTTTAAAAAAATGTACAGAGTCAGCATCCCTAACATAACTGATTAGCTATTCCAAATTGGTGCTACTACTGCAAAAGCACAATCCCCTTTCTGGCTTAACTTGGTCCTTGGAATTTTCAGCAACTTTTGAGTTGACGAGTTGACTGATACTCCAGTAACAGAGCCAATGTGTTAAAGTCAATGGTGTCCATCAACTGTTTGGTTACCGACATTCTTCAAAAAAAAAAATCTTCCTTCACAAAAAGAATCTTTGCTCGTCCGGCCCTAGAATCCACCTAGTATAGAACTATTCAACTATAGAACACCCAACCACATTGAATTACCTTGCAAGTATGGCTGCAAATTCTGCCTGTAGCAAAACTATAAGGTCATATGATTTCTCTGCATTGATTTCTCTGTCAATTTTGTGTCTCTTTTTTTGTTTGTCCCTCTGTCCCCTTCCTTGTGCGTGTTATTGCAGTGAATAGTTACGGTGATGACGATGAGATTTCCAGTTTATCAGACAGCGATGATGAGTTGGCAAAGCAGTTTGAGATCTCCGTTTCCCGCTCACAAAGCTTCCGTTCAGGGGTCACGGAGCTCAACACCCAGAGCGCACCAGGGCCACATCACAAATTTAAACGTCTGCTGTCTGACCAGGAGGAGGGAAGCACAGAGCTGTCTGACTGTGAAGGTACGTACCTACATTCTCCTGTTTGCTCATACATTTATATATAAATACAGCCACCAGCAGCAATCACTGGGGTCCAAACACTAATGTGTATGAATGAGTGATAAATATGTGAATGTGAGGCAATATGTAAAGCGCTTCAGTGGCCATTGGGTCTGTGAAAGCGCTATATAGATGCAGTCCGTTTACCATAAACCATTTAATGGCCCATTCGGATGATTAGCGATCTAATTGAAATGTATAATATAATCCATCTTGAATCTTCACTGAAAGTTAACAAAGCAATTGAAAAAGAATGCAACTCAGCCACACACAGTGCGAAGAAGTCGCCAACTTACTGCAGAGTCAATAGCTACAGACCTCCAAACTTTGTGTGGCCTTCAAATTAGCTCAAGAACTGCGTAGAGAGCTTCATTGAATGGGTTTCCATGGCCGAGCCGCTGCATCCAAGTCTTACATCCCCAAGTGCAATGCAAAGTCTCAGATGCAGTGGTGTAAAGCACGTCGCCACTGGACTCTAGAGCAGAGGAGACATGTTCTCTGGAGTGACCAATCACACTTCTCTGTCTGGCAATCCGATGGACGAGTCTGGATTTGGCGGTTGCTAGGAGAACGGTACTTGCCTGACTGCATTGTGCCAAGTGTAAAGATCGGTGTGGGGTTGTTTTTCAAGGGTTGGGCTTGGCCCCTTAGTTCCAGTGAAAGTAAATCTTAATGCTTCAGCATACAGTACCAAGACATTTTGGCCAATTTCATACTCCCAACTTTGTAGGAACAGTTTGGGGATGGCACCGTCCTGTTCCAACATGACTGCGCACCAATGCACAAAGCAAGGTCCATAAAGACAAGGATGAGCGAGTTTGGCGTGGAGGAACTTGAGTCCTGACCTTAACCCGATAGAACACCTTTGGGATGAATTGGCTTTATGCACAGCTGCACTACTTCCTAAACTTAAGCCAGCTCCTTAGCCGTTTCTCAATATGCGTACTTGTGTTCTTGTGGACTTGTGAAACGTCATCAGTCGCTGCCCAAGTACTGTTCCAATTCAAAGTTCACATCTAGCCAAGTCCACTTCAAATCCCCGGATGTGTTCTTGATCCGCCCCGTTTACTGAGGATGCATCGAGAGGTGACTTGTGTGGACTTGAGATAGCCAGGTAACCCAGAATGCACCTCGCACCAACCAGCAAGCGTCAATAGGAGAGAGGAAAATCCGCGAAATATCAAAATACTACTGTTTTTGAGTCATGAAATGTAATTTTAAGAGTGTTTCAGGCGAGAATGTGGTTGTTTAAATCTCAAATCTGTAGTTTATTTATTACTGTTTAACAACTAGCCTAGTTTTAATTCCATAGTTTTGATCCAAAATGCAAACTACCTTTTATAGCGCCACCTAGTGTCGGACGAGACAAACTTCCAGTCAACCCTTTTATGATTTAGTTAATAAAACTTGTGCACTTTATGTATTTGGTTCTTATTCACTGCTTGCAAATAAAGTCTCTTTTACGATCTTTATCTTGCAAGCGCTGTACATGCTAAGATATGTGGCCATGGAAGATACCCTTTTCTTAGAATAAGTTAATAATTAAAAGAGTTTGTTGGACGAACTGGTTAATTTATTGTAATATTAATTTAGCCATGTCAAGTTAACCCAATTAACTGACCCAAATATTCATAACAAGTTATTATTGATCATTAATATTACCTATAGATATTAAGTTCCTTACAGTGGTTATGGTTGACTCGCATGTAGATATGGATGACAGCCATATGTTACCTTAATATTTCACTATTATTTGAAGCAACTCATTGACATGGTGAGAAATTGAGTGCTGAGCCATGTTTTGAAAATGTAGGACAATGAAATGCATTAATAAAATTTGCTTCATTCATTAAGGAAATTCAGTTATTTCAAAAGCATTTAAAAAAATTGATTGATTTGTGAAAAAAAAAGTTGTAATTTACTAGCTACTTAAATACTAGTTTATTTTTTAAATCAGACCATGGCTTATATTCAGTCAAAGAAGTTTTAAAGCATTACACTATCCTTTGACATTGTCAGTAAAAATCAAATGTATTAACTTTATTGTAATCCAGTATTTTTAACTAATATTAAAACTATTAAACGTAATTTTTTAATTTTGAAATGTTGTATTGGCAACAAAATGACTAAAGCTAAGAATGCAATAAAAATGTATAAAATCGATAAAACATTACAAAAGCACATAAAAAATTATTAAAACTTGAACTAAAATACAAAAACTGAAAATATAAAAATAAAAGCTAATCCAAAATATTAATAAATATTATAATAGTGTAAATAATAATTTCAATTGAACAGAAATGTATAGTGTCACTGCTGTGGAATAAAGCTAACCTATGTTTCAGCCTCTTGTAGATATTTATAAATGTGACTCTTGTCACATCACTATTAATCTCCCTAATGCTCAGTCAACATCTCTAATCTCTGACTGACTGTATACGTTATAATGTGACATATCACAACTAAAACAGCTCCAGTCGGCTGTTTGTTTTCTACTAAATTCTTGCTGTATGGAGCTTTATTTCTCGGAATGATCACAGAATCAGTTGCTATGGAAAAGCGTCTTTCCCGTCGGCATGGTAACAAAGCGACTGGATCTGTCTGCAGTTAATTGTTCGCCGCTGTGGAGTAGAACAGTTTGTACCCTGAAACAGATTCCATTCAGTGAAATTCACAGAGTCACGTAGGACAAGCACTTAAAGCCGTAAATTACTGTCATTATCATCTGCTCCGGGGAGTCTGATTGGTCAAATGAGCTTGTCCTGCAATTATGATGACTGTCAGAGTGTCAATAAAATTTAATTTGCTAAATGTTCAGGGCAGTGTGTGTGTGTGTATGTGACGGAGCTGTTAATTGTGTCATTTGATCTCTATCAAAAGTTTACTGCCAAATATAGCCCTCCATTTATTGGACTCCCCCAGTGGAATTAAAATGTACAAATGAGGTCTCATTCATATCTCTGTTGTTCTGCAATGAGGTTAAATGGAGACTTTTGCTTTTTAAAATTTTCTTCTGACTTCAGAAATGTGTCTCAAAGATGTCTCAAACTATGCTCTGATTTGTTAAGACCCCAGAGTCTGCAATCAAAAGTCTTGCTTTAATTTAAATAATAATTAAAAAGTTATCCTAGGAATAAATTATCTGGAATACCTGCATTTTTTTGTGTTTCTATTTATGACGAGGAATTTTAGGGGAAACATCTGAGATTTAACAATACAATATTCACTACCACTATGGTTATTTGTTCAGTTTCTGTTTGGCTGTTTCCCTTTGACCCAGTTTTCCCATGTGTTTCATTGACACATCCTATTCCCTTGTCCCTTGTTTTCTCGTTAGCTCCTTTGTTTGCCTTGGTACTTAAGCCCTCAGTTCCTGTCAGTTCTTTGTCCTCGATTGTTTAAACTCCCATGTTTAACATCAGTGTGGATGTGGTTGTGTTTCTTCTGTTTATTATCAGATTAAAAGATTCTTATAAAGCATTTAGCAATTGTGATTCATATTAATTTCAACATTTACTAATACATTATTCGTGTTAATATTATTTAATGGACCCAAGCTTATATGAACTAACAATTAACAGTTAATAAATACTGTAACGTGTATTGTTCATTTTTAGATAATGTTAGTTAAAGGGATAGTTCACCCAAGAATATGAATGTTTTCATCATTTGCTCACCCTCATGTCGTTCCAAACCTCTATCGGTTTCTTTCTGTGATAGTGTTAGCATAGATATATACTAGATGTCGCATTGTCTGTGGTAGTTCATTAGAACGAATGCGTCAATAAAGCCGCCATCTTGGAACAGGGGAGCCCCTCCACTTTAATGCATCAGCGTCAAAAGTCTAACGGAAATAAAATCCCCATGAATGCGATTTTCTAGTTTTTTTGGTTCGTTCCAACAGTCAGACATGTATTTATCATTGATTCCAGAAATTTTTTTTTTTAAACATTCTTCCTAGTTCAGATTTCATTTGTGTGAACATCATACACGGTACACAAAAGTCCGCCACCATCAATTAAGGCAGAGAAAGCAGCGTTACTTAGCTACTTCCTATGACAAGACCTCTGTTCCAAGATGGCGGCGGTTTTTAACGCATGCTTAGAACACCAAGGTGACGTCTAGTCTAGTGTATGTCTATGGAATGTTAGTAGTAGCCATTAACTTTCATAATCCATGGTATAGAAAAAGAACTATGGCAGTCAATGGCTACCAGGTTTGTATGGAAGCTTGTTTCCGCCACGAAAGAAATAAATGTCAGAATTGTCTGTTTTATTTTTTATTCTGTGGCAGAAACAATCATCCATAGATTTGGAACAACATGAGAGTGAGTAAATGATGACAACATATTTTTGGGTGAACTTTCCCTTTAATGCATTCACTAACAGTAACTAATGGGACCTTATTAAAAAATGTTATCCGAAAACACATTCGTTTACGCATATGAAATAATTATGTCTCGTTCTTTCTCCCTCTCCATGTAGATGCTGAGAGAAACAGTGTGCAGAGTTTTCAAGATCCCCTCTCATCCAGGCGACGCTTTGGGTCTGAGCCGAGAGACCCCTTATCGCAGAGCCCTCTTCCTGAGGCCCGAACCCCCACAGACCCCCTCTCTCTGATGGCGGAGCAGATTTCTGTGGGCTCCCAGGACACAGGGGACGGTCTGGAGGATCTACCCAGGTATGAGGGCAGTCGCTCGGGCAGCATGGGGCGGCAAACCCCACAAAGGAGCCTGGCAGTTGACAACCATGGCTATGACAACAGTGGGGCTATGGATAGTTTCCCTACATGGAGCCCTGAGGTGTGTGTGTGCTTATAATTTTTATACTTCCTACATACACTGCCGGTCAATACAATGTTTTTTTTTTTTTTTAAGTAATTAAAACTTTTATTCAGCAAGGATCCATTAAATCGCATGTTTTTTTTACTTTCTATTTAACAAAGAATCCTGAAAAATGCATCATTGTTTCCACACAAATATTAAGCAGCACAACTGTTTGCAACATTCATGATAGGAATAATAATAATAATAATAAATGTTTCTTGAGCACCAAATCGGCATATTTAAATGATTTCTGAAGGATCATGTGACACTAAAGAATGGAGGAATGATGCTGAAAATTCAGCTTTACCCTCACTGGAATAAATTACATTACGGAATTAAATATATTTAAAAAGAAAAACAAGTTATAAATTGTAATACTATTTCACAATATTGTTTTTTTTTTTTTTTTACTGTATTTTTTAATAGCCTTGGCGAGCACGAGACTTCTTTCAAAAAAGCCCCAAACATTTAAACATTTGATTTATACATAATTTAATGTCTATGTTTTAACTTTTCCATTAATAATTAGATCCCCTAGATCTCTCTCCATCGAGATCTTCACAGTTATGAGTTAACTATATTCACAGTTCACAGTTAACTAAATTCTAATGAATACTCATGAGTCGTCTGCTCTATAGCTCTCATAGCCATTGCTAATGGAAACACCTCGTGTTCATGACATGCATTATGTATTCACAGTAAAATCTTTCTCATTTCGTTAAGAGAGTGGGAGGTTGTGTATGATGTGTGTGTGTTTAAACTTTAGATCTATTTGTTTATATATGCATTAAGGATGTTTGTCTGTTTATGCACTCTCTAACAGCATGAACAATCTCCGTCCCACCCTTTGAGCTCTTCTCCTCGTGGACACATTTCAATATGCGGTGACCTCATAATTGCCCTCGACTACCGGGCTGAAACCCACCGACTCCTGGTCACCGTGATATTGGCCCAAGGCATCCCAGACAAGGCTCGGAGTGGCATGGACTCCTGGCAGGTGCACGTGGTGCTGTTACCCGGGAAACGGCAGAGGCACAAGACGGCCGTGCAGAAAGGCTCCTTGCCCAGGTTCGAGGAGACTTTCCGTTTTTCGCATCTAGAGCCAGGGGATTTGGGTTCCTCTGCGCTGCGGTTCCGCCTGTACGCGCTGGGGAAGATGAACAGGGAGAGGATGATGGGAGAGGCCATGTATAGACTGAGCCGCCTGCATCACACAGGCAGGTTCGAGATCACGCTGCTGCTGGAGCCACGCTGTAATCTCAAGGTGTGTAAATTGCTATGATAATACTCTATCTTTTCTTTTTTTTAAACTGGTGTGGTTGGGCCAGTTTAGTTAATTTTTTTTTTTTTTTTTTTGCCCCACCACAATTTTATTTTTATTATTTCATTATTATTTCATGTATGTTTTATATGTGCCACAGATAGTATTTCAATTTTTTTTTAAATATATATTTTTTTGAAATGTTAGGTCAACCGTACAAAGAAAGATCTTTCTATCTATTGTCCATCAGTTAGTCTATCAATCTGTCAATCCATGCATCCATCCATCCATTCATGCATACATGCATACATGCATACATTCATACATACAAACATTCATACATACTTGCATGCATACATAAATTCATACATACATACATGCATGCATACATACATTCATACATACATGCATGCATACATACATGCATGCAAACATTCATACATGCATGCATGCATGCATGCATACATACATGCATACATACATTCATAGATACATGCATGCATACATACATGCATGCAAACATTCATACATGCATGCATGCATACATACATACATTCATGCATACATACATGCATACATACATACATACATACATACATACATACATGCATGCATGCATTCATACATACATACATGCATACATACATCCATATATGCATACATTCATACATACAAACATTCATACATACATCCATGTATACATGCATTCATACATGCATGTATACATACATGCATACATACATTCATACATACATGCATGCATACATACATTCATACATACATGCATGCATACATTCATACATACATACATGCATGCAAACATTCATACATGCATGCATGCATACAGTACATACATCCATACATGCATACATTCATGCAAACCATATTTGCAACATTTAGTGCATTTGCCAACCAGTAGGTAAATTTCTTAAAACAATTCATGCAAATAGCACCACACAATTGATTACCTGCAAAAGCTTTTAACTAAAAAAAATCATTAGTTCATCTCTCGTAAGTATTTATCAATGAATATCAGTGCCATCAGAATGACAAGTCCTTGTGTACACAAACAACATATACAGTATATATATAATTTTTATTTTTTTATGGCTGCAACACTGTACATAAAAGTTGTTACAGGCAAAATAAAAGTGAAAAGATGACAGAATATCCAATTTAAGCAGGTCCATAATAAGCAGGTGGACTGGTAATAGAGGGTATTGTGATTGGCTTTAAAAGGAGTATCTCAGTCTTTGCGAGCAAAGATGGGTCATGGCTCATCACATTGTGCCAAATTTCAGGAGAGAATACTCAAAAAAATTCAAGATTACAAAGTATTTACAGTATATTTCAAGAAAAAAGTTTTACATCAATTTTATGTAAAGATGCCACCGAGTTCTCTGGCCCTGAACTCATCTCAGATTATCCAAAAAAAAAAAAAAAATACAGTGGAAATGTTGTTTTTGGGGAAAACAGACACTGAGTTCTCAGTCCCGAAGATGAAAGGGGTCATCCAGACTTTAATTAGCAGCCTGTGCAAAATCAAACATCTGTCATGGTATGGGCTTCATCAGTGCAAACAGCATGGGTGACTTTTTCATACATGTGAAGCAGATGTGAAGGTACATAGGCATGTGGATGTTGGGATTGAAAAGAGACATACTCTGCCATCAAGATGACATCTTTCCTGCGAAGCGAGAAAATGCCAGGCCTCGTTCTGCACTTACTACAACAGTGTGGTTTCATAGACACTCTACACCTGCAATCCAGATCTGTCTCAAATTGAAAATGTACGGCCCATCATGTATAAGGCGAGATTGGGCAAAAATGCCTCTGTCCCAACTTTTTTTGGAGTGTGTTAAAAAAAACACATGGTCTGTGAAAAACAGTGAAAATATTTTCTTTGCACTTTTCTCAGTTAGAGATACTTGATTTTATTGCATTTTACCAAATGACCTAACTTTTCCTGAAATGGGATTGTACATCAGGGGCCAAAAGTGTCCAGAGAGGATATTTGCTCAATTTTACAATGTCTTCAAGTGTTGAAAAACTATGTTTAACTACACTTTACATAGAAATACCAACAAATTAGGTCACATTGGCATCTCTCCATCTCCCTCCCCACAGACCATAGACTCCCAGGCGTCTTTCAGCGCACAGAGCGACAGTGCTTCCTCCAGTCAGTCTGTGTCTCACGGTGGAAATCCAGAACTACTGCTGGGTTTATCGTATAACGCCACCACAGGACGCCTGTCTGTGGAGATCATTAAAGGCAGCCACTTCCGAAACTTCGCGCTCAACAGACCTCCAGGTAAACACACCATCCCACTCACACTAACAGGCTCAGAAACACATTCACAGGCATCATTAAACCATCAGGAGTGACTCTTGGGCAAATAACCTTTTGTAAAGCCGTCTGATATTGATTCAGAGTAAATGTACTGCAATAAATCCTTTCTAAACGAACGAGCAGTTAGAACACACATTTGTACATGCGCATTTCGAATGGGTCATCCTCACACGTTGTGGGTCAAACATCAGATCACAGATGTTTAATCGATCACAGAGCCCCAGATCTTTTCAAATACCTCTCACATCAAGTCGATGAGTTAAAAACCACACAAACATACCCAGACAGACACATACTGTTCCCTGTTATCATGCTGAGTCATAGTTTTGTGTTAGTGATCATCCTAAAGGCCCATTCATCACACCACACAGACAAGTTGCCAGTTGGATTTAAAATTGTGTGAAAAATAACTGTCATGTTCACACTGCCCCAACAAACACTGATTGAACATGGTCAGTCAGTTGAAAACAAGCGCCTAATAAGGGTAAAGCATTGATCTGGCAAAATACAACAAACGTGTTTATAGAGTGCCGAAGTTACGAAGTCACTCTGTAGGCCAAAACGCGAAGTGAGTTAGCATTTTAGCACTCCCGGTTCCCTCGCTCCAAAGTCTATGGGATTTTTGAATGGGTTTTTGTTAAATCGCCTGAAATAAGGTCTGTGGTGAACAGAGCTTCTAAATATTTTCACGTTTTGGTCCATGACATAGAACACACAGTTATAACCTGCTTGTGGTTTTTTAAACTTTATTGTGTCTGCTTGAGTTATTTAAAAACTTTATATAGGCTTCAAAATGTATACAATTTGGATTAGCTTGTAAAGATTATCTTGATGGACAAAACGTGTAAGGGTCACAACTATTAGTTAAACACATCTTATTTTTTTTGCGATTTTCCAAAAGTCTATGGGGATAGCTTTTCGATCGAGGGAACCCATGCGCCGCTAGCTTCCGAGTTGTCCTACAAAGTGACATCATCACTTCGGCACTCTATTGGTGTTTGTCTGTGCTGTGTGAAAAGGTTCGAAATAAAACAATATTTATTACTGTACTAATCAAAACATTTTTTTATATTTGTTAAGAAGTCTCTTATCTTTACCTAACCTGAATTTATTTGATCAAAAATACAATAAAAATGGGAATATTGTGAAATATTATTACAATTACAAAAAAACAACTTGTATTTGAATATTAAAATGTATTTCTGTGATGGCCAATCTGAATTTTCAGCAGCCATTACTCCAGTCTTCAGTGTCATATGATCCCAGTGATGGGGAAAGGTATTTTTAAAAGTAATCCATTACAAAATTGCATTACTCCCTTACTATACTAATACTAAGGCCCCGTCCACAATACTGCGTTTTCGTTTAAAAACGGAGACCTTTTGCTACGTTTGCACCTCCCATCCAGACTAAAACAGAAAAAACGAAGACCTAAAACGGAGAAGTTTAGAAACGTTGCAGCTCCGTTTTGAATCTCCGGAGGGCGTTTTAGTGAAGACGGAACAAAACGGAGGAGTTGAGAAACGATGACGCTCGGCTCTATGATTGGGTGTCTTCAGTCATGACATATCCTTCCCTGATTCGTCAGCCACTGTTGACACCGGCATGCGCATGCCCAGTGTTGGTGAATGGTCACGTGATCCACGTTTTCAGTCGTTTTAATGTGGACGGAGATCAATTCTAATGCTTAGATAAAGCCCTGTTATGGATGGAGATCGTATTCAGACTGATCTCATGAAGTAGCGTGTGTATGACACGCCAATTCGTATTTCCATTTTTGGCGTGCTATCATGACGCATAATCGCTTTTCAGCGTGTTTATGAACGCCGTTGACTTAACGTTATTACTATAAATATATGACTTACCTCAACCCTGTCCCTAAACCTAACCGTCACTGGGGTTAATGGCATTTATGACTGTTCCCCTACCATGCTAGGAAAAAAAAAGACATTTTTTTACATTTTGCTTCGTTTCGCGCGGACATCAATCAGACACGCGGAATCACTCGGACGTTAATGGCGTAGACATACACGCATACACGCGGATACACGCGGATAGCTCAAAATGCGTGGAGATAACACGACACTTGACTCGAAAGTGGCGTTTATGTTTATGCAAAAGTCATGTTGTCGTATTCGTTTTAATTCTCCGTTTTTAAACGAAAACGCAATAGTGTTTTTTGTGCAAGTGAGTGAGTAAATGCATGGTCATATTTAGTCTAGACACTGCGCGCACAACACAAAAACTTCGATCATTGGGGCTCAAAATTGTTTAGATGGAATAAATCACACAAAAGTTGATGTAGAAATGACTTTTTTTTTTTTTTTTAAACATTAATTCAGTAGAGATTTAGTGACCTGTCTTTCTCTTTCAGATACGTTTGGTAAGCTCACTTTGTTGAACTCTATGGGGCAGGAGATATCCCGCTGTAAGACATCCATCCGTCGCAGTCAGCCGAATCCGGTCTTCAAGGAGACGTTTGTCTTCCAGGTGGCTCTGTTCCAACTGTCCGACGTCACATTAATGGTCTCCATTTACAATCGGCGGAATATGAAACGCAAGGAGATGATTGGCTGGGTGGCTCTGGGCCAGAACAGCAGCGGTGAGGAGGAGCTTCTTCACTGGCAGGACATGAAGGAGAGCGGAAACCAACAGGTCTGCCGCTGGCATACACTACTGGATGCTTAGAGAGAGAGAAATGTAATCACTCTTATTTCAGCTGGAAATTCCTTTGGGAAGAAGGAGACAGCCAAGGCTAAAAATACCCACCAAAAAAAGGGAATGAGCAAGCAGCTTTAATAGTATCAAACAAAGATAAGGCATGTAATTCTGAAAATCTTGGAAGCACAAAGAAATATCCACGCCAAACCACTCTTCTTCTCCCTGAGAGTACTTTATACAGCCTTTTATCTGGTAGCCAGGAAATGACATCACGGCGTTATATACAGACTACTCTCTTTAACCCCAACAGCAACCAATCAAAGTGCATTATTGCCCGCGCCACAGGGATTGTAAGCTAGTGATTTAATGAATGGAGGATTGATTTGAAATGATTCATGCCTTTCTTCAGATGATTTTAAGCCTCAAATTCAGACCCACACCAGAACACAGCTGGTGGTCATTGGTGAGGTTTTGAAACCCCAAAATGAGTGGAAAACTGCACTTTCATTAACTTATGACTATGAAGCTGTTTCTTTTTATTACATTTTACATTTTTTATTACATTTTACATAAAAATATGCTATCATTTATAGTTCTGGACACAGTGTTATGATGAAAGTTAGAATACTTTTATATTGCTGTTAAAAAGGGGTGCACAAGTTATCACGAATAAGCAGTATCACCAAATGACTTTTCTCACCCAAAAATTAAATTTCTCACCCTCATGATGTTCCAAACTTTATATCATTGTTCTGTGGAACACAATAGTTGCATTTTTTTTTAAATACTCTTTTCAGTAATGGAAGTGAATGAGGACTGGTGCGGTCAGGCTTCAAAAAGACAAACTTTATTTATTTGAAAAATCTGATATCCGACTTTGATTTACTCTGCATGTTTATGCGTGAATATGATCAGTGAATGAATCCTTTCACTCAACCTGCTTCAATTGATTCATTTGAATGAACTGGTCTGGTTCTCGGTTTCATCTGAGTCAGTTACTCAGTGATCTGATCACAAATGCTTAACAGACCTCATATAGAACCTTAAAAGGTTCTATCAGCGCTACATATTTGGAACCCTAAAAGGTTCTATACACTCTTAAAAAATGGGTTCCTCTGTGTTCTATATAGAACCCTGGGGTTCCATACTTGGCCATTTCTGGTTCTAATTAGAACCATTTCTTCTAAGAGTGAGATTATTGTTGAATAGATTTCAGCCTGTTCCTCACACAAAGGTATTGTTTGATTTTAGAAGAGTATAGACCCCTTTTCAGTTGTTAAACACGGTGACGTTTTTTTGTGGGCGGAGCTTAGGTGGAGGCAAAGCGATCCCTCTGGCCGCTTCACTAACGCTAGTTAGCAAGTATTGTTAGACTGGAGGAAATCTGATTTTATCTTAATGTGTGAGGTCATTCAGTGTCCAGGACCGCGGTTGTTATTTTCAAAAGTTGTGGAACGAAATGGACGGAACCAGATTGGCAGACCCGTAGTCGCCTACACGCTCACTCAATGCATGGATGATCTGACAGGATTAACGTTACGTTACCTCGGTTGAGTGGCCTGACTTCTACACCTACCCTATAGAGAAAACGATCATAAAGCGGGACTTAGGGTATATAAATCTTTAGATGCCTATATGGCCTTGTACAAGACTTGTGTGTACGATGAGCAGTTCTGCCGAACCAGCGCCGAGACGACGACAATGTAAAGAGAGACATTACGGTGCGATTTTAAAGATGTGAATATTTTCTAGAAATAAAAATTTCCAGACACAGCATATTCATTTTTCATCAATTCTTGCACCAAACAACACAACAAGATGACATTTAATAATAGTAACAATAATTTAAGCTCCTTATTATGTAGCCGAATCTGTGCTGGTTTGTATTGGCCGCCTCCAGTTTTCACTTTGTTTTGCCTCCAGCTAGCGGCGTGACGTAACTGTGACGTTGGCGCAAAAGAAGTCTATAGTGCCCAAATCGTATGGACTATTTGTATGGTGCTTGTGAATCCGTTTTGAAGCTTGAAAGCTCCGATCCCCATTCATACTGATTGCATGAAAATAGACCAATCAGTCTGTATGCACAGACACTTATGCATGTCCAAGAAAATCGTTTTTCTGACAATCCAAACACTGTCCTCATGACGTTGAAACCCAAACTAGTTTTTAATGCATGTCTGTAATGCTTTGTGCATATATAAAGTGCCTGATGGAGTTTTCATTTATAGCCAGTGATATTGGAGATTAGCATGGAAACATTACAGATGTAGTGCCTGTTTTGCATGCGTGCATAGTCTTTTTTTGAGATAAATGCATATATTTTTGTCCATCATTAAAGACATATCCCTGAGACATGGCAATTCTGTTTTATTTCGTTATGATTAGAATGGTAATACATTTTACTATGCATTGAACTTAGTGTATCACAGCTGGAAAATAGATGATACTGGCAGAGAAAAGGTATAATTGACTGTAATCAACCATATGATCTCTCATTTGGTAATCAGGCTGTCTGATTCTGTTGGAAAGCGTGTATGAAACTGAGAGGATAGTGTGATTTATTTATTTTTTGTTGTTGTTTTTGACCCATGTAACCTTATAAACAGTGCTTTAAGATTTTGGTAGGTCTAAAAGGTAAAAAATTGAATAATCAAACACTGCACAGCCTTCACTGCATAAATTATAAATGGAACAAAATGATTATATACAGTTGACTTAATAAATTTTGTAGCTTTAATAAGAGAGAGGTTTTTCTCTGTATTTTTGTTCTTTGATTAACATTAATGACAAACAGCATCAGGTTTATTCGGCTACGGGAATTTTGACGTTTGAAATGTAGTCCAATCAAGCGAAAATGTTCTACCTTTTGATAAGGACAGCTTTTGTACCTTTTTTTTTTCTGAGGGTGTGTATTATTAATTGCATATGTACTATATTTCACGCGTTAAATTGAACAACAAAAGCCCTAACCTGTTTGCATATGGAAGTGGAAGAATTACTTACGCTTGAGATAGGCTTGATAAAGCTTGGAGATGTGAGGTTAAAATATTATTTAAGAGGTTTTGAAATGGGTGTCAGTCAGATAAGTTGTTGGAGAAGCCTATCTAAGCAATAAAACCTTTCAAAACTATAATGATTCTAATTAGATAAGGCATATGTTAAGAAATACGCAACAAGAGAGAGGAGGAGGAAACGCAGCAGCAGAGGATGCGAGAAGAATGGAGTTTGATGCTAGAGCGTCATCATTGCCTAGTGACTCTCCTAGCAACAGGAAACATCTGTTTCAGTGTCGACCAATCAGGAGCCGGTGCAGTCTGTTATTGCTCTCTGAACAGATAGGGATATTTTAAGAGCCGAGAGTGAGCCGAATACTACAGGGATTATATCAAAAGCAAGACTTCGACATCTGGGGGCGAAGCGTCAAGCTCACGCGGAGCTGAAAGCGGCTACATTCGGCACAATATGAGCTCTTTTAAACCTCTGATCTGATGAACGCGCGTGCAGGGACTGTTGATGTGGCTTTGTAAATAAGGTAGGATCATTTACCTTTGTTAATCATATTGATTTTTTTAATATTAGTACATTTTATTGCATGTATTTGTTTATTTTGCAACAGTTACAGGGGTGCACTTATATTTATAGTCTCTAACAGTCCTGTTTTATATTTAGATTTTATTTTTGAAAGGCGCGTTCTGTGATTCATTCATTGGCGTGACAGTTGAGTATCTATTTTGATTCAATTTTACTGCAGAATATATATAGGCTATATATAAAGAGTTTTTTTAATTCACGGAAAAATGATCAATTTAAAGATGCACAATTATTTTCCTCATTAAAAAATTTTACCCCTAAAAATTAATTAATTCATTTTAGATGATTTTTGCATTACAATTACTATTACAGATGCTTTCATTTACATGGAACAAGTTACCTTATGTGGGCCATGTAGATATCACATGACCAGCACACTCTAAAAAAAATGCTGGGTTGTTTCAACCTAATTTTGGGTCAAATGTGGACAAACCCACCCGTTGGGTTAATTTTTTAAATTAAAATTTTAACCCAACGTTCGGGTTTGTCCATATTTGACCTAAAATTGGGCCAAAACAACCCAGCATTTTTTAGAGTGCAGAATACTGCATCTTGTCTAATTTTTGGACAATTTTGCTGAATGAATCATAGCTGGGTGCTATGTCTACAATAGCATTAGAAAGCGAAAATGATGCCATTTGCATGGTGTTTCACCCATACATTGGCCAGAGACATCAAGACAAAAATACCTTCATGTTAAAATATGAATTGCCTTAATTATAATAAATAAGAATACGGTAAGAAATTCAAATTCATTTATGGTGAATGGGACATTGCCATAATTCTCTTATATGAACATATAAACTTTGTCATCATGTTGCTTTATAAAGTCTGTGTTATCAGTACGTCTTAATACCTTAAGCAGGACCTGTGTAGAAATTATTTTAAAATGATACAATTTAATCACGTTTACAGTTATAACCGATAGTCACCAAAATGGCATCTACTATCGTCCCTGTATTTGTACAGTTTAACCAAATGCAACTAATAGAATGTTAAGATAAATACCTTATTGGTTTACATTCATTCTCTCTCACACACACACACACACAATCTGACATGCAGCCCACACTAATCTGCCCAGCCACGGTTATTGTGCCCCGCACCCCTTTTGACAGAGCACAGGCACGTTTCTTTGAACCAGATAAATAAAAAATGCAGCAGCAAGACATAAAGCAACTAAAGCACAGCTTCCTGCAGATGCCATTACATACAGTGCGATTTGTTTTAGCTTCTTTGAGACAGAACAACACTAATCTGTGAGGAAGATCAGGGCCAGTTGTCACACATTCACACCAATTTAACTTTAGTCAACTGAAATCAGATAGGAAACAGCAGTAAACCATACGCTCTCTCTGTTTTTTTCTCTTTCCGACTATAGGAACCATTAGGCAATGTGTGTGAGCCAGAGGACAGAGCCTCAGGTGAATAGAGTATTTGTCAGAGAGGCGTGTGATTGTGTCTGTGTGAAGCAGTCCTCAGGTAATTAAAACACACAACATACACAGACATTGTTACATAACACACTGACCGTAGTCTAACCTAATCCACTATATCCATCCCCGGTTTCACAGACAGTCCCCAGACTAAAATGAATGTTTGAGCTGTCTTAACTGAAAGCTGACATATCTAATAATATGGCAGAGCCAATTTTTTTATCTTAAGATGCAACCAGTAATGTGTTTTTTTTTTCTAAGACGTGCTTATAAAAGCTTCTTAAATGTCCTAATTGAACTAAGGTCTAATCTTGGCTTAATCTAACCCCTGTTTGTGAAACCAGGCCATATGAGGACACATATGGCATTGATGACATCCTCAGCAAGAGATTGAAAGAGAGATCTTTTACATTTAAAAAATTCCATTTCCATCCAGTTATGAAGCCAGTTTCACAAAGTCCTTGTGTGCTTATCCGTAGGGTCTTTCCTCTAAGAGTGCCCTCAACGGTCGACAACGTCGAAAGTCGCCTACTTTAAGCGGAAATATGCGGAAGAGGAGGATGTTCAGGGAAGCCTACATGGATATTTACAAAAAGTGAGTGTCGGCTGATATGTGCTGAGACTGCTGATTTTTTTTTTTTTTTTTTTGTGCACAGTTCAGATCTAAGAACTAAGAATGTCTTAACTAATTCCAGTTCAGTTTCTGAATTTGAATTGAGGAAGCAAACAGAATGCAGAATTGCAATTCAAATTTGAATGAAAGGAAGTAATTAAAATGAATTTATATTCAATAAATTCACAACTGTAACTTTGAATATTGGCTTGACAAAGCCTTGTTTTGAAACTTTTGGAAGTTTATGGATGGATGGATGGATGGATGGATGGATAGTTAAAAAGATGGGTGGATAGATATGTGGGTGGATGAATAGTTAGATGATGGATGGATGGATGATGTATGGATTGATGGAAGGATGAATGTATAGTTAAATAGATGGGTGGATAGATATGTGGGTGGATGAATAGTTGGATGGATGGATGGATGGATGGATTGATGGAAGGATGAATGGATAGTTAAACAGATGGATGGATGGATGGATGGATGGATAGAAGGATGGATGATAGTTAAATTGATGGGTGAATGATGGATGGGTGTGTGTGAGTGGATGGATGGGTGGATGGATTGATAAATAGTTGGCTGGATGGATGGATGGTGGATGAATAGTTGGATGGATGGATAGTTAGATGGATGGATGGATGGGTGGATAAATAGTTAGATGGATGGATAGATGTATACTGGAAAGTATGCCATTCCAATAAAAAAAATATTTAAACTTGAAAAAATTAAAAAATTCAAAAATCACATAGCCTATATGCACCATGTCTGTCTTTCTGATCTTATCTGTCACCCTCTTTGATATAGTTGCCAATTTCATTTCATGTCAGCAGTCACCTGTCCCTGTTATCTTCCACCTGTCTGTCTCCCTCATCTGTCTGTCTCTCTTACCTATCTCTCACCTGTCTTTTTCTTTTACCTGTCTGTCTCTCTTACCTGTCTGTCTATCCCACCTGTTTGTCTCTCTTACCTGTCTGTCTCTCTTACCTGTGTCTCTCTCACCTGTCTGTATATCTTACCTGTCTGTCTATCCCATCTGTCTGTCTCTCTTACATGTGTCTCTCTCTCACCTGTCTGTCTATCTTACCTGTCTGTCTCTCTTACCTGTGTCTCTCTCACCTGTCTGTCTATCTTACCTGTCTGTCTCTCTTACCTGTGTCTCTCTCACCTGTCTGTCTATCTTACCTGTCTGTCTATCCCATCTGTCTGTCTCTCTTACATGTGTCTCTCTCTCACCTGTCTGTCTATCTTACCTGTTTGTCTCTCTTACCTGTCTGTCTCTCTTACCTGTCTGTCTATCCCACCTGTCTGTCTCTCTTACCTGTCTGTCTATCTTACCTGTCTGTCTCTCTTACCTGTCTCTCTCACCTGTCTGTCTATCTTACCTGTCTGTCTATCCCATCTGTCTGTCTCTCTTACATGTGTCTCTCTCTCACCTGTCTGTCTATCTTACCTGTTTGTCTCTCTTACCTGTCTGTCTCTCTCACCTGTCTGTCTCTCTTAACCTGTCTTTTTCTCTTACCTGTCTGTCTCTCTCACCTGTCTGTCTCTCTTAACCTGTCAATCACCTGTCTGTCTCTCTCACCTGTCTGTCGCTCTTCCCTGTCTCTCTTCCCTGTCTTCCCTTATCTATCTTACCTGTCTGTCTATCTCACCTGTCTGTCTCTCTTCCCTGTCTCTCTTCCCTGTCTTCCCTTATCTATCTTACCTGTCTGTCTATCTCACCTGTCTCTCTCATATGTCTTACTCTCTTACTTGTCTGTCTCTCTTACTTGTCTGTCTCTCTCACCTGTCTGTCTCTCTTCCCTGTCTTCCCTTATCTATCTTACCTGTCTGTCTATCTCACCTGTCTCTCTCATATGTCTTACTCTCTTACCTGTCTGTCTCTCTTACTTGTCTATCTATCTCACCTGTCTGTCTCTCTTCCCTGTCTTTCACCTGTCTGTCTATCTCACCTGTCTGTCTCTCTTACCTCTATCTCTCTCACCTGTCTGTCTCTCTCACTGGTCTGTCTCTCTTACCTGTCTGTCTCTCCTCAGCACCTGATCCTGCGTGAGGAGCGCAGCTGCATCTTGCGCCTGTCTCTGCAGAAGCTGCGTTTCCTAGACGACCCCGAGGTTTACCTCCGCCGCTCAGTGCTCATCAACAACCTGCTACGCAAGATCCACCTGGACGAGGCCCAGAGGGAGAGGGAGAAACAGAGGGATGACAAGGAGGAGGAGACAGAGAGGAGGCGGAAGAGACTGAAGGTGGTGCTCCAGGAGTTCCAGCAGTACAAGCTGCTGCCGTATTCATGCTGCCCAGCCACATGCATCTGTGCCCTGGGGAGCTGCCACACCCTGCCTCCTGATCATGGAGCTTCAGTGCTACTCTACCATTTGGATGACAAAGGATAAGATGTCGTCGTGTGCATGCAGGGGATTTCCAACAGTCCGTGACTGATTTCCAGGAGCCAGCAAAAAAGAAGGAGGGGTTTCAGGTTTGTGTGCATTTGTGCTTGTGCAAGTGTGCTGGTGAGCATGAGCTCTGTGGTTTGTGACGTGACGGGTGTCTGCCCATATCAGGGTGTTTTTTTTTCCAAGTGGAAAAAGACAACATCATCTTGTTATCATCACTGCCTCGCTCAATCTGAACTTTGACCAGACTTTTTGTTTTCATGAATTTGCTTGAGTGAACTATTATCTTAAAGAGACAGTTCACCCAAAAATTTAAATTGTCAACATTTACTCACTCTCATGTCGTTTCTAACCTGTAAGACTTTAGTTCATCTTCAGAACACAAATGAAGATCTTTTTGATGAAATCTGGGAGCTTTATGTTCCTCCATCGACAACTACGCAACTGACAATTTGACTCTTCAAAAAATTCATAAAGAGATTGTAAAACTAATCAAGTGGTTTAGTCCAATTTTTTCTGAAGGGACTCGATCGCTTTATATGATGAACAGATTGAATTTAGGGTTTTATTCACAAATAAACATTGATCAGCGAACATAAAGAAGCTCAAACATGCTGCGTACCGTAAGTGAACATGCTTCCGTTTACCATAACTGATGTGTGTGCTGTTTATCATATAAAGCGATCGAATACGATCTCTTTATGAATTTTTTTGTCGCGTCAAAGTGTCAGTTGCGTAGCTGTCTATGGAGTGACAAAAAGATCTTCATTTGTGTTCTGAAATTAAACAAAAGCCTTATGGGTTTGGAATGACACAAGGGCGAGTAATTAATGACAGAATTTTCATTTTCTGGTGAACTATCCCTTTAAGCACTGTTTTCAGGGATAAAAAACAAACAAATGAATGCCATGCACCTTGTTGTTATGTTGTTGAAAAAAAATGTAATTGTCAGTTTCAAAATGACTGCCTGCTTCTAAGGTTGAAGTGATTTTACTAAAGCTTTGTTGCTCTGAAATGAACTTTTGTGTGTGTATAAGTGGCTACTGATGTCGAACTAGTAATGTTTTTTTTTTGTTTTTTTTTAAGTTCCCATTCCTTTGACAAAAAAAAGAAGAAAAAAAAAAGGAAATGGGAGTATGTTTGAGGGAAAATGAGAAGTGGAACTAATATTTCGTTCAAGGCCTTCTGGTTTTGTCGACTTAAACAGGGTCATATTGACGTGCAACTTTCACGGTGGTAATAGTGGGGAAAAAAGTATAAAGCTTATTTGCAATTGCTACTTGTGTTTCTTTAATACATTTGCATACAGCCTTTTAAGGCTTTTTGGCAGAAACTGTTATGTAAAGGTAACTCTGCCATCTAGTGTTATGGCAATGAATTCTCAACAACATAGACTTCTTTGCTTCATTCATTTCAATCTTCTGCACTACCTGCAGTTCATAATACAGTCATCTGTCCCTTCTAACAAATTTAGGTATCAGTCCAGGTTGCCTGGCCAGTATACATGTTCCCAATGCCTCCTTTGTACACAAATGGATTTTCTACATTTCTGATCTGGAAACCCTAACTGTGTGGGTGTCGAATATCTCATAACAATGGCCTACATTTAGCGCAAAAACCCATCCTTTATGATTAACAGGGAAAACAAGGTTTACATGCTCAATGTAGTGAAAAATCACTCGCTTTCTTTTACACAGAACCTCAGAAGAACCTGTTCTCGTCTCATATTGCTGTGCATGTCTCATATGTTGGTTACACAAGGTTTTGTAACAGGCAATGTAGTGCAAAAAAAATATTTTGGTACAGTATATAATGACTGGTACTCTTACTATTAATATTTTGTTTGTTTGTTTATGCACATTTGTATGTGTAATGTATTTTTTTCAATATCTGAATGTAATTTACTGAAATCTAAATTCAGAGTGCTATCTTTTGGACATTTCAAAGCATAGACATGGATATCCAGATTATTTTGAAATGAAAGCTTTTTTTCTCTCTTTCAAAAAGAACATTATATCCTCAGAGAATTTAGTGCTATTTTGCCAAAAGATTTAAAAGTAGCATATACGAGAATTGTCTATTTTCATGGCACTGTGGTCAAATAAAATCAAATATTGAATGTTTCACTCAGTCCTTTTTCTTTATTTGTGTAAATAAATATATGCAAATACAAGTTATGATTTAATAATGATGTATCACATTTTATCATCATGAGCGGCCGCTCCCCCGAGTCCGTAAAGTGATGACATCATCGCAACAGTGGACGGAGTTGCTAAACGTTTCCTACACAAAAGTTGACTTAATAGATTTTTTTTTTCAAAATGAAATCTTACTGATATATTTTATGAACAAAAATAAACAAATAAAAGAATAATAATATTTTCTCTTTTTTGACCAACTCGTTTTTATTAATTGAAACTAAAGCTGAAATAAAATAGAATATAAATTAAGAGAAAATAACCAATTTTGCCCTGACAAACTAATTAAAATGAAATAAATAAGTTAAAATTTAATAAGTACAATTCACAAAACTAGAACACAAAAAAATAAAGAGCTTAAGATTTTCAAAAAATAAAAACATTAAATAAAAGTAAATTTCAGTTGTCAATCTATATATCTCGTCTATCTATATCTATGTATTTATCTATTTATAATCTGTGTTATCTGAATTCTCAAATACTCTCGTCTGCTACTCGTCTCTTAAAGGGATACTTCGCTTTGAAATTAATTTTTGATATGTTTTAGCTTACCTCAAGGGCATCCAGGATGTAGGTGTATTTGTTTCTGCAGTAGTTTAAATTTTTATATTTTTAGGTCAAACTGTTCTCTGTCAGTCATATAACGCGGGTCTATGGTCACCACCTCAAAGAGCATGCACAGAGAAGTCCAAATTAAACATGATTTAATGACTCGTAAATGTAAGTACACATTGATGGCCTAAGACATGAAACAAGCGGTTTTTGTGAGAAAATAAACAGTATTTATATTATTTTTACCTGTACCAGTCACGTCCAAGTAATCTGAGGGCGCAGGCACTTTGTGGCTCTGGTTACAAGAGGTAAAAACAATATAAATACTGTTTGTTTTCTCACACAAACTGCTTGTTTCATGTCTTAGGCCATCAATGTGTACTTACATTTACGAGTCATTAAATCATGTTTAATTTGGACTTCTCTGTGCACACTCTTTGAGGTGGTGACCATAGATCTACACTGACAGACAAGAACGGTTTGACCTAAAAATATAAAAATTGAAACTACTGCGGAAACAAAGACAGCAACAACTTGGATGTCCTTGAGGTAAGCTAAAACATACCAAAAATATTTCAAAGTGAAGTATCCCTTTAATCAGGCTTTGGTAAATTCCTGGTAAATTATCTCCCCAAGGTGACGTAATGCAATGCATTGGGGGGAAAGGAGAATCGTTGCAAACCGCTGTAAGTTAGTACCTACTTTTTCATATTAAATTCCGTTTTGTGAAACCCAAGTACCCAACAACATAAAATACAATGGATAACAGTTTAAATGTTCATTACCAACACGAAAATTGCACAAATTCGTTGAAAAATCAAATGAACCCTGCTGCAACACGGCCTTTAATTACTCCAGAGGGCGCTTTACGGCACACAGAAGCCGAACTCCCCGTTGAGGTGCATTAAAATATCATGTCTTTTTGGTTCTACTGTTGATATAAACAACACTAAAATCATTCTTGTTTAAACCTATTAGTCCCAACTATTAGTACTTAACGTGTGCGTTTAAACCATAGACTATAAACCAGCCCACGCAATATATTTTAAATGATCCTAAACCAACTAACACGATTCAGCAATCAAACCTTTAGCGCTGTGAAAAGAAGCAGCCACCACGTGACAACGCTGGCTCTCCAATGTTTCAGGGACGGCTGGCTATTATTTTAAATGCAAGTAGGGGAAATAATTCGATAAAATAGTATTAAATTAATATAAAAAATCGATGAAGTGAAATATTAATACTTTTTAATTTAAAGAACCGTGGTACCTGACCAATCACAGTCAATGTCCGGCTGCTAAGCCCCTCCCATTATGAAACTTGTTTTCTTCTTTCTATCCATCCACCCGTATTTCTATTGATCGCACGGATCTGTCAGTAACCGGATACGGCGTGGGGTCAGTACAAAGTAGTTTTTTTTTCGTATTAATTTCCTCTTCATGTGTGCATGAATATTTTTTATCAGTTGTTACAAGTCTATTTGTCTCGGTTAGATCGGGGTTTTGTTATTATAAGTACGGGAATGGAGAAAATGGTTTAATAACCCACACCCACAGCACGGTTCACTCTCGGTAGCTGAGCTTGGATCCAGCTTATCCCTGTCGTACCAGGTGGCTTCAACTTGCGCAGTCTGTCGCTAACCATGGCAGGGGATTTGAAAGTGCGATTCGTGCAGCTAATGCACTATTTGCAGGACCCTCTGCACGTCGCGCGTTTCCAACAGCTATGCGGGGTGCGCGAAACCGACACACGTGACAAACTAAGTAACGGGGTGACAGGCACGCGCCACGGGGATGTTGATAACAGAAGCGGGGATGCCACCCGCCGTAGACCAGCAGGAGCAGAGACCGACGGGGAGAAACGCAATAACGGCGTGTCGAACGGAGCTGCGGGAGAAACCGGGCGGCCACGGGATAAGGACGAGGACGACGCTCAAGGATCCTCGGTAAAGCCGTTACGCAGAAACTCTCTCACTGGAGACGCCGGACAGGAGTTCATCATCGAGAATAAGTTTCTCTTCTACCTGTTCACGTTCGGTACCGAGCTTGGAAACGAACTGTTCTACATCTCATTCTTCCCGTTCTTCATATGGAACATAGACGCTTATGTGAGCCGCCGGCTCGTCGTGGTCTGGGTGTGGGTCATGTATCTCGGCCAGTGCACGAAAGATGTGATCCGGTGGCCGAGACCTGCCTCGCCCCCGGTGGTAAAGGTGGAGATGTTCTACAACTCGGAGTACAGCATGCCCTCTACTCATGCCATGTCCGGGACCGCCATACCCTTGTGCCTGTTCTTGCTGACCTACGGTCGATGGGAGGTAAGAACATCATGCCATTCAGCGTGCATACAGTTGGATGAGTAATGTGTCTCTCATTGCATTAGATAAAAAAAAAATGTTAAAGACAAAGTCGGATGGACAGCACGAGCACAGTTTTCAAGCTAAACATGCTCAAATGCACTTTGACTTAAGAAAAAAGTTATTGCTATTTAGAACTGGTACTGAGGAAAGGCTAGTCACGTGTTATTTGTTTGCTGATGCCACTTGGTTAGATATTAATTAACATCCATACAAATATTTTAAAGTAACAATGAAATGAACATTTAAATTCTTATTTTTATGAAATATTGCAGTATTTATTATAAATTATTTATCTGTTCACATGTGCCCTTTTAATTATCAAAAACATTAACGGTAGAGTTGGCAATTTCGGAGAAGCTAGCAACAGCAAGCTAGCTTTGATAGCATTGCATCAAGACGTTTTTTTTTTATATAATGGTTTAAACAATACAGCATACACTTTGGAGTCCTTTAGATCAAGAAGTCCTCGCTGCAGCCTGTAAAGCAATCACTTGCTTGATATCAAGTACGTAGTTAAAGGGTAATTCCACCAGTGGAGACATTAATATGTATTGAAAGTGGGTAGTAGAATAGTATCATAAATTTCCAATTTAGGTCCTCCTTGGCTGATAAAAGGCAGAAAATGACTTTGAGTGCTTGTGGATTGTATACAACAATCCCCATAGTGCATTGCAATGCTCAGCTCCGCAGGCCACTCCCACTACTCCGCCCATCAAAGTAGACTAGAGTTGAGCTCTACTCTACCGCCTGGAAATCACTTTGCACAATGAAATCGGATAATACGCGCATAATATGACGATGTAAGAGCATCAAGGCGGCGTGGGCGCCATCAGTCAATGGATTGGCGTGATTCCAAAGGGGCTTCAGACAATCGGCACATTTACTCTGACGCGTAATTTTTCACAAGAAATGAATCTTCGGCATCTTCATTAATCCCCTCGCTATCAGACGTTCCGGGAGTCCCCCACATATTGATAACGGCTCCCTGATGCCCGCAAATTAGTTAAAGGGTAACTAAACACCAAAACAACTTTTTTTAGTTAATGATCTGTAAGAATGGAGCTTCATAAATGCTGTTCATTGATTCGAGTACATTTTTTGACAATTGAGTATAAAGTGTTTTGATTTTCAAATATATGGTGTAAAAACGTCTGAGTGCTGCCCTCTTCAGGTTAAACGGAAAGCTCCTGCAGTAGGGGTACTTTCTGACGTAGCGAACTCTCAGACGCACTCTGTCACACCCTTGGTGCCAGCTCACCACGCCCTTGGCAGCCCCTGGTATAAAAGCATCTGGTTCCGTCAAAACTACTGTAGCGAGTCAGGAGTTGGATTTATGAGTATTGAAAACGATCAGGATAGCATATAATAGCATCTAGTTAGCATAGCATTTATATAGTTATTTAGATTATTTTTGAAAACGACCAGGATAGAGTATTGTTGCATCTATTTAGCATAGCATTATATAGATAATTTAGATTATTTTGTGTAGCTAGTAGCATAGTACAGTTAGGATAGCTTCAAGTTAACATAGATTTATCAGTGTTTAGTACAGTGATCAGGATAGTAACGGAATAGAGGTGGACATGGGCTTCTCCACACGCAGTGCCAAACGCTGCTCGTCCTGCATGGACTCCTCCACCGCAGCGGCGTCTTGATGTGAGTGATCATGGATATTTTAATCACAATTTATGGTTAGGATAAAGTTTATCCTCTGGGGTCGACAAACGAGCCGGTGCATTTTGCTGGATTTTTTCATATAGCGGCATAATATCAATATGAATATATGCCAGCGTGCGCTATTGAGATCAACTCGACGACATAACTCATCAGATGCCGGTCGCGATGCGGGAGTTAAGACCGCAGTTTGAGCCAGCAGCTCGAATGGATTTGGCCCTGTGTCTACATACAATTCACCCTCATCCACTTCAGGTGAAGGTGAGGGAGAAAAGTCCTCGACTTCAAATGGCCGCTCTGTTGCAAAGGCAGCTACTTGCGTCACTCCAGTCTCGCTCTATTTTAGAGTCTGACAGCAGCTGTCACTCACGGCGGGTCTCAGGTGCACGCCCCCTAGCCCCGCTGGGGTCTGCCCATTTTTTCAGCATTTTTCAAATATTGCTAGTGGGTGGAGTCAGGCTCTGACCAGGGGTTTAGTTACCCTTTAAAATATCCTGGAATCTAGAGCGATTGAGCAAGAGCGCGCATGCGAGACAGATCAGACTGTGCTCTAAACCGTATAGTGCGCGCGCAAGAGGGAGACGGAGAGAGCGAGAGACTTCGCGTGTGTACGCCTCATGACACAGAGACTCAGACTTCGAAATTTTCATTCTTATTCGGTCTGGTTATTACCGTTTACATTGGAACCGGTTCCCTATTGGGAACACGTTTCGGTACCCAACCCTGTCCATAATGCATTCGTCTGCGTATTCAGTACCTTCGTCCATATTTTCAAAAAGTTTCTGCCGGGGAAATCAAATGCACTGGCACTGATCTGTGATTGGTCTGTTAGCGCATTAGGTCCAGCCCCCTGGGGCGGGTTACTAGTGCTTGTAGTCTTTACAGAAATCCACCCCCCACACACACACTTCTTCCTACAATGACGTAAAATGACGATTTTTGCATCATTGTAGGAGTAAGTGAAAGAGTAAATAGCGGATTTCTCTCGAGAGTGTTGCACGACCATTCAATAGTATGACTGGATTTCTAACAATTGAAATCTTAATGCAAATGGGTGGAGTGTCCCTTAAATGCTGTGCTGTAGTAGGTTTTGATTATGTCATGACAGTTTAAACACGCATGCACGCAATTACGTTTATATGCAAATTATATTATTGTTAAAAAAATCTGTATGACATCCACACGAACACAGGTATTTTCAAAACTATTCAATTTTTCAAAAAAGATTGTTCTATGAAACCATGGTCACTGGTCTATGGTCACTGAAACCAATAATTTATCTCCAGTGACACTGCCCCTAGTGTTGTATTCTTGTAATTCATAAATTTGCATGAAGTACATGAAAGATATTCGGAAGTTGCACTATAACTAGTTATTTAAGCCGTTTCTCTCTGATTTTTGTGTCTATTTATCACACTTATTTGTATGCAGCACTGCGGACATTTTCAGATGAATGTGAACCAGTTGGCACAGGTGCCTATTAATTTTTTTTTTTTTTTTCAGATTTGGCTCTGTAATCTTTAAATCCTAAAATAATTTTAAATCCACTACTGGGTGGGTGTTAACAACAATGGCAAATCAAGTGGCACTTTAATTGTCATTATTATCCCTGTTTAAAGCACATTTTTTAACCATGTTAAGCTATGTATTCAAATGTGTGCTTTAGTCATCAAGTATGACCAACTTGTAAGTTATGAAGCTACCCCTAAATTGCAGGTTTCAAATGCATACGATGCAAGTTCTTCTAACACAGGGTAACGCATGTGCAATGTGAAACAAAAAGGTGTTTACAGACTCATTCTCTGCTATTTCTTGCTGTATCAAAGTAGAGATAATTCTATTAGTCTTATTAAGTTCATGTGCAGCTTATCTCAACCTGGGAACACCTTTTACAAAGTAATTTATCATGTGGCATTTGTTCTTCATTGCTTTCTAGGTCAGAATAGTCTACTTTCACCCTCTCGTGATTTTACAATGCGGGGTCAATGTCATTTAGGTAATATTGTGATATAACCACATGATTCTATTGTTGGTGCACCAGTCTTTTAACTATTTAATGACTGTTCTTGAGAAAGCCACCAACTAATACAGAATGACCTTTAGAATACACAAACAACATTGACTGGCTTGGAAGTGACTGACTTAAAAGTGCTCATGCATTTGTAACCTTTACGCTTTTATTATCTAACATTTCATCAGAACTTGGCTACAGTCTCATATAATAAACACAAACTGTATTTGTGCGGATTCAGTCGGATTGTTAGTTGGAAGATGATTTGGGAATGAGTTTCTGTGACTGAGTGAGTGTAAACTTTTTTTCGTTTAAAAACGGAGAATTATAACGAATACGATCTCCGTCCACACCAGCGTTTTATCTGCGTATTAGAAACGATCTCGGTCCACATTAAAACGACTGAAAACGTGGATCACGTGACCGTGAATCGTGCTGGTGTAAACAGTGATTGACGAATCAGGGAAGGATACGTCCTGACTGACACCCAATCATAAAGCCGAGCGTCAGCCTCTGCGTCAGCATTTCTGAACTCCTCTGTTTTGTACCGTATACACTAAAACGCCCTCCAGAGATTCAAAACGCAAAACGGCGCTGCAGCGTTTCTAAACTTCTCCGTTTTAGTCTGGACGGGAGGTGCAAACGTAGCAAAAGGTTTCCGTTTTTAAACAAAAACGCAGTAGTGTGGACGGGGCCTAAGTCCACTCAATCTGCCAGACTTGCCGACTGCAGCTTTAAAATTTAAATGGTCGCATATGTGCGAGTGGGCGCTCGTGCAACAGAACGCCGTTGTACAGTATCTGCTGCTGCAGTCCGTAACTTATGTTCAAAATTAATGAGTTGGCTACATCATGAATCCATTTTCCAAACTGTGTTTTTGACTTATCCTGAATCACTACAGTACGCCTATAATAAGTGTTTATATTTGGACTATTTTATCCCGGGGTCGACTCTGATGCGGAGTTGCCCAGTGCCTGCGTGACTCGCCGTAGACATTAATGGAGAGAAGTAGCTCTGGCTACAGTGTTCTTCCGCAAGACACGTGCAGTTTATTTATTGACTAACGTAGACGTCACATATTTTAAAAAAAATAAAAATGTCTCGCGAAACAGCGTGCCCCTCCCTAGTCCCTACGTCTTTTCAGTGGTTCGATGAGAGTAATCGCTCGACTGAGGAAAAGGAAATTATTATAAAATGCATGAAGGTAAGGAGTGTGAGATTTCAGATTTTTGTAACAACTATAAACTTTGATAAGGAAAAATCTGTAGCTCAT